CACCATTTCGATTCCTTTTCTGTTTACCTCGTTGAGACATCTGCCGATTTACTCATAGGCGATTTCATCTAGTTAAAATGCCTTGAATTGATAGGCTATCTGGTTTGACCTTGAGACGTGTGTCCGGTTGTGACTAAACGACCTTAGACAGGGGAAAAAGAACTATTCTATCATCGGTAAGGTTGGCAAGCGAGCGAGAGAAGACGAGTCAGCTGGAACACTGCTTGATCTATTCCTGATTCGATTAACGAGAAAAAAGACACATGAATAAATATATGTCTAGCAAGAACATAACGCCCAAAGAATCAGAAAGATACGATTTTTTGTGTGCTAATATTGGTATTTCAACTTGAACTAACGCACATTTTCCCTCATGCTCTACTTTAGTTTTTCGATCAACTGTATAAGATCTTGTGAAACTTATATTTTTGAGAATTTTTTTATGTCTGAAAAATACCCTATTTCTATTTTTAGGATTTATTCGGTTTATTAACTATCAAAGGTTTAAGTGCTGGTTATGGAATGGGCAGTTGTAATTGGATTATTACATCAAGTACAGAAAAAGTAAGTTTTATTGTAATTTACTCAGTTTTGTGTTACAAATTCACATGGAACTTTCGTGTTTGTAATCGTAAGGTAGGAAATATATATTTGTAGTGAACGAGAACACAGGTGGGGCAACCGAATTGTATTTAACGAAAATTACAGAGTTACTCAGTAAAATAGGAAAACCATATCGTAAATCGTTCATTTGCAAAATATCAGTTCATCATATCGAACTGGACTGTTCCTGTTGCAAAACATCAACAATCCATTGTCACTATTCATGCGTTTCATACAAATTCCATTGTGTTCTTCTAACTCTTCCTTTCATGATCTTCCCCCATGTTCTGCTGCCAGACATTACGTTGACACTCACGTCATATACTACTTATAAGTAGCTCGCACCACATATTTATATTGTTTTATTACAAATCATATATTCAATTTATCGATTATAGTGCTCAATGTTTGCATTAGATTAAAACTAGTAATTCATACGTAGGTTAGGAACTGAGTACTAGGTGTAAATACGGCAAATTGATTGATGAGGTAGTGAATCTTTGTCATTTAAGGTGGTTTAGACATGTTATATCTGTACCTAAACACCATCTATCTCGATGGGCTATGCTGTCTGATGTAGAAGTAGTCTGAAGAACAGCTAAAGGCGACCAAATCAAAGTATGGCACCAGTTCATGAAGTCACTCAACTACTTGACTGATCCATGTTGATAGGTGTGGATTATCTGGTTCTGAGTTTGCGTGATAATCGTAACCAGCATTTGGGAACTTTAAATGATATGGTTCAAATGAATGAGACGCATCCATTCGTTGACTTCTTCCGAATTTTAAGTTTTTGAATTGTGCAACGATAAGATATCCAATCCCATGGTAGCCGGTCACTAAGTATTCGTTCATACATTATTTGTCCCATCAGGAGCCTGGAACCGATATGCACGATTGGTTTGGAATCAGGGTTTTCCAACTCTCTTTGATGGATTGTTCGTACCCTCCAACCCTGTTATACTCGTCTCTAGGTATGCTTTAAACTATTACAGGTTCACTTTAGTCGAATAACGAGAACAAAACAATAAACCAACGTCCAGGTAGGCTACTGTGATCCGATTATCCCAATTGTACCAACAAGAAGTCTTGATATAGCGTAGAAAGTGTATTCTACAAACACCCAGCCAGCACACATAATGAATCCAAGCACTCGAATTGCGTTTATTTATACTCCATATAGACTTCCTTGGGACAGTCACAAAAATAACACACTAAAATAACACAGTAACCAATCACAGCCAAGAATTTTCCTGGTGGGAAATGTGATCTCAAGGTCATCTGATCGGTCCATGAAATCAATCCAAAATAAAGACATGTATCAAGCGAGTTCCGGGGATCTAACATCCCCAACAAACTCACCTTAAGATTTGGACACTCGTTTGCATCTCAGTGTTTGTTAGGATATTCATCCAATATCCTAAGAGAATTATTGATCAATTCCTACTGGTCAATATAGTGGTCGTCCTAGATATCAATGTCACACACTCCAATGTTGTTTCTTATTGGTTGTCCTGACTATCATTGTCACTTCAAATGTTGTTTCCTATTGGTCGTCTTAACTGTCAATGTCACAGACTTCGATGATGTTTTGTATTCGACCAAAATTTATAAATACGCATTATTTGTAACGTTTTATGACCACGACCAGGGCTCGGTCCCGGATCCCTAGTCCGGGATCCTGATTCACTTCTGGATTCGGACCTCGTATTTTCTGAATGCTTGTAGAATACACGTTCTACTTCACATCATGTCTTCTTATTTTCACTCAATATGGGGGTTGTAATAATCGGATTTGAGTAACATGTCGTGTCACCGGATCCTCGCTCTCGTTTCCGACTAGGTAAACTCGTAATAGTTCAAGTATATCAAGTGGACGTGTTTACGTGCAGGCGTAACAGTCACAGAAGTACAATTAATAACAATGCTAGTTACAATTGAAAATATTAAACATTAGGGAATATGATTCGTTTTAGAGTTATGGAGATTGTGTAGTTTCAGGTTCTACTCCACATTCAAGTCTTCTTATTTTTACTCAATATGGGAAGGGGGTTGGGATAATCGGATTTGAGTAGTATGTCGTGTCGCGGACCGGATCCTCGATCCTTGTTCTCGTTTTCTGACTAGGTAAACCCGCAATAGTTCAAGTATATATCAAGTTGACATGTTTACGTGCAGGCGTAACAGTGTTTATGCTGATTTAGTGACTTATCACTTTAACTATTCACTTCTGAATCTCTTAACCCATGTCAATAGTGAATTGTCAATTAAAAACCCTTTTATATCATCAACATGATAGTACAAACCCATTTTTTTTAAAATATAGTTTCATATATTTCTTTAAATTAATCACTTGATTTTTCTGCGTCATATTAATTAAGTTTCAATTGGTTACCTTTTTATTCATAGGTAGCTTATATTTCACATACATCATTGTTACATTCTCATGTTTTGGTAAGCTCATCTCATATTGATTAATACTGGTTAATATTTTTAAAAAAATGCGTTATTGTATCATTTTCTTATTTAACTCGATTGAAGTGAAAAGATAATGACACCAGTAGCTCTTGGACATGTTACTTTATAGATGTTTTGTACAATATTGTGTACAAAGTGTAACAGTTTTTGAATAGGATGTTTGGCGTATATAAGGGAAACTTCAATATAGGAAGTTGTTTGATGTGTTCTGTAAGGTGTTTGTGTTAGTTGACATACAAAACAAACAAGTGCTTCACTAACTGTACATTCTATACCATATTGTAACTGTGAACAGTTATGTATGTAAAGAACTGTTTAAACAGATCTTGTATCCTGCGACAACCATATAAGCAATGCTGTTGTTAGGAAACGAGTACTAGGTAAGAATGGCAAATCAATAGATGAAGTAGTGAAAATTCATCAGTTGAGGTAGTTGGGACATGTGTTACGTATGCCTAACCACCGACTGCCGCGAGGAGCTGTTTTGTGATGGAGCAGTAAGTTGGAAGAAAGTTAGGGGCGGCCAAACTAAAACATGGTACAAATCCATAAAGTCACTGACAAGTGGACTGAGTCATGTTGGTAGATGTAGACTACCTGGTTGGGTTCCGCGAGACGATAGTCACCAATGGTTAGAGACCTTATACGATATGGCTCAGAATCGTTTGCAATGGCACAGGTGCATCCACTCTTTGTGTTCTATGAAATTCTAAGCTTCTGCATTCCTCTACCTTTCTTCTTCTAAATTTATCTTAATGAATTATACTTCTCGAATCATATCTTCGCTCCCTAATCTTCTCCATTACTGCTAATACTTCTATTATTGCTATCACTGTTGGATTTGAACTGACAATTGCGTCTATGTGCTGATGTGGTAAGGCAACCTGAACTGATGTACGTTCGTACGAAGTTCTGTATGTATCGGTCTGTCTCTCTGTCATTGTCTCATGGATAATTTACTTTGAATTGAAAATGAATAAAACTTGTGAAAATCTTTTTATTGCCATTATTCTATTTTACAGCCTTTCGATGATAGTACATTTGAAGATACGGATATTTTAATCATTGGCACTATCAATATGTATGCAAGTAATCAATTAGAAAAGACTGTTGAAGAATTTTGTCATATTGTTGGTACGTTTTTTAATTTAATAAATGTTTATTTTTTAGTTCAAGAGGTTTTTTTTGTGTAGATATAGATTATGAGATTTGCATTGACAATTCAATTTCTATGTACTGATGTACGTGTGTGTGAGTGTGCGAAGTTCTACGTTGTAGCCCGACCGTAGCTGCTACCTTGACATGGTGGTCGGGCTTGCCCATCGTGATGATCCAACCGAGCGCTATACTGGCTGGAACATATGTTCCTGAAGGTCCTACCATGCCAGGCAGGTCGATTGGAGAATGAACAGTCAGAATAAAAGCAGCTACTCAACGTCTGAGGGCGAAGTCGTACTACTGACTGCAGAGGGGTGTGACAGCAGTAAGGTGTTTCCCTCGGACAACAAGCAGCATCTGCAGCGATGCTGCCTTCGCACAAGTAAGGAAGGGTTAGAAAAGGTCGACCCTAAAAATGTCACACCTCACCCTACTTCACGGATTTCCGTCTCCGTCGGTCGGTAAGGGTGCCCACTAAGGGCCTTTAAGAGCGTACCTAATCCGCAAAAAACCTTTAACAAAAAGGCCGTGCGTGACCGGCCTCAAGCCGTTATCCCTTGGACTCTGCGGTCACGCTACCAGGTCTCTAAGACCAACACTAATCTACCTTCCTATTCAGGTTCCTCTAGAAAGAACCTTCCACGGTGTGGGCAGCCGGGAAGTGACAACCGCCCTTATACCTGTAATAGTACATGAGAGCAAATCGGTCGAACCAAAACATGACAGAAATCCATGAAATCATTGACGGATGGACTTAGCCATGTTGGTAATTGTCGACTACCTGGTTGGGGTCCGCGAGATGATAATAATCGATGGTTAGAGACCCTGAATGACATGGCTCACAATCGTTTGCAATGGCGCAGGTGCATTTATTCTTTGTGTTCTCTCAAATCTTAATCTTCTGGAATCTTCAACCCCTCTAGTTTTGACTTTCTAAACTTTTTTCACTGAATCATACTTCTTGAATAATATCTTCTAATCCTAACCTCTCCGTTTACTTCTAATACCTTTACTACCTCTTCTACTATTAGATTTGAATAGACAATTACATCTCTGTGCTGATGTGGTATGGCGACATGAACTGATGTTCTACGTTGCATCTAACTGACTGACGTTGTAGCTGACTGATTTGTATACTTACGCTTATTACCCCCAATGGAGCATAGGCCGCCCACCAGTAATCTCCAACCTACTCTCTGTCTTGGACTTCCGTTTGCAGTTCTTTCCAATTTTTGTTCATCTTCCTCATGTCTTTCTCTGTTTCTCGGTGTAATGTGTTCCTTGACCTTCTTCTTTTCCTTTGACCTTGAGAATTTCAAGGTAGGAGAGCTTATCTTGTGAAGTAGTTGGGTGCTTTTCGTAATGTGTGTCCTATCCACTTCCAGTGTTTGTTCCTGATTTATTCCTGTGCCGGAATCTGATTTGTTCTCTCCTACAGTAGGTTGTTGCTGATAGTGTTTGGCTAACGAATCAGAAGTATTTTGCGTAGACAACTGTTAAGGAACACTTGTATCTTCTGGATGATGGCTTTCGTAGTTCTTCAAGTTTCCGCTCCACCCAGTAGAACTGTCTTGACATTTGTATTGAAAATTCTGATCTTGGTGTTGATCGATATTTGTTTGCAGTTCCAGATATTGTTCAACTGTAGAAATGGAGCCCTTGCTTTGCCGATCCGCGGCCTCACATCTGTATCGGATCGGCCTCGATTGTCGATGATGCTGTCCAGATATGTAAAGGTGTTAACGTCCTCCAGGGCGTGTCCATCAAGGGTGATTTGTATAGATTAGTAGAATTGTTACAATTCAAATCATGAACTAAACCGGGAAATATTAAATGGTCTTTTTGTTGTAGTAAGGGACTTCTGGCAGTGCACACTATTGTGAATTGGTTGGTTGGAAACCGTTGGATCCCAACTCTTTGGTTTTGACATTAACCATTCGTACGTAAGAACGAAGGTCTTGATTTCTTTGGTTATTGGGCTTGTGAGTTCGCATTGTTAAGGCGTCTTATACTTGAACGAAACGACTTTCCAGTGATTTTCAAGTTTTCAACGCTGGTCTAGCTAATATCAGTTCGTGGATGTGTTTTGACGGTGAAAATATTTATTAGCTTTAAATATTCACTGAATGTCGAATCTTTGTGAACCGTATTTATAATTTTACACATTTACTTGTAAACTTATAGTGATACGATATAAAACTATCAATGATTGACTATTTATTCAGGAATATGAAAGCATTGAGAAAAGGTGTATACCACTTTCATGCATAATTTTTTTAAAGATTATATACTTACTTACTTACTTACACCTGTTACCCCCAATGGAGCACAGGCCGCCCACCAGTTTTCTCCAACCTACTCTGTCCTGGGCTTCCCTTTCCAGTTCTTTCCAATGTTCGTTCATTCCTCTCATATCTTTATCTATTTCTCGGCGTAATGTGTTCCTTGGCCTTCCTCTTTTCGTTTTGCCTTGAGGGTTCTAAGGGAGGGCGTGTGACGCGGTCCGGAGCTTTCCCACTTCCTCCTCTTCTTCCTGATTTCCTCCTCCGTCGTATGATTTACACTGTAATAACACAGTTGATCAGCGTGTCACTTTCAGTCAGTCATGTTTATACCTTCATTTATATAAATAACTTCTTTTCGGGACTCCGTATTAGCGAATAATCATGGCCTCCGACGCGTTATGAAAACAAAAACCTAGTGTCTTGTTCAAAAATAAAAGTTCGCTTACGAGCTGATGCTTTTTGGTGGGATATTCATCCAATATCCTAAGATAATTTGTTTGTAAGTCTAATTTTATTGGTCAATTCTTATTGGTCGTCCTGACTGTCAATGTCAACGACTTGAATGTTGTTTCCTATTCTGCCTAACTGTATAAATATGCATTATCTGTAACGGTTTATGACTCGGGCGTAGATCTATAGTCCGGGATCCTGATTCTCTTCTGGACTCGGACTTCGTACTCTCTAGATAAATGCTTGTAGAAGACATATTCTACTTCATATAAAGTCTTCTTCTTTCACTCAATTAGGGTTTGGGACGCTCGGTTTAGAGTAGCCTGTTATGTCGTCGTATCATCGATACTCCCCCTCATTTTCCAAATAAGGTAAACTCGTCATAGTTCAAGCCTATTAAATTGACATGTTCACGTGCATGCGTAACACTATTTTTTACATGACTTTATTCGTGATCAATCGGTTTTATGATTTGGTTAGTGAATGGTTAGTAATAGTAAAAATGTGATTGATCAATGAGTTTATAGTAACAGATACTCAACTTACGGGCTTTTGTATTTGTGATTAACTGATTATTGACTTTTACTCTGAATTCACTGAGAGTAGACTGCTGTACAATTTTATTTCATATAGCACAGCCTAGCTTATATCCTAATTCTGTTTTCTCTCTGTATTTATTGTAAGAGTTTGTATTTGTACGTTGTTTATCTCAAAAACTATAATCAATCAGTCTCTTTAGTGTGATGTATGTTCATTATGAGGGCGGATTGAATAGTGACTATGAGTTGTACAAATTGTGACATGTTTCAATCGATTCAGCTACCCGAACTCTTCAAATCAAATGTTCCGGGTTGAATTCTCCCTGCGTGCATATCAAAATTCGTTATGTTGATATGTACAAACAGACAGACAGACAGAGGTATTAGAGGGTGTAGGAAGGATTTGATTTTGACCAATTTGGTCTCGTGTGCTGTTACGGGTATGAGGGCAGTTGTCACTTCCCGGCTGCCTACACTGTGGAAGGTAGTTTCTTGAGGAACCTGAAAAGGAATGAATGTATATTAGCGTTGGTCTTAGAGACCTGGGTGCGTGACCGCAGAGCGCAAGGGACAGCTACTTGAGGCCGGTCACGCACGGCTTGTTTATGAAGGGTTTTTTGATTATTAGCTCCGCTCTTGAAAGCCCTTAGTGGGCACCCTTGCCGATGGAGACGGAAATTCTTGAGGAAGGATGAGGTGTGACATTTTTAGGGTCGACCTTTTCTAACCCTTCCTTCCTTGTGAGAAGGCAGTATCGCTGCAGATGCTGGTTGTCCGAGGGAAACACCTTACTGCTGCCACACCTTTCTACAGTCAGCAGTACGACTTCGCCCTCAGACGTTGAGTAGCTGCTTTTAGTCTCATCGTTCTGCAATCGACCTGCCTGCAATGGTAGAACCTTCAGGAACATATGTTCCAGTCAGTATAGCTCGGTTAGGTCATGACGATAGTCAAGCCCGACCACCACCACGTCAAGTTACAAGCTATGGTCGGGATATGTACATTTAAGGAATGAAGCACGCCTTCTTTATATCAGTTCATTGTTTTGACCCACTTCGTTCTCTTGTTCTCCCTTTTCCTTACAGTACAAACTTTAGCTCGTGGTGGCAATGTCCTAGTACCATCAAATCCATCCGGTATTATATTTGATTTACTTGAAACAGCTATTCATGCTAAAGAAAATTTTAATGGTACAATTTTACCATTAATTATTATGCATCCTCATCATACAATATTGGAAAATAATTCAGATCATCATGAAAATACTACTCATGGGATTGGAAGTAGTATAAGTACTACCACTACTACTACTACTACTGCTACTAGTAGTAGTAATCCTACATTGTCAAGAAATTCTATCAATGCAACTACACCAATAGAAATTGATTTAACAAGTGATCGTGGTACACCGGTACCTGCAACCACAAACACAACTACAACCACGACTACAAATACGCCTACAATAATAGCACAACAGACAACTATTGGTTTATCATCATCCTCATCATTGTCAACATCCAATCAAGTAGCACGTTCACCAGTATTTTTTATATCCAATCAAGTTCATGTTAGTTTAGCTTATTCCAATGCTTATGGGGAATGGTTGAATTCAATGAAAGAATCTGTATTGTATACAGCGGATGCACCATTTCCTTTTCAATCTGTAAGTTGTTGAATAATAATAATAATAAGTTTATTGTTTATTTAACATGTTCAAACTATCGACTACTGCTTTGACAAGTGATTGTTTTTGTAGTGTATGAGGAGTAGGTTGGAAGAGAGGTAGGGGCGGCCTAACCAAAGCACAGCACATATCCATGAAGTCACTGACAAGTGGACTGAGTCATGTCGGTAGACGTAGTAGACTGCCTGGTTGGGTTCTGCGAGTCGATAGTAACTGATGGTTAGAAACCTGTAATGACATGGATCAAATTCGTTTCGCGATGGCGCAGGTGCATTCATTCTTTGTGTTATCTGAAATTCTAATCTTCTGAGTTCTTGATCACCTCTACCTTTTTCTTTCTAAAGTTATCTCACTGAATTATACTTCTTAAATAAAATCTTCGAATCCTAATCTTCTCCATTACTGCTAATACTTCTACTATCTCTATCACTATTGCATTTGAACTGACAATTCAGTTTCTGTTTACTAATGTGTTACGGCAACCTGAACTGATGTACTTACGTGTGAAAGTTCTACGTTTTAGCTGGACTGCTTGATATTTAAACACATTAACATTGGTAGAAATGGGTACCAAAGTATGTATGCGTTACTCAAATCATTAGGTTGGCGGGTGGACTATAACAATGTCCGCGGTATCTGAGATATGATGATTGCAAAAAGAGAACGTCTATTTGATTACTGAGTAACATGAACAAATACTCGTGACTATGCATACATTCACTTCCTTAGAAAGAAATTTCTAAACCATTGACCAAACACATTATCTGTTGGCTATCTGATAGCCTCCTCGATTGAATCACTTTTGATTGGCTCAATATATCCGTTCTCTTAGAGGATCACTTCCATAGCCTTTGACACAAGGTTCTAATCCACAAGACAGTGAAGCGGCGTCAAAGGGTGGCTATGGTTTCGGCAGTATGCAAGCGTAACCTCAGTGCTCGAGGAAGAGTGGACTGAGTCATGTCGGTAATTATCGACTACCTGGCTTGGGGTCCGCGAAATGATAGTCACCGATGGTTAGAGACCCTGAGTTACATGGCTCAGGTGCATCCACTCTTTCTGTTCTCTCAATCCTAACTTTCTGAATTCCTCATCCCCTCTATATTTCTCTTTCTAAATTTATCTCACGGAATTTTACTTCTTGAATAATATCTTCGAGCCCTAATCTTCTCCATTACTGCCGATGATGTTAATCAATCTGTGACAGACAGACAGACAGATACAACACAGAACTTCGTACGTAAATACATCAGTTCCGGTTGCCAGGCCCCATCAGCACAGAGACCCAGCTGTTAGTTTAAATCTAAGATCGACAGCAATAATAGAAGTATTAGCAGTAATGGAGAAGATTAGGGAGCAAAGATATGATTCGAGAAGTATAATTCAGTGTGATAAATTTAGAAGGAGAAAGGTAGAGATTATGAGGAATGCAGAAGCTTAGAATTTGATAGAACACAAAGAGTGGACGCATTTGCGCCATTGCAGACGATTCTGAGCCATGTCGTTTAAGATCTCTAACCACCGGTGACTTTCGTCTCGCGGACCCCAACCAGATAGCCTACATCTACCAACATGACTCAGTCCACTTGTCAATGACTTCATGGATTTCTTCCATGTTTTGTTTTGGCCACCCCTAGCTTTCTTCCAATCTACTCCTACACTACAAAACACAGCTCGTCGCGACAGTCGATGGTTAGGCATACGTAAAACGTGTCCCAGCTACCTCAACTGATGAGGTTTCACTACTTCATCTGTTGATTTCCATCCCTACATAGGACTCGTTTCCTAACGACAGCATTGCTTATGCGGTTGTCCCACGATACACGAGCAATGCTTCGGAGACATCGATGATCGAAGACTAACCTACGGAAGTCCTCTACTCTTAACGGTCAAGTCTCACATCCGTATATTAGGACGGAGCAAACTAATGCGCAGTACACTCATCCTTTATTCAGCAAACGGATATCTTGCCTACGCCATAAGTGACGTATGTTGGCAAAAGCCAATCGAGCCTTCTGTATCCGAGCTGAGATTTCGTCAGTCACCAGGCCACCAGCCCTGATAAGACTCTCCAGATAAATGAAGCGATCAACACGCTTGACTACTTCACTCCTTATCACTAGAGTTCAAGTGCCGATGCAACCCAATCTTCTAAGCAACATCAATCTGTCCGATAAGATCGTAGTAGTTGACAATTTTCAACATCAATTGTTTTTACTCTTTTCTCTTTCATTTCTTTATTATCTCATCATAAATCATTATTATTTATCTGCTGTTTGAATTCATTTTCAGCTCCTGCAATGTGGTAAATTAGTTGCATTAAAAAGTTTACATGATTCTACATTCAATAAGAAATTCTTATCCAATTCATCATCATTATCATCTACAGTTGGAAGATATTCAAGTCAACTATCATTAATAACATCACCATTATTATTAGTAGGTACTACTGGCCAGTCTACTACGACATCTACTACTACTACTACTACTACAGGTGGTGGTTATTTTGATACAACTAGCAACAACCATACAAATCATGTGTCCAATTCAGTTACCTCTACCACTGCGGAAACTTTTGATACTGCACTATTTGCTTTGAATAATAATAGTACGTCGATTCGACATACTGGTAGTAGTACTAGTAGTAGTGCTAATCATAATCATAATGTCAGTGGTGGTATTTGGCCTAATTCATCATGTTTAATATTTGCTAGTCATCCAAGTTTGAGATTAGGACCAGCTGTCCATTTGACACGTGTTTTAGCACATGGTGGTTTACGTTCCGGTGGTAGTATTGGACGTACAAGTAATCCTTCGCATAATTCAATTATTTTAATTGAATCTGGTGATTATGTACCATTGTAAGTGATTCAATGTATACATTTGTATATATATATATATTACTTACATGATAGTTTTAAGTAATATATGTATCATTTTTTGTGATTTGCGTAAACTGATAATTTTTTTGTGCGTATTTGCCAATAAACTCACAATCGTGATTAGGAGTCGGTCAACAGTCTAGTTGGTAGTTGTTGCGTCTGCATGTAAACACGTCAACTTGATAAACTTGAACTATTACGAGTTTACCCCTTAGTCGGAAAACGAGAGCGAGGATCGGCGGACACGACATACTACTCAAATCTGATTATCCCAGCCCCCCCCCCCATATTGAGTAAAAAGAAGAAGACTTGAATATGGAGTAGAACCTGTATTCTAAAAGCATCCAGAAAGTACGAGGTCGAGTCCAGATGCGAATCAGGATCCCGGACTAGGGGTTCGGGTCATAAAACGTTAAAGATAATGCGTATTTATACATTTCGGTCGAATAGGAAACAACATCGAATTCTGTGACATTGACAGTTAAGACGACCAATAGGAAAAAGCATTTGAAGTGACATTGATAGTCAGGACGACAATAAGAAACAAGATTGGAGCACGTGACATTGATATCTAGGACGACCATAAAATTGACCAGTAGGAATTAACCAATAGGAATAAACCAATAATTCTCTTAGGATATTGGATGAATATCCTAACAGTAATCAATAGCTTTTGAGATGTGTTGGATAGTGAAATGATGTCAAATCAGTGAAGTATGTATGGTGTGTATTTTCGTCAATTGTTCGAGTTTCTCTCACTTTTGAGTTAGATATCATTCTTTACTATTTAATTTTCGATCTTATTCATTTTGGTGCTTCGAACTCACAGAGCTTTAAATGACAGTGTTTAATTCACTCGGTTTGTCTTCCCCTGGTTTTTTGTATATAGCACGTTACACTACTTTATTAATAGTTAGTAGTTTGAGTTGTGTAATTGATTTCAAGATTCTACTCCTCTTTCTCTTTGCTGTTTTGATTTTGTTAACTGTTCGGTTGATTCATGTAGGTGAGTGTAAAATAACCTGGTTTGTGTCAGTGTTAATATTTCTCTATCAATGGTGAGAGTCTCGGTAACTTGGGTTGAAACCGCACTTATTGACCTGTTTTAGAATCATAGCTCTTGTACTTTCTCTTACAATGTAAATCATTCACGTTACTATTGTTGCTATAGTGCCTTCTGATACTCTGAAATTTGTCCTGAAATAATGAGGTATGGCAACCTGAATCGAAACACTTGTCAGGTTCTAGGTTGCGTATGACCGAATGACGGATCTATTAAGCATTAATGCATTATTTTATTATGAGAAGAACTTCAGTCATTCATTATTCATGAAAAATGATTAAGTTTTATACACTCATAGAGTTCTATAAAACAGTATTTGTTAAATCCGTGTCCAAACACCGATTTTCACTCTCCTTACTTTTTTATGCTTAGCCCATCACACTACTTTATTCATAATCAGTAGTTTGAGTAGCCCACCGTTTTTTCATAATCCACTCCATTTTAACATTTCATTCATTGACAAATAAATACTGAATGTCTTTTTATATTTTCTGTCTACTTTAACATAGATTTGAATACAATTCCAAATGTTTATGCAGTCCAGAATTACATCTTCGGCGAATCATTTCACCATTTCTTCAACCTAACCAAACATTCACTAATCATCCCGTGTCCTATTCACAATTAGGTACACCATCTTTATCAATCAGCGATACAGCCACAGTGTATTGGTTACCAATGGAAGCGCGTATAGGTGTACAACAAATAGATCAATTAGTGAAACGTTGTGGTGAACCACGGCTAGCATTAATATTACCACAAGAAATTTATGATAAATCATTTGATTGGGTAAGTGGTAGGTATAAATGTTATGTTATCTATCTAGTGTGTATGTCCATGTATATGTACGTATATAAATCATTTGATCTTACCAGTATGGCGAACTGTCACCGGAATTTTTTACTTCAAGTGGTGTCCGTCAGGAATGTCCATTCTCTCCAGTCTTGTTCAATTTTATCATAGACATGCTCCTAGAAATAACCTTATCCTCGTCTGAATTTTCAGGGGTAGACCTTTTACCAGGTGGCTCGCTTATTGACTTAGAATATGCCGATGACATTGTCCTACTTGGTGAAGACGCTGACAAAATGCACAGTCTTCTGACCACTTTGAGCAACAATGCAAGCATGTTCGGGATTCGGTTTTCCCCCTCGAAATGCAAAATGTTGCTTGAAGATTGGGTTTCATCGGCACCTGAACTGGTGACAGAGGGTGAAGCAGTTGAGCGTGTAGACCGCTTCACTTATCTGGGGAGTCTCATCAGTACTGATGGCCTGATGACTGACGAAATCTCAGCACGGATACAGAAGGCTCGATTAGCTTTTGCCAACCTGCGTCACTTATGGCGTAGGCTAGATATCCGTTTGCTGACTGAAGGATGAGTGTACTGTGCAGTGGTTCGCTACGTCTTACTTTATGGCTGTGAAACATGGCCAGTGAGAGTAGAAGATATTCGTTGGTTACTGGTTTTCGATCATAGGTGTCTTCTAAGAAGCATTGCTCGTATATTCTGGGACACCCGAATGAGCAACGCTGTTATTAGGAAACGGGTGCTAGGTAAGAATGGCAGATCAATAGATGAAGTGGTGAAACTTCATCAGTTGAGGTGGTTCGGACATGTGTTACGTATAGCTAACCACCGACTGCCTCGTCGAGCTTTGTTTTGTAATGAGGAATAGGTTGGAAGAAAGTTAGGGGCGGCCAAACCAAAACATTGCATTAATCCATGAAGTCATTGACGAGTGGAATGAGTCATGTCGGTAATTGTCGACTACCTGGTTGGTGTCTGCGAGATGATAATAATCGATGGTTAGAGACCCTGAATGACATGGCTCAAGGCCGTTTGCAATGGCGCTGGTGCATTTATTCTTTGTGTTCTCTCAAATCCTAATCTTCTGGATTCTTCAACACCTCTAGTTTTGACTTTCTAAACTTTTCTCATTGAATTATACTTCTTGAATAATATCTTCGAACCCTCTAGTCTTCTTCATTACCATTAATACTTCTACTATCTCTATTATCACTATGGGATTTGATTTGATATTTGCGTCTCTGTGCTAATGTGTTGGTATGGCAACATGAACTTATTTACATGCGCACGTAGTTCTACGTTGCAACTTACTGACTGGATCGGGGACAAATAGATTAGAATAGCCTATCGTATCACTGAATCATTTATCTTCGCTCTCGTTTACCGACTAAGCTTAACTCGTAATATATCATTCAAGCATATCAATTTGGAACATGTGTTTACCCATGTCCAGTCACTACTATCTTTAATTTTGTCTGTAAGTCAATTAAGGTGATGTAAATGAAATTATCGAGTAATTGTGTTTTTCACTTTGGTGTTTCGTTCCCCATTGTCACTTATCGACAAAATAATAGTACGTTTATATTTTTTTGACCATTGAATCCAGGGGATTCAAGATTTCCTGCTTCAATGTATTTTGCTCACTACATTGACGAAAAATAATACTCTTTATACTGTTGGGTAGCCGCAAAATATCTTTCATAAATCATCTGTAGAGGCACAGAAATGCCAGTAAAACATTTGAATGATTGTTTAATGAAAGTTGACTATTCAAACTAAAAATTTGAAAACACTATTGAAAGAAAAATCTATAATCCCAGAATGAATGTACACTGTAATGTAAATGTAATCATTTTTCGCATTATGGGGTTGTGAAGATTGTTAAGTTACACAATTTTTGAAACCATGAATCGATCAATGTTAGTTAGATCACCATTAGAAACCTGGAAGCACTGAAAGACGACCGTTTCGTCCTGGTATGGGACTCCTCAGTGCCAGTGCGCATCCACGACTTCTGCATCCCGCAGGATTCGAACCCAGGACCTTCGGTATTGTGCGCGAACGCCTAACCATCGGACCACTGAGTACGGTATCTAACGGTGTTAATGTCTAACTTGATCAATTCACGAAGTTGCGCAACCTCATACACAGTCTTCGATAGTTACTGTCTACACCCGAACAGGTTGAACTACACTAGTCACGTCTTCTCTTACTAGAACTCGAAGAAGATTCCTCACGTAGCTAATCACTAGTGAGCACAGGTTGTGAAGATTTTGGGGTACGGGAGTCGTGGATGCGCACTGGCACTGCTGAGGAGTCCCATACCAGGATGAAACAGCCGTCCAGTGTTTCCAGGTTTCTAATGGTGGTCTAACTAACAATGATCGATTCATGGTTTCAAAAAAAGTAATAATTTTTTCTCAAATTTCGCGCTCTTTTGTTTTTCTTTTCTAGTTAAATATCCCATCAAAATTAGAACCATTCAATACAAAACTCCATACATTATCATATAATCAACAATTGTGTATTCCTTTACCGGAGACACGTTTAGAACAAGTCTATTTATCAAGTAAATTAATACCAACGATTAAACCTATTTGTATTAAATTACAAAGTAATAATAATAATACAACGGAATTGAATATTGAAAATATTGATCATAAACACAGCAGTCATGATGTGGATTCACATCAGTCAATTAATAAATATGATGTAAAACGTAAACTATCTACTCCTGCTACTTCTGGTACTCCTGATTTGAATAAAGAACATCATGAACAGAAATCACTGATACAATCTGATAGTGAAGTCAATGCAAGTCATAACAAACGTAAATGTATTGCTTTAATCAATGGAATATTAACTACAAGAGATGGTAAGTGTTTGTGTGTGTTTGTGTTTTAGATGCTAATTTTTCATGTCAATCAGTTAGTTACAATGTAGAAGAACTTCGTATGTACGTATGAACATATATAAGTTCAGGTTGTCCTACCGCATCAGAACAGCGACGCGACTGTCAGTTCAAATCCAATAGTGGTAGAGATAATAGAAGTATTATCCAGTAATGGAGAAGACTAGGATTCGCAGAAATTATTCAAGAAGTATAATTCAGTGAGATAAATTCAGAAAAAAGATATAGGTGATCAAGAACTCATAAGATTAGAATTTCAGAAAACACAAAGAATGAATGCACTTGCGTCATTGCAAACGATTTTGAGCCATGTCATTCAGGATTTCTAACCATCGGTTACGATTGTCTCGTAGACCCCAACGAGGCAGTCTACGTCTACTAACATGACTCATTTCAATTGTTAGTGAGTTCATGAAGTAGTAGAAGTATTACTGGTAATGGGAAAGACAAGGGTTTGAAGATATGATTCGAGATGTATAATTCAGTGAGATTAGGTTAGAAAAAGAAATATAGATGTGATGAGGAATTCTTAAGATTAGAATTTTAGAGAACACAAAGAGTAGATGCATCTTCGCCATTACAAACGATTTTGAGCCATGTCGTTTAAGGTCTCTAACTATCCGTTACTCTTGTCTCGTGGACCGCAACCAGATCGTTCACATCTATTAACATGACTCATTCCACTTGTCAGTGGCTTCATGGATTTGTTCCATGTTTTCGTGTGGCCGCCCCTAGCTTTCGACCAACCTATTCCTATATCGCGAAATATAGCACGTCGAAGCAGTCGGTGGTTACGCATTCGTAACACACGTTCAAACCACCTCAACTGATGAAGTTTCACTACTTCATCTATTGACCTGTCATCCTTATCTAGAACCCGTTTCCTAACAACAGCATTGCTTACTCGGTTGTCCCATAATACACGAGCAATGCTTCTGAGACATCTATGATCGAAAACCTGTAACCTACGGATATCTTCTTCTCTGACTGATCATATTTCATAGCCATAAAGTAGGATGGAGCGAACTACTTCACAGTGTGCTCGTCCTTTTGTCAGCTATTGCATATCTCGTTAATGCCATAAGTGACGCAGGTCGGCAAAAGCCAATCGAGCCTTCTGTATCCGAGCTGAGATTTCGTCAGTCATCAGGCCATCAGCACTGATGAGACTCCCCAGATAAGTGAAGCGGTCTACACGCTCAACTGCTTCACCCTCTGTCACCAGTTCAAGTGCCGATGCAACCCAATTTTGAAGCAACATTTTGCATTTAGACGGAGGAGAATTGCATCCCGAACATGCTTGCATTGTAGGGTAGTCAGCAGACACTGCATTTTGTCAGCGTTTTCATCAAATAGAACTATGTCATCGGCATATTCTAGGTCAATAAGCGATCCTCCTGGTAGACGGTCTACTCCTGAAAATTCAGTCGAATATAATTTTATATCTAGAAGCACGACAATGTATTACATAAAGTTTAGCACAATTAACTTGTATTTGGCAAAGTGTTAAAATAATTTTGGCTATCAGTAAGCATATCGATAGAAAATCGCCAGTGAACGTGTCATAAGGAACGTGGAACCTGATACATGTGTATCCAACATCAAAATTCAAAGCCATATTATCTTAGTATGATGAAAATTGTTCAAAGACAAGTTCTAGATTATTAAAAGTGCAAACAGTAGGAAAACTAAATGAATGTACTTGTGACAAAGCAAAGGTTATTTGGATGAAAAACATACTTTGGAAACTCAAGAGAACTAGGCAACTGTTTTATCCTAGTAGGATACTCGCTCTATACCAATAATAATCATATCCTCCATCGGTGAGTAGCTTCAAGATGCAACTCTCAGAGCTGCGATTAGTGGAGTTCATCCATGTCGGATGTGTGACAGAGTTAGATATTAACACCGTTGGATTCTGTCTCCGTGGTCTAGAGGTTATACGTTCACACAAAATCGGATGTCCTCCGTTTGATTCACGCGTGAGGCGCTTAGACATTCACTGTTGAGGAATCCCATACTGAGAGGAAGCTGCCCTCCAGTAATCGGATGTTTTCAATAATGGTCTTAACTATAAATGTTCCTTTTATGTCCCTAATTTGTTTGAACTAAATACTTCGTATTAGTGCGGTAATGCAGTAAACTTGTAAATCAAAATACTACTACTTTTACTTCGTTTTTGACCAGTTGGGTGTGTAAGTGATTATCCCCTTATTTAACAGGTTATGCAGTTGTCAGTTTACATGAATTTCAAGTAGTGATTATCAATTTATTTACCTTTCCATCTATAAATTCTATAGGTAAACATTGGTTAACTGGTAAACATGAAAAACTCGAGCCAGATATTATTCAACCTGTTAAAGATATCACTACTATACGACCTATAACACCTCCAATTACAACAAATACTTCCACTCCTTCTACAACATCAACAATTGCAACCACAAACACATTGGATAACACTCATGATCAATCTAAAGATCTTGTACAAAAATTCAATCAGTTCGATTCTGAAAATCGTATATTAGTTTGTTGTGATGAATCAAGCCGGATAAATCCAAATGCATTAATAAAAAAATTAACTGAACGTGGTGTTACAGGTGCTTATTTAGCAGATTCACATACTGCACATCAAGTGTATTCTCGATTCGCTGTATATAATACTCATAATAAACGCTCAAGTTCTATACAAAATGAAGAAGTCATTCTATTTGTAAGTTATTCTTCAGCTTTGTTATTATTGAAAAAACTTTATAAGCCAAATAATTTTCTCAGTCAATCAGTCAGTCAGATGCAACGTAGAACTTTGTACGTATGTAGGTACATCAGTTCATGTTGCCATACTACATTAGCACACAGAGATGTAATTGTCAATTCAAATCCAATAGTAGTACAGGTAGTAAACGTATTACTAGTAATCGGAGAGGTTAGGATTAGAAGATATTATTCAAGAAGTATGATTCAGTGAGATAAATTTAGAAAGTCAAAACTGCAGGTGTTGAAGAATCCAGAAGATTAGGATTTGAGAGAACACAAAGAATAAATGCGTCGGCGTAATTGCGAACTATTTTGAGCCATGTCGTTCAAGATCTCTAACCATCGATTATTATCATCTCGCGCACCCCAACCAGGTAGTTGACAATCACCCACATGGCTAAGTCCACTCGTCAATGACTTCATGGATTTCTGCCATGTTTTGGTTTGGTCACTCTCAGCTTTCTTCCAACCTATTCCCACACTACAAAACATAGCTCGTCGAGGCATTCGCTGGTTAGGCATATGTAACACATGTCCCAACCACCTCAACTGATGAAGTTTCAATACTTCATCGATTGATCTGCCATTCTTTCTTAGCACCCGTTTCCTAATAACAGCGTTGCTCACTCGGGTGTCCCAGGATATACGATCAATGCTTCGAAGACACCTATGATCGAAAACCAATAACTTACGAATGTCTTCTACTCTGAATGGCCATGTTTCACAGCCATAAAGTAAGACGAAGCGAACTACTGCACAGTGCACTCGTCCTTTAGTCAGCAATCGCATATCTCATTAATGCCATGAGTGACGCAGGTTGGCAAAAGCCAATCGAGCCTTCTGTATCCGCGCTGAGATTTCTTCAGTCACTAGGCCATCGGCACTGATGAGACTCCCAAGATAAGTGAAAAATAATTTTCTCGTTTTTGTGGTAGTGGTGTTTCGTTTTCTGAGCTGGATGTTTTGGTTGTGGAGCTTTCATGGTTCTTCTACTGAACAACAACATCATCAGCACAAACTTGAGATAGAAGTGAAGTGAAGCATTCGAATTTCTCCACGTTTGATCTGTAGCTTGTTCTGCTAACCTCAATCTTGATTGCTGTTGCTGTTGACCTTAAATGCGTCGTTGTTTGCACCTTTATTTTGATTGTATCCTCCTTTTTGATCTGTTTCTTGATCCTATGTCACCTATAATTTGTCTGATTGGTTAGGTCAATGTCGATGTGTTTGTTGATTGCTGATTAACCTGAGCGCCAGCTGAGCTTCTAAAAATTCCCTAGTGTTCTTATCCTCCCCCTATCCAGTATTTCCTCATTGTTCCAATCGAATGTGTGTTCATAATTGTCGGTGTGTATTGATATAAGTGAAGCATTGTCGTGACGTTTGATTGCTAATCGCTGTTCCCGTAAACGAAGCTGAAGAGGTCGTCCACTTTGTCCTATGCAGTGTTTCTCACAGTCTGACAGAAAAGATAATTTCGTGAAGGTTAGTATTTAAATAAATAAACGACTGTTATCATTGCAGTATACTTAGACTGAATATAATAAGGATGAATCACACAACATTGTAACTCCATGAGATAGTGGAAATATCTTTTTTAACCTGAACATTCGATTGTGAAAAGCTGAATTTGATGGTGGCACGATTTTTATCTAGTTTTTTCTGATGTAGTTAGCAGTACTTAAGCTGTACATACGTTTTCTTGAATAGTACATCATCAGGGTGAATTCTCACCAGTTATTAAGTTTTGATTGACTTATCACAGTAGATAAACACTGGCTACTACTACTACTACTACTGGACTAAGGAAAAACTGTTTTCAATCTTACCATTGTCACTTAACACCTCTATTATTATTTTGTAGTGTGTTCAGCAATACTGTCAGATTAATAACTTTTAGAACTAGAACTCAAATTGGATATATGTGTCAGTTCATAATGTGATACTTCATACTAACACGGGGAAAACATTGACAGGTTAAGAAACAAGTGACTGACAGTATTACTTAGCGCAGTAAAATGCTAAGCATGTGGAATTTTAGTGATAGAACGGCAATTCGAATCAGTTAACGCAAATGACACTTGTAGTACATGTTACAGATGGTGGTCAAAATTTTTAGCTCATGTGGATGATTATGGTGGTGTTTCGTCCTCAGAGCTGGATGTTTTGGTTGTGTAGCTTTCATTGTTCTTCCGCTGAACAACATCATCAACCAATCAGAAAAATCATAGGTGATGTAAGATCAAGAAACAGATCAAAAAGGGGGATACAATCAAAACGAATGTGCAAACAACGGCAGGTTTAAGGTCAGCAACAACCAATCAAGATCGAGGTTAACAGAACGTGCTACAGGTCAAACGTGGTGAAATTCGAATACTTCTACTATCTGAAGTTTGTACTGATGACGTCTTTCAGCAGGAGAACAATGAAAGCTCCACAACCAAAACATCCAACTAAGAGAACGAAACACCACCACAAGCACACGTTACAACTAGTTTTATCGATGTAGATTTACAGTCAATCTATTCGAATCTAGTAATATGGGTAACAAAGGTGTCATTGTTTGCCTCCTCACTATACAGATGTCACTGAATAATAATAATTATTATTATTATATTTTTGCTTATTATAATTTCTCTAATATCACTTTACTTGTGTTTCATTCTATCTTGAATTTTTGTTTTCTAGCCAAATCCAAATACAATGATTTGTTTGCATGATCATGGTAGTCATATCATTTGTATGGATGAAAGTACACGTACTGCAATCAGAGATACTTTATTGTTATTTGTACAGAACATAGATACTTATTCAGTTGTGTAATTATTTTAAATATATATATAAAACTGTTCTTTTATGTACTACTTATTTTAGCGTATGTTAATTGTTATATCCCTAACTGTTGGTCCGGATGTCCATAGCCGGCCTCCACAAACACTGTTATATTTCGAGTAGACACATAGTAGTTAATGAGTTAATTCAGAAGATCATAATGATAGGAATATGCTTGCAAAAAGTTAGTTACTTAATAGTTTTCTGATAATTACTCTAAACTCTTTCCTGATATAGTCAAACAATTAATATTGTGGGTGGTATAATCCTGTGGATAACGGTCTTGATATCATTTAGTGAGCCACTGCATTTGGAACTGTCAAGATGGTTGGGTTGTTTCATAAGTAGCGATGTGTGGTTTGATGTTATTTATTTGGTAAACTGCGAAAGTAACACTGATGAATGTGCAGTTTCTAATTACGCAAGTCTAATTCATTTGGCCATTTAACTGAATAGTTTAAGATACCTCACTAAAGTCTAAAATAATTCTAAAGTCATGGTTTACTCGAAAACAGACAAAACCAGAAAAATCTGGTAGTCTTAAAAAACACACAAGGCGGTCCATTTATTAGTACCATTCTGAGAGGTAGGATATTTCACACGTTTGCAGTGCTTACTGGGAGAATGACTTCGAAGTCCCGTCGCGCCACTAGGAATCTTCTCCTGGTGGATGGACAAGTTGATATTACTAACGGCTCGTAAAGCACGGTATCTCGCCATCAATTATTGTCGGAGTTGTGACTTGGTAGTTAAGTTGATAGTGGTATGTTTGGTGCTGTAGAATACTTGTTCTCTTAAACGTACCACTGGTTGTTATGTAGTTACTGGAAGGTAGTAAGAGCCGTCTCAGCCAAACTAAAGGAGGTTATACTATGTTCATCCTTATGCCAGAGAAGCTGGCGTCAGTACGTTTTATCTTGCAAGCATAGTTTAGAAGAGTATTGAAGTAGACGAGGTTACTTGAATGTATATATGGCCTAGATGTAATATTATATACGTTGGGCATCCATGCCATCTGATTCGAGCGATGGTAAGTTTGGAACGTTAGAATACTAACACTAGCAAGAACAGCATATGTCCCACAAAAATCCAGGATAAGCAAAACTGTGTTTTCGATTGGTTTGTCACATTCTACTGTACGGTAAAAACAAGATACTATGAAAATATGCAAGATAAAACTGTCAGTTTCTTAACTGTTTCAAAAATCACCCTTGAGGTAATCTTGTATGTTCCGAAGATTTATACAGGCATTCAAATTATCTGGTAACGAAAGCAAGCGAGATAATATGTTATGAACGAACTAATAATATTTGAGATAGCGAGTCGATGATGTCTCAAAACGTATTCCCCTATATGGTTATCGTTTTAGTTGATGCTAGTTCGTGATGAAAACTTCGAAATCTGATTTCTGACTCTAATATAAACTGTAAGCCCTATTACGTATTTCTAACGCTGATTAATAAAATTTTTTAAAAATAATCGTAAGTAGAGAAATCCTGTGGTCAGTGTAACACTGATTATAAGCAATTTATGCTCACTCACACCAGAGTCTATAGGACTGTGTATATAGTCCTTCGCGAATGTGTCTATCTTCGTAAGGGCTAAGAAGATAAACTGTTGTTATCACTAACACTTCCTATTCAGTTTTGTTTTAAAGGAAAGAAACACAGTCAGATTTAATGAATTAGTTACTCAACTCGGATGTTATCCGTCTTCGTTGACACTATCTTTTGATGAAACAAAATTTGTACACTTTTGCAAATCAATGAATAATTCATTACCTCAGTCAAAGTGTTATTTAAAAGATAGTAACACTGGACAACCATTTTCGAAAAGAATATCCAGGAATCCTCTCAGACAGCTCTGAAGTCAGTGCTTTAGACATTTATGGTAGCTGCAAAGCAGCATTCTAAGATCCTCAGTTTAGACACTTTTAGATTAAAGTATACCAAATCACCGAGACACGGATTTGGCCTAACCATCATTAGCACATACCTCGAGGCAACAGTCAAAAAAACAACAAGATACGTTCACACTGTCTTGTTTAAAGTTGTACTTACATGGAATGAGCTCCCGGTCGAAGTGATCACAGACCTCTCAGTAGATAGCTTCGAGAAAAGAATTTATAGACACACATACCGACTATCATTTCCCTCTTGGACCAGCTGTACCTAATGCGTCTTGAGCCATGTTAGTTATTATTATTATCAATTTTTCAGATCATTCCATCTTGCTAGTTATCTCATTTTCCTCGTCTTTGCCTACATTTCTTTCCAATATCTTTACACGAGCTGACATAAATCATTTATCTGATCTCCCTGAATCCGATTCTTGTTGTTTCAGTACGCCTCCAGGTATTTTACAGTGTCTATTAGGTGTTCTAGCTACCTGAATACACTAATTCTCGTCAGTTTGAAGTTATTTACGAATTTTTATGTCCTATGTTATGAATAAGTGCACTTATCTTAGAGTGTCAGGGTTTCTGTGTCTTTCAAAATGCCAGAAGCAAGATCGATAATAATAGGAAGAAAATTCTACAGCTATTAGGAAAAGAGGAACACAAAAATGACTTACTTACTTAAGCCTGTTACCCCGAACGAAGCATAGACCGCCGACCAATATTTTCCAGCCTACTCTGTCCTGGGCTTCTTCTGCCATTTCTCTCCAAATTTTGTTCATTTTTCTCATATCTGCCTCTATTTCTTGGCGCACTCTCTTCCTTGATCTTTCTCTTTCCCCCTGACCTTGAAGGTTATAAGTGAGGGCTCCTCTTGTGACGCAGTTGGGTAACTCCGCCTGAGGCTTCCCGGGAGCTGCCGACGGTCTCGGGCCCCAGATAAAGGAAGAGGGTTGGGCATGAGGTTGTCGACCTCACCCCACAAAAAAACCGACCCGCTAATAAGACGCTAACCAGAAAACATAATTCGAAATATCATAACTGGGTTATAAAAAAATGAGCTCGTTACTTGGTAGTAAAGATTGTGCGGGAAAAGAGGTGTGAGCAGAAAAGTGAAACAGAGATAATAAGCGAAATGCAAAAAGGTAATTATACAAGGAACTGGCTGTACCAAAAACTAGCCAGTTTTGAGTCAAGCATCAGTCACAGCTGGTTCAATCGGAAGATTATGGATACGTGTTAATTAGGTTCCTTTTTGAAGCTTTCAACTGAGACGGCAGAGGTCACCTCGGCCGTGGGGGAACTTCAAGCTGCAACTTGATTGTTCTATTTTTGATGAGCATCTTTTTCTCAGGTTAGCTGGGAGGTCGTGGTGGCAATGATTTGGCAGGATGCACATGTTGGGATGATGCGGCATACTATTATCACATGAGCTCTGATTCTTCTGTAACGCAAAGAGAATGGTCCCAAATTTTGACGTCTACCTTCGTAAGGTTTGTTCTTCAACTGTATCACCCATTCGTTCGTTCATAACTGCACTGGATCCAGGGGATTTATATCTCTTTTAAGGTGGGTGATGAAACGACGTGATCACAAGATGTGGGCATGCGTATGTTTCAGACATTGTTAACAATAATTCTGAGATGATTTTACTAGGTTGTCTTCACATCGTGTAAAGAGTAGGGGTAGGCTTAAATGCATCCCCTATGTAGTTGAAGGAGGTGTTCATGCTGTTTGTCGTTATGAGCCTGTGATTGCTCTCTGAGTAAGTTGTCTGTGTTACGTGTGGCAATGTTCATGACACTGGTTAAGTTCTACTCCTCTGTCTGATAAACGTTTTTTGATTTCGGTAAGGTAATTTTGCGTCTCTAACGAATCCAACTAGCCTATCATGATAAGCCATGCAGTGTCTACTGCTTAGCTAAGTTTACATAACAAGTCATCCATAAATATCAGGAAAAGAAGAAGACCCTTCTGAAGCTCCTGATGTTTAGACTCAACAACTCGCTTGAACTCTGTTTACCTTGCTACGAAATTTATTGTTCTGAATTTAGTTCATTAGCCATGATAGAAGTGAACCAGATTAGCCCATTTTCGCAACTTGCGCAGTTGACTGAACTCTGTCCAGGAAATGTTATATCTGCTGGCGTCCAGAAACGTGCACCAACTGAAATCATGTGAAATGCTAATTATCAAAGTACTGCCAACTGACGAGAAGTAGAAGTGCACAGTGGCCAAACTATCATCCACTGAGCACTACCAATTGCCTGAAGTCGTATCGAAGCAACAAGAAGAGAGAGCAAAGAAATCAATTAGGACGCTGTAAAGATTTAGTATATTGTAGGTCTGATGCAAAAGTTATCACAGACCACTGTCACGGGAATCCAAAAAATAGTATTCTTAATTTTGCGTCAACAAAGACTCCTACATATGACTCAGTGCAGACCTCGTGTAACAAACTAATTACTAATTATGCCAAGCAAGGCTTGAAGTTCGAAATTCACTTCTACACTCTTCGTCAATGACCGTTCGCAACATCGAATAAATCATTTTTGTTTCTGAATTGTATTTTTTCAGATTAAAATTTAAGGACATTATTAGCAAAGCTGTCCTTTTCGTTTGAAGTAACTAAATACAGAAAAAGAATTAGTTTGTTTAAATTTTCCAAAATCTTAGTTCTCAGTTTACGAAACTCTTACACTCTTTTGAATAGTTCGTCAATATTAGTGATGTCTGAATCTCCTAAAAAGTCTCAGGTAAATGTAATCTTTTGTGAATAATTATCTCCAAGTCGGCTGTTCATCCTGATCCTGAAGAAGTCAGAGTACTTGAATCAAGCCTCAAGACAAAACATAGGCACAAGTCTCGTCAGGTTTGTGTTTAAGATGTTGTATTTTATATAATTATATCCAGCTTTCTGACTTGCCAGAAAGTGATGAAGCAAAATTAAACACAAATCAGTCCAATGCCGGTGAATCGGCTACTATGAAGCCTCCTGTTGTGAAGAAAAGAAAGAAATTAAACAAGAAACATGTGACTGCTCGTTCAAGTGATACGACTGCTGAGATGATAACTAGTGGTCAGTTATTTTCCATAAATTTAAACTCCTCAATCAAATTTCTGGTTTTATAAAGTTTTCTGAGGCTACTTAGCCATCTTTCAATGAATTGGTATTTGGGTTGACCAAATTATCCATTTCCATATAAAAATATATCAATCCGTGGTTCACTATTATAGTAGACTTAGGGTACAGATAAATTGATAGCAAGAATGATGTTGCTAACGATAGCACGTATAAATGAATTAATGATTTCGTAAGGAAGCATGATATTGCCACTGTGAAATTGAAATGGCCATACCAATAATTTCTTGTCTTAATAAGTCTAGAATTCAGCAATATACAAGTAAGAGCTATGATTTGAAGTGCACAAAGTGAAATACTGCTTTGTTGTCACGGTACAACATAAAAGGTTAAACTGTACATGATATGTATTAGCTATACACGTTGGCTTTGAAAAACGATACTTAAAAACGGTAAGCTGTTGTATTTCAGACAGAACTATAAATAACGTTGCAGTCATGATCCTAGGTTTTTAAATGGAATTGGATGTACTTAAGTTATATCAATAAGAAGTGACCAGGGCAGCGCTTAATCACAGTACTAGCGAAAGTTTGTAACAGATGTGTTGGAACGGTGGTATCATCACAGTTGATCAGGAGTAGATGAGCCTTGTATTACGAGGTATATTTGTGATGTTTGTGGTAATCAGTGTAACAAGTTGGAGCTTAAATGTAACTAACTGTGATATATTAAATCACACCTGCGTAATTATTCACCAGAATGCGTTTGGTAGAGATGGTTAAAATTTTATATGTTGGACAAGGACAGATAAAATAACTGCCAAACTATTTCAAAAACGTCCTTAAAAGAGCTGATTTAATGCTTTCCTAACGGCTTCCTCACCTTAGAATGGATAGTTCGCAGTTTTCCAACAAAAAAACACACTTGTAACTTTGTTCATTGATCAAAGTCTATCTTACTGTTCAGTTTTTAGATTTAATTAAATGAAAGCTATTTTCTTTAGAAATGAACTATATTTATTGAGCATGTACCTATAACACATGCTCAGAATGTGTTATCTTGTTCTGCTAAACCCACAATAAGTGCTGTTTGTACAAGTTATATGATTTATATTCTTTACTTCATATTCAAGTTTCAAGAAGTGTGACTGATAATACGACTAGATAATTTTGACAAATATGCTTTTAAACGAAATAGAAGCAAACTGAACTCGTCGTAATATGTCTGCCAAGAGTACTTAAAAATGACTCATGAAAGTTCTAAGATTTAAAGTTGAAATAACTGTCCAGTAATGAGGCAGAAACAGCTTGAAACAAATTCATTCTGGCTGATAAATACCACATATATAGAGGTTCAGTAGTTAAGAAAGCTTCCAGCAAAGTGGAAATGAATTATGGAGTTATGTATCTGATAAAACTTGTCACTAAATCCCTAGGACTGTACTACAATAAAATAAATCCCTGTGTGTTGTATCTTGTTTTGAAATTCCATACCTTCATTGGATTTGTTTAAAGGTTACGTTTTTCTGTTATGCCATGCAAATTTCAATTCAATTTGTGAAGTGAATTATGTATGCAAAGGATCAGGCTGAATATAAAGCTGAGGTTTATAATCATCCAACAAATGTTGCTTTTGTACATCGAAAATGTGCTATGACATTTAGATTATAAAAACCAACTTAGTAAGGAACGCTTGCACCTTGTAATAATTATTATGTCTGTTTATTGTTCGACAAGTTAAAAATGATATACAGTTTACAAACGATATAGTTTTAAACATCAAGTTTGAAATATGGCTTTAGAGTTGAACAAGTAAGTAATTAAGCTTGATTTAGTCAACTTTTAAAAGTTGTAGCTTCTCACTAAGTAGCATTTATGGTTCTCATTGGCTAATTATACGTAAAGCTATATGAAAAAATTGATTTTTCTTAGAGATTCTGATGAATTTTACTCAGTACGGTGACAGAAAACAATGAAATACTTTAGATATTTACTTATAGTGAACCAAATCGTGATTTTTCTATAACTCGCAGAATCATTTAATAACAGACCAGTGAATCTGTGAGCATAATTCATTCCTCATTGTATATGATTAGGTTTTATCCAGTAAATGCTTATCTAATACAAAATGATTCAAAGAAATATTTCATTACAGTTTTTCTACACGTAACAAAATATCGTTGTATTTCTTTCTCATGTAATCCATTTAATGCAGTTCCTTTGGTTGAAATAACACCTTCGGGCGATCATCAAAGAAATATCGTAGAAGCAGAACCAGTTGTAAGTCAATATTATCCGAATTTATAAATAATAATTCATTGTGGTGAATGAAACTTAAGCGATTCTAAAACTTGCAACGTTATTTTTTTGATACCGTAAGATAATTTTTATTTCATAAACATTATTAGCCTTAAGTGTTATGTATGGCTATTTCATGGACTTTTTATATTACTTTAAGAGCTCTGTTGGTAGCTATTTATTTACTTATTTAGAAATCGAAACTAACTCTGCCTGAAGCTCTTTCAGGGTTACTGCCGTTCTGAAACCCGTATATTGTAGGAGGTTTGGATGTGGGGTTAGCGACCCTATTTCATGGAAATCTAAATTGTTAAAAAACCCTAACCAGCCTATGCTCCAGTAGGGGTAACAGGCGTAAGTAGGTAAGGAAGTAAGTAAGTAAGTGAGTAAGTAAGAAAGTAAGAAAGTAAGTAAGTAAGTAAGTAAGTAAGTAAGTAAGTAAGATATCGAAACTAATCTGCATCAAAATCTCTTCTGTTTCTTTTTTCATCAAACGTTTCTACTAAATAATGTTAATATTTATATTGTACTAAGCTGTTGGTACTGTGGTGCTTCTAAATATTTCTTCATCGCACAAATCATTGAAATTGTGAGTGGGATGGGGTACAGTTCATGTGGTTAAAACCGAAGCAGTTGTTCTTTTTGTAGAGCCATTTCTCAAGCATTTGGCCTACATATCTAATCCATAAGACAGTAGAGCGACGTTAACAGACGTCGTCTGATGTTATCTGGTCTCCAACAATAGGTTCATATACTATTTCTTCCATCAGGATCATGGAGCTCCTGTGAACTATTTGTTTGAAGTTGGGGTTTTCCAACTTTCTTACTGGGATAATATCTCTATCTCTCAACCTGGTTAAATCCTGAGTTTCAGTCCTCTAAATTTCGTAACTAACACTTCTGTCACGAAAAGGCGATAAGTACGACTCCCTTCGTAGTGGCTTTATACGCTTGTTTCTGTGATGGCATTTGGAGAGGAACAGAGGACTTTTCTATCTTTCTCGGTCATATCAAGCCATTTGGGGACTATTGCGTTAATGATTTTTGTACCGACTGACCTATGGAAATGATTTTTACCTGTTCTAAATCATTTCCACCAAACAAATTCAGTAGAAAAGCGATTTCAGCAAAACCAATTCAATAACCTCACACAATGAGCAGTTTGTGTGAAATTCGAGTGTTTTAACAAACAACCAAGACCAAAACTTAGCATATAGGTGAACAGAATGTAGACCTCTTTATGTTCAAACTTATCACCAATTAATAACAAGTATCAGTAGATACCTGCTGATATATTCAAGAAACATTAGCCAGTATTCATGCACACACAGATAACGCATATCATTTCCTTCTGAACACTAAGAGATTGTGAAATATCAAACGATTGTTTAAGCAGTCCATGTTTTGGTTGGATTGGAGTCCACCAGGAATCTGCTTGGAAATGTTGTGGTTTAGCTTAGAATCCCTCATTATGTTATTGATGTGTTAACTGTCTACCTCTCCTCAGATCTTGAGTGTTAAAGCTGTCGCATACTTTTATTCCTTGAGGTTATTCCTTTGTAATAAATCTATGCATGACATTTCCTAGTACGACTTACGATGCTAATAATCCTACTATTCTGTCATGAGTTGATAAATTCATCTCACTTAACTGATCCAATGTTTCAACTTGAACAGAAGCATTTATATTTTAGGTTCTTTGTCATATGTTATTGTTACGAGTACATATCAACACGTCAATTGTTATGCTTGAACTATTACGAGTTTAGTTTAGTCAGTAAACAAGAACCAGGATCGATGATCTGGCGACACAACAGGCTACTCTATTCCAAGTGTCCCAAACTCTTCTTTGAGTAGAAGAGGACAACATGAGATGAAGTAGAACGTATATTCTACAAGCATCCAGAAAGTATGAGGTTCGAGTCCACAAGAGAATCCGGATCGCGGACTAAGGATCTGGTTCCGGGCCCGGGTCATAAAACGTTACAGATAATGCATATTTATACAGTTAGGCGGAATAAGAAACCACATTGACGTCTGTCACAGACAGACAGACAGATACAACACAGAACTTCGTACGTCAGTACATCAGTTCAGGTTGCCTTACCACATCAGCACACAGACGCGACTGTCAGTTCAAATCCAAGAGTGATAGCAATAATAGAAGTATTAGCAGTAATGGAGAACATAAGGGAGCGAAGATATGATTCGAGAAGTATAATTCAGTGATATAAATTTAGAAGGAGAAAGGTAGAGAATATGAGGAATGCAGAAGCTTAAAATTTTATAGAACACAAAGAGTGTATGCACCTGCACTACTGCAAACTATTCTGAGCCATGTCATTCAAGATCTCTAACCATCGGTGACTATCGTCTCGCGGACCCCAACCAGATAGCCTACATCTACCAACATGACTCAGTCCACTTGTCGTTGAATTCATCGATTTGTGCCATGTTTTGGTTTGGCCGCCCCTAGCTTTCTTCCAACCTACCCCAACACTGCAAAACAAAGCTCGTCGAGGCAGTCGGTGGTTAGCCATACGTAACACATGTCCCAACCACCTCAACCGATGAAGTTTCAATGATTCATCTATTGATCTGCCATTCTTTCCTAGCAACCGTTTCCTAATAACAGCGTAGCTCACTCGGGTGTCCCAGGATATACGAGCAATGCTTCTTAGAAGACACCTATGATCGAAAACCAGTAACCTACGAATATCTTCTACTCTCACTGGCCATGTTTCACAGCCATAAAGTAAGACGTAGCGAACCACTGCACAGTACACTCGTCCTTTAGTCAGCAAACGGATATCTCGCCTTCGCCATAAGTGACGCAGGTTGGCAAAATCCAATCGAGCCTTCTGTATCCGAGCTGAGATTTCGTCAGTCACCAGGCCATCAGCACTGATCAGACTCCCAAGATAAGTGAAGCGGTCTACACGTTCGACTACTTCACTCCCTATCATTAGTTCAGGTGCCGATGAAACACAATCTTGAAGCAACATTTTGTATTTCGATGGGGAAAACCGCATCCCGAACATGCTTGCATTGTGACTTATGTTAGTCAGAAGACTCTGCATTTTGTCAGCGTCTTCACCGAATAGAACTATGTCATCGGCACATTCTAGATCAGTAAGCGATTTTCCTGGTAGAAGGTCAACCCTTGAAAAATCTGACGAGCTTAATGTTAACTCTAAGAGGATGTCTACGACATAGTTAAACAAGAATGGAGAGAGTGGACATCCCTGATGGACACCACTTGATGTAGAGAATTCCGGTGACAGTTCGCCATAAGCTCTCACTCGACCAGTAGTGTTCGAGTAGAGTGCTTGTATAAGGTTAATGTACTTCTTTGGTACATCTTTCAATGACAGAATGACGTCTATCACATTGATAGTTCGTACGATCAATAGGAATTGACCAATAGAATTAGACTTACAAAATAATTTAACTAAACTTACATTTCATTATAATTCTCACTATTCCTATTTTTAACATTTAGAAAAGTCAAATTATACAAAAAGAACATTTATCACTTCCAACTTTACCGCCTTTATCAACCGTTAAATATGAACAATCGAAACAATTTGCAAAATCAAAATCACCTTATCCATCATTACCAGAAAGAATGCAACGTTTACGTCGAAATACTGCATTGAGTGAATTATCTACAAGTCCTGATGTAAGTCAATTTCAGTTTTTTAGTTTCTATATTTATTAAAGACAAAAGGATGAGATTGCGCAATATGGTGGTTTCATTAAAGTTAGACAGTAGTATCAGCGAGTACCGGCCTAGAGGTTAAGCACTTGTACTGGATGTTGAGGTTCATAGAATCGATTCCCACCTGCCGGATTGTGGGTGTGCACTGTTGGTAAGTTCCATTATAGGATGAAACAGCTCCTCACTGTTATCAGGTTTCCGATGGAATCCTAATGCGGATCGATTCATAGTATCAACGAAATTCAACAATTTCCACAATTCTATCATAACTAACTGGAAAGATTAATCACAACATAAACACCGTTGGGTGCCAGCCCAACGGTCCGATGGTTAGGCGTTCGTGCACAATACCGAAGGTCCCGGGTTCGAATCCTGTGAGGTGCAGGAGTTGTGGATGCGCACTGCCACTGATGAGTCTCATACCAGGACTTGACGGCCGTCTTTCAGTGCTTCCAGGTTTCTGATGGTGGTCTGTCTAACAATGATTGATTGGTGATTTCAAATGTATAAATAGAGCAATTATAACCTATTCAAATGTTATGATATGTAATTCATGTATAGGAGGTCTGAGGGATTCAGACGAGCAAACAAATATTCTATGAAATAAATCTTCCCCTTCATTCCAGTATATCATTTTCAGGGGAACTCAGTTTTTGCGACGGCGGTAATAAGAAGCCTGGTACACAGATTGAATTGGATGAGTTTATTTCATACAATTGTTCATGTAGACAGATATAAGGATAAAAAGCGTACAAGCAAAGCAAAGTGAAGCATGGAAGGCGAGAAGGCCAACTCAGTGCCATAAGATATGACTAGCTATTTATAGGGAGGCTAAAATACACGCTAAACGTGTAACAAGCGAAGTAGGCGTGTACACTCACAGGCACTCATAGTAAAAGCAACCAAGATGATTATAAGCGAATGATTGACAAGGTAAGAAGACGTGTGAATAAATCATAACTCGAGAAGAGTCGATTCATGAAATTTGTCCACAGGATGAGAGAAACCCTGTGGACTCGATACTACACGTGTTTAGATGTTTGTTGGGCACGTTATATCCCCAGAACTCACTTGGTAAATGTCCTAATTTTGGAGTTTTTAGGTTTTCGAGCATGGGCTGATCAGCTGGCCGTGAGATTACATTTCCCACTCGGGAAATCTTTGACTGCTATTGGTTAATGTATTTATTTTAGTACGCTATTTTTGTGGCTCTCTCAAGGATGTTTCTATCATTGCATAAATAAACTCAATTTATGTGTATGTGAACCTCATATTTTCTGGGTACTTGTACAAAGCACTTTCTACTCCATATTAAGACTTCTTACTTATGTTAACAGGGCCTAAGACAATCGAATCAGAATAGCCTATCGTGCTAATGGGTCATTTGTGTTATGCTCGTCTCTAAGTATGCTTAAACTATTACAAATTCACCTTAGTCGAATAACGAGAACAAAACAATGAATCAGCGTCCAGGTAGGCTACTCTGATCCGTTCACCCAATTGTACCAGCCAGAAATCGTGATATAGCGTAGAAAGTGTATTCTACAAACATCCAGCCAACGCACACAATCAATCCAAGCACTCAAATTGCGTTTATTTATACTCTGTAGAGACATCCTTGGGACAGTCACAAAAATAGCACACTAAAATGACACAGTAACCAATCACAGTCAAGGATTTTCCTGGTGGGAAATGTAATCTCAAGGTCAACTGATCGGTCCATGAAATCAAATCCAAAATAAAGATATTTATCAAGCGAGTTCCGAGGGATCTAACCTCTCCTCCAACAATTTGTCTTCGCTCTTATTTACCGCGTAAGGTGAACTGGTAATTGGTTTTCAAGCAGATCAATATTACACGAGAATAAGTATTTCATTTCATAACAATTTTGTTTAAAATCGCATTCAATGTTTCATTGTTTATAAATCTGCTTTTTTCTTTTTCTTCTTTTCATTCTATGATCTATAGTTAAGTTTAAGTGATTTAAAAGCTATGGACAATTTAAATCATCAAATCAGTGATTATGAATTTTTCATCAAAGAATGGTCAGATCATGATGATCATTTAAAACAAAAAGATACTACTGATGATTTGCATTCCACATCGGATCTACAAAATTTATCAATGAAATTATTTAAAAGTAATAAACATTCACGAAAGAGAACTGAATCAACAACCATTGATAATAATTCATTTGAGGTAATTTATTATTCAATGCCCAATGATTCGAAATTATTCAGTAATCGAAACAAAGGTGCAAACAATGACAGGTTTAAGGTCAACAGCAACCAATCAAGATCGAGGTTAGCAGAACATGCTACAGGTTAAACGTGGAGAAATTTGAATACTTCACTTCTATCCGACGTTTGTGCTGATGATGTTGTTCAGAAGAAGAACAACGAAAGCTCTAGAACCAAAACATCCAGCTCAGAGATCGAAACACCACAACAATACCCGGAAGATTGATTAATTCGGTGGCCCACTTAACTATTTGGGCTACCTATTTCCAAATATCAGCGATTGTTTATTTAGCAAGTTACCTCGTTAGGTTTATTTGTCTGTTTCAATACGTTGATGATATCTGTTGATTGCATAGTCTACTTAGTTCTGTATCTAAAACGTGAACGACCTACTGCTGCATAAGGTACAAAAATTTACAATCCAAGATATTGTGGTGACTGGAAATGTGCTGAGATAAGAATCAACTATAATAAGTTATTGATTCCTGAATCGCCAGCTTCTAATTTGCCAATTACTGATTGTGTTACAAAGGAAACATTTGAAATATTCTGTGCTGAGAATTGTGCTAAGCATTGAATATTGAATAAGTTCACTGTTATTATTATTATGTTTAATGGTTCAATGATCAATTAAAAACAACACTTATTTGGCATTGGAGATCTTCGTATTTATCAAATAAATAAACTGTTTGAGATGTAACCTAATAAAAAGCCCAAAGTAATAGTCTCAGTCAGTCAGTCACTTACAACGTAGAGCTTCGTACGTAAGTACATCAGTTCATGTTGCCATACCGCGTCAGCACAGAGACTCAATTGTTGGTTCAAATTCCATAACGGTAGAGATAGTGTAGTGAAGGAGAACACAGGTGAGGGCAACCGAATTGTATTAAACGAAAATTACAGAGTTATTCAGTAAAATAGAAAAACCATATCGTAAACGGTTAATTTGCAAATCTTCAATCCATCATCAATCCATTGTCTGACATTTCACTTATTCATTCATGCGTTTCATACAAATTCCATTGTGTTCCCACTCTTCCTTTCTTGATCTTCCCCCATCTTCTGCTGCCAGACATTACGTTTACACTCGCGTCATATACTACTTATAAGTAGCACGCACCACAATAGTAGAAGTATTAACAGGAATGGAGAATAATAGGGTTCGAAGATATGATTCGAGAAGTATAATTCAGAGAGATAATTTTTGAAAGACAAAGGTAGAGGTGTTGACGAATCCAGTAGATTAGGATTTGAGAGAACACAGCGAGTGGATGCACCTGCGCCACTGCAAACGATTCTGAGTCATGTCGTTCAAGGTCTGTAACCATTGGTGACTTTCGTCTCGCGGACCCGAACCAGGTAGCCTACATCTATCAACATGACTCAGTCCACTTGTCAGTGACTCCATGGATTTTTTTCATGTTTTGGTTTGGCCGCCTCCAGCTTTCTTCCAACCTACTACTACACCACAAAATATCGCTCTTCGAGGCATTCGATGATTGGGTATTCGTAACGCATGTCCTAACCACCTCAGCTGATGGAATTTCACTACTTCATCAACTGATCTGTCATCCCTACTTAGTGCTCGTTTCCTAACGATAGCATTGCTTACTCGATTGTCACAGGATATACAGGCAATGCTTCGAAGACATCTATAATCGAAAACCAGGAACCTGCTTGTCATTTTCTATACTTCAAACGGAAGTGTTCATCTTGAAAAAATTATCAAAGTACAATAATTTGTATATCGAATAATTCTATAATAAACGATAATTACTTCTCTAATGTTAGAATACGAATAATTTGAATTGTCTTTCTATTAAATTAATTTAATTCATAAAAAAGTATTTATTTAGAAAATTTAGTTCATTTTCAATAATGTTCAATTGTGAATAAATTTGACTAAAGTTCAATGAATTTTACTGTGAAATTTGTAGTTCAAAATAAGATGATAGTTAGATTTGAACTTGCACTATGATATAATGTACAGAACCCGTTTAAATATATTTTCGTAGTATATGGGATTCATCAGTAGTTCACATCTATTAACTTCATATCGGAGAATCAAATCTAGGACCTTCGGTTTCTAGCACCGACGTGTCGTTTTAGAAATCGAAAGGACGAAAAGTGAATGTCTAGTCAGGGTTTAAACTAAGTTAGTAGGTATGAAGGATCTATCTAGTAGGAAAGTTTGAAAACTCTCATTCAAAGCCAATGGTACACATCGGCACAAAGAACGAATGGAGCACAAAACTGTTGTTGGTGACCATCTACCCTGAAAGATGATCTCCTAACGTTAATCCACTGCCTTGTAGACTAGACAAGTAAGTGAATGTTTCAGCCTATGACCCCTCCAGTAAACCACTCGGTCAGTATCACAGCCTGTTCGTGAATTCAGTAATTTGTGTGGCGCATAAATGTTTGATTGTCCTTTTGTAACAATGCATATGCGCTTAAATGATTACAAAAAACGAAATTAAGAAACTTAACATGCCAGTTAGTTAATACTCTACGATATTGTTAGACGGATAAACACTTCTCTGCTCTTCATTCTGCGCTATACTAAATTCGATTTACTTTCTATTATTCTTACATAGTTACTAACTTACACCTGGTACCCTTAATGGATCATAGGCCGCCCAACATTATTCGCAAACCTACTCTATCCTAAGCATACTTTTCCAGTTCTGTCCAATTGCTGTTCATAATTTCCATTTTTGTCTCCAGTTATCGAATTGTTGTGCTCCTTTGCCTTCCTCTTTCCCTTTTACCTTGAGGGTTTCAAGTGACGGCTTGTCTTGTGACACAGTTGGTTGCTTACCGCAGTGTCTGTCCTATCAACTTCCAGTGCTTCTTCCTAATTTCTTCCTACACTGGAATCTGGTTTGTTCTCTCTCGCATAGTAGGTTGTCGCTGATGGTGCCTGATAAACGGATCAGAAGTAGTTGGCGTAGACAACTATCAATAAATATTTGAAACCATCAACCAGTCATTGTTAGACCACTACCATTAGAAACCTGGAAGCACTGGACGGCCGTTTCTTCCTAGTATGGGACACATCAGGGTCAGTGCGCATCCACGACTCCTGCACCTCACAGGATTCGAACATGGGACCTTCGGTATTGTGAGCGAACGCCTAACCATTGGGAATTCTCGGAGTTCTAGTTGAGAAGACGTGACTAATGGAGTTTAACCCTGTCGGGTGTAGGTAGTAACTACCAAAGACAAATGGGTGAGGTCGCGCAAAATCCCTAGATCAATCAGAGTTAGACTTTAACACCGTTGGATGCCGGTCCAGTGGTCCGATGGTTAGGGGTTCGCGCACAATACCAAAGGTCCCGGGTTCGAATAAGTCTCATACCGGAACGAAAGGGCCGTCATCCAGTGCTTCCAGGTTTCTAATGTTGGTGGTCTAACAATGATTGATTGATGATTTCAAATGTGTAAAAACACAAACCTCCAAAACTCTGCCTGAAAATATCAATAAATACTTGTATCTTCTGTTAGTTCGTTAATATGCCGCTCCATACAGTACAGATATCTTGTCATTTGTATTGAAAATGATAACTCTCGTGTTTGGTTGATCGACGTTTTTCACTTGTAGAAATGCTTCCCTTGCTTTAGCGATCCACACCTTCATATCTTCATCAGCACCACTTACTTACTTACTTTCGCCTGTTACCCCCAATGGAGCATAGGCCGCCCACCAGTGTTCTCCAACCTACTCTGTCCTGAGCTTCGTTTTCCAGTTCTGTCCAATTTTTGTTCATTCCTCCCATATCTTTCTCTATTTCTCGGCGTGATGTGTTCCTTGGCCTTCCTCTTTTCCTTTTACCTTGAGGGTTCCGTGTGAGGGATTGTCTCGTGACGCAGTTAGGTGCTTTTTGTAGTGTGTGTCCTATCCACCAACTCCACCGCTTCTTCCTGATTTCCTCCTCCACTGGAATCTGGTTTGCTCTCTCCCACAGTTCGTTGTTGCTGAATCAGCACCACCTTGCCCATAAATTATACTGCCCAAATTTTTTTCATAATTCAATTACTCGATAGTTATTTCTTGCTAATATACTTCCTTTTTTAACATTTAACAATATCACATTTCTAAAAACAATATTTTATCATTTAGACTAATCAAGAAAATCAACCACTGCTTGGGTTTGTTGAAAGAACTAAACAAGATCTTTTATTAGTTGGTCGTGCATCCAGTTTATCAAATCAACAACGCATTAAATATGAATCGAAATTTCTTTACTATCCAACCGATACAGAAAGTAATTGAATTTTATGTGTGTGTTTTTTAAGAAAAAAAAGTTGATAATCCTATTTAAAAATTGCTAGAAAGATGTTAAGATATTTATTGATCAGTGAAATCAAGTATATCTGTTACTCCTAGTTAAGTGTCAAACTGCCAACCCGGATTCTTCACCTAGTTCAGCCCTTTTGGTCCTGTTTTCCAGATGTGCCCAAGTCTTACTCATCCGTTTGAAGTCTGCCCTTAGTTGCCGCTAAAATGTGTTACTTGTTCAGTAACTTTTCGCTTTGTCCTGAGGAATCCATATTAGAACTTACCAAGTGATACAGTCTGGCGGTCTGCAACATGTGCACAGTATCTACCTTCAGTGTATTTTCGTGATTTCTTCTTCAGCTGGAAACTGATTTGTGGTCTACCACAATAGATTGATGCTAACTGTGTTTTGCCAGTGGATATTGGAGTATCATGAGTGACTTACACACCCCTCAATTCTCCAAAAGACTTATATCTCTTCTCTCAACGAGGTGTGTGTATGTATATAGTTTATTTTTAGCGAAGTCAGTAAATGCTTCCTATTCGCTCCTGGTTTGGTGTGAGCTACTTATAAGTAGTTTATGACGTGAGTGTCAACGTAATGTCTGGCAGCAGACGATGGGGAAAGATCAAGAAAGGAAGAGTTAGAACACAATGGAATTTGTACGAAACGTATGAATAGTGACAATGGATTGATGTTTTGTAACAGGAACAGTCCAGTTCGATATGATGAGTTGATATTTTGCAAATTAACAATTTACGATATGGTTTTCCGATTTTACTGAGTAACTCTGTAATTTTCGTTACATACTATTCGGTTGCCCTACCTGTGTTCTCGCTCACTACACTGGTATTCTCACTGAAGTATGACAGAGAGGCTATTCATTTAAGAAACTTATATATATTTCAGGAACAAACCTACTCAACGTCAGAACGTGAAAATGGAGATAAAAATCAATCCCGAAGTCAGTGAAATAGAAATTTATTTACTCTCCATTTGAATTCATATTTGAAACGTGATCAGTATAATCTTATTGGATAATTTAGACTATTCCCTGACCAATCAGAACAGAGTGTCTCATTCCTGCTTTGTTTTCCATTTTTGGTTAGTTGAAAATGTTAACAGTCACAAATTGTGAAGCATGCACGTTAACACGTCAAATTGATATGCTTGAGCTATTATGAGCTCGTCTTAGTTAGTAAACGAGAGCAAGGGTCAATAATCCGGCGACACGACAGGCTACTCTAATCCGAGTGTCCCAAACCCTCCCTTGAGTAGAAGAAGACGACTTGATATGAAGTAGAACATGTATTCTACAAGCATCCAGAAAGTACGAGGTCCGAGTGGACAAGAGAATCAGGATCCCGGACTAGGGATCCGGATCCGGCTTACAAAACGTTACAGATAATGCGCATTGATTCAGTTAGGTTTAATAGGAAATAGCATTGACGTATGTGACATTGATAGCTAGGACGACCAAATAACTGACCAGTAGGAGTTGACCAATAGAATTAAACTTACAAAAATAATTGTCTTGGGATATTTGATGAATACCCTAACACAAATTATGTGTCAACTGTTAAGACTCTATGATTTAGTGAAATATGTAAGCTCTTACAAACAGAGAATAACAATATTTCACACCAATCAAACTGTTAACAATACGAATCGTCTTGTGTATTTATGTTAGGCATGTAAGATCCTCAGAACTCGCTTGATTTATTTCATGGACCGATCAGTTGACCGTGAGATTATATTTCTCACCAGAAAAGTCCTTGGTTGTGATTGTTTACTGTGTCATTTTAGTGTGCTATTTTTGTGACTGTCCTAAGGACGTCTCTATAGAGTATAAACAAACGTGATTTGAGTGCTTGGATTGATTGTGTGTGCTGACTGGGTATGTGTAGACTACACTTTCTACACTATATCCAGACTTCTTGCTGGTACACTTGAGTCAAGGGATCACAGTAGCCTACCTGGACACTGGTTCGTTGTTTTGTTCTCATGATTCGACTAAGCTGAACTCGTAATATTTTAAGTATACTTAGAGACGAGAGTAACAATTTATATCAATCAAGTTGGTCGTATGAGTAAGCAGCACTTTTTAACGTATTCTCTATCGAATAATAACTACAGCAGAAGTATGATTGGTGAATTAATGTTGCAACATTTTTCATGGGGAGCGTCAACTCCCTCAGAATTCAATGGATACTTTAATATCAAGTATAAACCATCACAAAATCTCGGTCTAGCGAGGTTTCCTACCGATTACTTTTAATCACTCAATCTTAAAACATATTGCACAAGATGTGGTCTAGTCATTCCGACTAGAGTAGTGGTCATATGACAATGTGATCGATTTAACTCGATCATCTGTGAACACATTAATCCTTTTGTTATGTAACTACTCACTTTGTTCAAGATGACTGGATTGTTTTTTAATTTTCACTAAAGTTTCACTTGAATTAAAAACTGGCGGTAAACTACCACGATATTTGGAAGATGAAGGTTATTACATTGGAAAACTACCATATGTGGCGCCAACAAATCTACGTCGTTTGGAAAATCGTATACTCAAAGAAATTCAAATGAATGTCTATGAAATAAAGTCGATAAGTGATTTTCAATCAACTGATATGCAATTACTCAATGGAACATTGCAAAATGAAGAGTTTGAAAATGAGAAACGATTGAAATTTCAGGTAATTTTGTTTTAATTATTGATTAGTTTGAAAATTTATGGAAATAGGTTTCACTCCGGGTGGTATAATCGCTGAACTTCATTAGTCCCGAAATTTCAGTACAACTGTTTGAATCTCTATTGAAATTTGAAGGGTCGTCTTACGATATGTGGTGACGTAATCTAAAGGCGATCAATTCCACCCAATTTCCTCAAAAAACTATCTACTTGAGCAGGGAGAGAAGGTTTTATTTGACTAGCGATTAATGTGAAAAAAATAGTCGATCCCTCAGAAAGTAGAGTCATTTATAAACCAATAACATTCATTATTCCTGTAGGACATTTTTTGATGGTCATCTGATAGTATTCTCGGTATATCAAGTTGTTTAAAGAGATCGTTTCATGTAAAGGAAATTTCTCTAACCAATAACCAAATGGGGGACAATCGTAAATATGATTTAACTAATCAGTTAAATGAGAAATTAAGCTCTTACATTTTATGTTTTCTAAAAAAATAGTTATTAAGTTAAATGTTTCTCAATTATATGAAATTTTATCCGAATTTTTTGTATTTATTATAGTCATGGTTTCGAGAAGACAGTTTATTCGATATGTTACCGAATCCTTTACGAAATATTCCGTCGAGACCGACTTTATGGAATGATCAGTTTAATCCAGTACCTGAGAAGTTACAAATATTCTATGTACCTGTAAGCGTGTGTTGTAATGATTTGAGGTAAAATGCAAAACTCTTAGTACATTATATTAACTGCTAAACAAAGACGAACTGATCTTAATTAGGCTGTAGCGAATTGGAACTACTTATCGCGAGGTAACCAAGTTAAATCTCATTACGGTTAAAAATCAAAAGACTAGCTGTGATTGGAGGTCGAGGTATATTTACTGACGGTCTCGTGATATCGAAAAAATATCAAAATCTCAATAAAAACCGTAGGCGAAACCACCGAAGCAATCGAACAACGTTAGCGACACGTGACGCGAGCAATTACGGTTTTTTATTACAGTTGAACAAAAGAGTACAGTAAAAGAACCATTGGTTACAGTAATAAATGTTTCTATTAAACCAATCGCTTTCTCTTCATACAGGGCACTACAGCGCAAGTAATAGAAACAAGGGTGTCATTTGTGTTCGAGAGTCATCATTATTGAGCAGCCCTGACTTTGTCAGAACCTGTCTGACACACGAGTGCTTGATTTCTAGACCAGTGATAAAGAAATCACTAGTTCACATGTCTAGCTTCCAACGATTCGCGATACTAGACAACTATTTTCCACTTCCTAGAGTTGATATTAAATGTTTCACAGTAGATATGGTTGAATTCCAATAGTGTCGGCTGGTCAGAAGGATAGTTCAGTTAGAATCAGTCCATAATCTCTACTTCGAAAGTTCTGCCAATTCATCAAACTCTGAAAATTACTAAAGATAATTTAATCAGGAGCGATTAACTTCAAGAAGCAATTCCTGATGTTCTAGTAAGAAGCTATGAAAAGTGAAGTTCAATGATGAAGGATGTTAGACGGTTGTTTACTTCTGTCAATGAAAATCTGTTACGCAGTGTGGTGATTGATTGAAGTAAGATATGTAAATCGTCCATTTGCCACTTCATTTGTCTAGAAGTAAGGCGTTTGCATATCAGCTTCATGGTCCCAGGTTCTATCCCAAAATGCAAGGTCTTAGATGTGTACTATTGAGCAATCGCGTATTAGGATAAAATATCTCTCGTCTATACTACCTGGATTTTGATGATGATCTGTGTAAGATCAGTTCATCCTGTAAATTACTTACTTACTACTAGTGGAGGATAGACAGCCAACTAGTTTTAAGCTGTCCCAGACCATACTTTCTAATTTTATCGAATTGCTGTTCGCTCTTTTCATATCTACTTTTAATTCATACTGCGATCAGTCCTTTGGTTCATCTCTTCTCCTTTAGCACTTAGTATCCCCAGTGAGAGCTTGCCTTGTGACATGGTTGGATGCCTTCCTCTTTGAGTGTCCTAAGCACCTCCAGAGCATTTTCGTAATTTCTTCCTCCGTTGGAATCTGATTTGTTCTCTCTCACAGTGGATTGTTGCTGAAAATGTCTGTCTAACGGATCCAAAGTATGCTAAATAGGCAACATTACATTTATACAATTAGGTTTTATTTTCATTTGACGACCTATTAACTTATCCTTTAATAACATTTGATTTGTTTTTGTTAGCCGTTGTCATTTGAAATGACACAACATTTATTCAATATGGAGTCAAGAGGTTTGGTAACATCAAAAAATCTATCCACCACAGCAGTATCATTATCTCAACGTAATAAACATGATCACAGTGTGGAATGTCGTCTCCATGTGGATATTCGTAGAATTACATTTGATTTTCATCCAATCTTTAGTTTAGAACATGTTCATGCACAAAATTTACGTCAAATTATTCATGCTTATGAATTAACCTTGTCAAGAGATCAAGTGAATGCATGTATTCAACGTGTAAGTTGAATTGATTTTGTTTGTTTTACTGTTTTTTTTCATTTTGATGGCGTATTATTTAATTTGATTTAGTGAACCAATCAGAAGCGACCTAATGAGAAGGCCATTGGATGATTAGAAGGAAAATGACCTCATTAACGAATACATATCATTGGTGTAGAAATGGCCTACTTTTCTAAGGTGTTTGAATATATATACTATTCGGTAACCAAATAGATTTCCTATTCTAGTTTAGTCTTCTCAGTTTCATACTGGCGATTGAAATTCAGTTCTGTCAATACTGGTAAGATATCTTATGTAAGATTGTGCACGACCGTAATTCAACGACGGACAACGGTGAATATGATGTTATCCGTCTGATATATATATTATATGTAAACAAAATGATCCTCATTTGGAACAGATTTTTCAATAAAACGAAAAATTCCTTCAGAATGCACTTCAGTGATTCATAATACTGAATACTGAAAGTCAGTCAGCATCAACGTAGAACTTCGTGCGTACAAGTTCAGGTTGTCATACCACATTAGCAAACAGATGCAATTGCCAATTCAAATCCCACAATGGTAGAGGTAGTAGACGTATGAGTAGTAATCGAAAAGATCATGGTCCGATGATATTATTCCGGGAGTATAATACAGTGAAATAGATTAGAATTTGAGAGAACACAAAAAATGAATGCATCTGCGCCATTGCAAACCATTTTGAGCAGTTTTTCAAGGCCTCTAACCATTGGTTACGGTTGTCACGTGGACACTGACCCGGTAGTCTACACCTAATTATATGGCTCAGTCCACTTGTCGATATAACGTAACATGCGCCAACCAATTAGTTCTCGATGGAGATGCCGTGGCGGACGTTAAAACCTTTACATATCTTGACAGCATCATCAACAATCAAGGTGGATCCGATGCAGATGTGAGGGCGCGGATCGGCAAAGCAACGGCTGCATTTCTACAGTTGAAAAATATCTACAACTCCAAACAACTTTCAACCAAAACCAAAATCAGGGTTTCCAATACAAATGTCAAGACAGTTCTACTACTGTATGAAGCGGAAACTTGGAGAACTACGAAAGGCATCATCCAGAAGATACAAGTGTTTATTAACAGTTGTCTATGCAAAATACTTCGGATTCGTTGGCCAGACACCATCAGTACCAACGTACTGTGGGAGAGAAGCAACGAGATTCCAGTGGAGGAGGAAATCAGGAAGAAGTAGTGGAAGTGGATAGGACACAACTTACGAAAAGCACCTAACTGCTTCACGAGACAAGCCCTCACATGGAACCCTCAAGGCAAAAGGGAAAGAGGAAGACCAAGGAACAAATTACGTCGAGAAATAGAGAAGGATATGAGAGGAATGAACAAACATTTGACAGAACTGGAGAGGAAAGCCCAGGACAGAGTTGGTCGGAGAAAACTGGTGGGCGGCCTATGCTCCATTGGGGGTAACAGGCGTAAGTAAGTAAAGGACTTGTCAAAGACTTACTTGGTTGTCCTAGGATGTTTGAGCAATGCTTTCAAGACATCCTGCAATCGAATACTAATAATCTACTCTTACCGGCCATGTTTCGCAGCCATCTAGTAGTATGGTGCAAACTGATGCTCAGTAGAATCATCCCTTAATTAAAAAACGGAAACCTCGCCTGCGACATAAGTGATGCAGATTGGCAAAAGTCAATCGAGCCTTTTATATCCTCGCTGAGATTTCATCAGACACCAGGCTATCAGGACTGAGGAGAACCCCAAGGTAAGTGAAGCGGTTAACACGCTAAACCGCTGACTCAAGCTCAAATAAATTATACTGCGATCTCAAATTCATTTTGTTCAATGATCAATTTTAAAACCAAATTAGGAAAATTAGATAAGAATATTGTTTAAATGAATACTTATTGTGACTCCTATGCACCTACGAAAGACTAGTCCATGATCAAATACCTCTACTAGGGCTTCTGTGATTTGAAGTCAATATTTAAAGCACTCTAACAAACACCTCTTAATTACGTAAAACTTTACATCAGTACCGCTGTGAGTTTTATTCTTAGAGTATAGTTAAACGAAAAATATGAATTTAACAGAATATTCTAGATGAATTTAAAAATTCCGGTTATTATAAAATCATACTATTCTTACCTGATGATAATTTTTGAATAACTGTGAAATACAGACAGTCATTTTTTTAAAAATTTTTAGATTAGCGCCTTGAAACGAGCATTGAAACAACTGGAAGCAAAACGTAACAATAACGTGGTAAATTCCTTTTTCTTGAAATCAATTTATCAATTGTACTGATTTCCTTTTTTTAAAAAAAGAATTGAATTAGCTTCAAAATGTATTCTCGAATTTTTAATGAGATCCACCTGACTAGCGGAGTTCAAATCGTGTTAGTTATGAGACAGTTATTCACTAGAAAAGATGGATGAAAGCTGTAAAAAACCACGGATTGATTCGGATTGAAGAGTAACATCACTGAATGTCGTCTTTACGGTCTGCAGTTTAAGAGTTGGCCTAAGGGATTAAAGATTTTGGATTTTAATACAATCTTAAAACGCATTGAGGTTTTTAATGGTCATTTAGCTAATACTAGTTCGTGATTTCGACCGGGAAAATGATACCAACTCTAACAAACATGTTTTATTGATTAGCGTTTCTTTGGCGAGTTCGTTTCCTATGAGATAGGATCGCCAACCCTAAGCCCAACCCTCTCTTTTTATCCAAGCTTGGGATCGGCAGTAGCCTCAGAGGGGATCCAGGGAGAATAGCTTCTACAAATCTCGACAGTTTAAATACTTTTTGTGTTGCGGATGTTTGATCTCCAAAACTCGCTTGATAAATGCCTTATTTTTGATTTCACGTTTGCCAGCATGTGCTGATCAGTTGACCTTGAGATTTCAATTCCCACCAGGAAAATCCATGGCTGTGATTGGCTGCTGTGTATTTTAGTGTGCTATTTTCTTAACTGTTTCTATGATGTATAAATAAACGAGAGTTGTATGCTTGATTGTACTGTGTGATTGCTGGGTGTTTGTAGAATATACTTTCTACGCTTACAAAGCCTTCTTACTTTAGTTGGGGATTAAAGGTAGCCTACTTGGACTCTGGTAAAAGTCTTGTTCACGTTGATCGACTAAGTGACGAACCCAGTATTTCGCAATCGTACAGAATAACAAGAGTGGAGGCTAAGAACATGATTTATTCGACAATGATATCAGGTTAACTGAATAGTGGCTGAAAACCTAATAGTCTATTGATACCAGCCAATTAGTGTTAAATATATTCATTAATAATTCAATTGAAGGCTTCTCATCAGCTGCAAATGAATTAAGACTATCATTAGACTTTCATCAGTGAAGTCAATGAGTCAAATATGACGTAGAATTTGACACATGTGCACATCATTTGGCAGGAATCTTAAAGCAGTCGATGAATTAACCATATTAGTGCTAGTAGGAAAGATTTGTCATCCGCGAAACGATTGGAGGAAATGTGGATTAATAGGGAAAGTAGATAATGAGTTTAGAAACTTCAAACCTAATTTAAAGACAAAAAATAAATTCGTCTACGTCTGAACAAATGTCTTTGAATTGTATCGTTCAATCTCAAACCACTGTCCACGATAATCCTATGAACCACTACAAAGTTAGTCTACACGTATATGCATATGCTTCAACCTTAGTGATCAAACTGAACATCAGCAACAAGGAGAATAGACAAATTACTCAACACATTTGTTTGTCAGAAAACTAAGAATGAATCTGTTTATCATTGATCAAACTTTTTTTCAAAAATTAATTTACTACTAAAATGGTTTGTCAAATGATAAATCTCTCTCTTTATTCATACTCTTGATTTGTAGAATAGTTTCAGTGAAGATGAACTATTAGACATGGATTATCGTATTGAAGATTATTATCATGAAATAAGGTGAATTTAACAGATTTTCTGACATTTTGTGTCACATGTCGATTGTTGTTATCGATTTTTTGAATATCATTAGAGGATTGTGGAGAATTTTTAACGGAAATCAATAACTGATCAATGTTAGATGAATACTGGAAAACTGTGAACACTGGATGGTCCTTTCTTCTAAGTATAGGACTTACCGAAGGTGTGCATCCACGACACTGATATGAGGGAATCGAACTTAAGACTTTCAGTCTCGTACGCACAAGTCTTACGTCTGACAAATGAGCTGATATCTAACGGTGTTAATGTCTAACTTCAATCAATCCTAGATATTTTACGACCACTATCCATTGTGTTCCATGGGTAACTGGCTCACATTCAACACGGTTGGACTGTACTCATGACTGGAATCTCAAGGATTCCCTTACGATAAGCATCAGTAAAGCAAACTACTGATGAGTCCAGTACTAGGAGGAAACAACCGTTTCGTGACTCTAGGTTTCCAATGGCGGCCCAATAGTTCATAACTTAAATATTGGGATGTTTTTAAGAAAATAAATTGACTAAACACAACTCTGCCTGGAGTCTTTCCTAGGTTACTGAGGTTTTAAGTCCAGGTGAAGACGGAGGGTTATACGTCAAATCAGGGAAACTATCTCATAGAAAACTGAGTCTCTAAAAAACTCCAATCTGAAAAAAATAATTCAATTGTGCCTTCAAAGTTGAAGATATTGGGTTCGTCACTAAGTATGCTTGAGGCTATTATCAGTTCACCTTAGTTGATAAACGCGAACGAGACAATTACTAGCGTCCAAGTAGGCTACATTGAATCCCCAACTAAAGTAAGAAGGCTTTGTAAGCGTAGAAAGTATATTCTACAAACACCCAGTAATCACACTATACAATCAAGCATACAACTATCGTTTATTTATACATCATGGAAACGTCCTTGGGACAGTTAAGAAAATAGCACACTAAAATACACAGCAGCCAATCACAGCCATGGATTTTCCTGGTGGGAATTGAAATCTCAAGGTCAACTGATCAGTCCATGCTGGCAACGTGAAAACCAAAATAAGGCATTTATCAAGCGAGTTTTGGAGATCTAACATCCCCAACAGAAGATCCTTTATTTAAGAGAGTTATGACGCCTCATAATGAAAGCCAATTTCCTTCAAAAGTTACGAAGTGAATGCCTGATCAGACACCCGGAACAACCATCAGTAATCAATTAAAACTCAAATAGAATTATTATTTTTAAAATTAACTTTCCTTTGCTTATAATTTACGCGTTTTATTTTAGTTTAATGCGTCGTGCAAGAAATCATGCAGAAGCTTATGAAAAAGGATTATTAACTTCAGCACTTCGTGCATGGAAACGTGTTAAAGAATCAAGACAAACTAGCGGTTGTACAAATACTACAGTTCGTTTAAAAATCACAAAGTAAGCGATTGGATTGTGTAAGTTTACAGTAATATTTCACTATAAAATGAATCCGTTGGTACTGATTCTATCTGACTTAATCAGTAGTACAACTTCAGATCTTAATAAAGTACAATGATTATTAAAACAGACAAAGATATACAAAAGTTTACAAGAGCACAAATTTAGGAGTAAATTTTCAGTAAACTGAAATCAAACCTTATTGGAGAGATTGTTGGATTTTGTAGTCTTACAATATTGACTGACTTTAGATTCAGGCAACTATTCAATCGAGAAATTTATAATTTTAGGCTCAAACTTGGTTTTATAGTTATTTCATTACGGGGTTGTGAAGATTGTCAAGTTAAACATTTGAAATCATGTATCGACCAATGTCAGATCACTATTAGAAAACTAGGAAGCACTGGATGGTCGTTTCGTCCAAGTATGGGACTCATTAGCAGTGTGCATCCACGACTCCTGCACCTCGCATGGTTCGAAACCAGGACTTTTGGTCTTGTGCGCGCGAGCGCCTCACCTCTGGACCACTGAACAGGTTGGGTACGGAATAAGAAACTTAAGTGAATATCAAGAAACTAGGTATATTACCGTTGCTGAAATGATCAATCAATCATTGTTATACGACCATTAGAAACCTGGAACTACTGGATGGCTGTTTCGTCCTGGTCTGACACTCATCAGTAGAAAAAATACAACTTATTACTCATCTTATAAATTACATTCCAGGAAAATAACTAATTAAAAAGAGTGTGCGATGTTATTGGTTTGTTCAATAGTTTGAATCTACCAAGGGAGAGTTAGGACTACAACTGATCGGCCACCTTGGCATACATGTATCTTGTGAGGATTGCCTTGATATAATCATTACAACCCAAGCATTATAATGCCCAAATTTATAGTGTCTAGTAGTTGAATTCTAGACGCGCGTTTATATCAGCTGAAGGTATCTACATTCCAGAGTTGATGTTCGTTTCGGGACTCGAACCCTAGTGCCATTCATTTCAACCACACTAGTATTAGTCACTTAGTTTCCGAATCCAGATAGCCGCTCACTCATTTAAAGCTTTAGCATTTCTAGGTTCTAGTTCCGCAGTGAACAATTCATTCTGGAATACACATAAATTCAGATAATGAGGATACAATACACGATTTGAATCCTTCTGCTAGTCATTATTCATTTCTACATATAATAATAAGATATTGAGTAACATATGGACACAAGAATCTCTAAGAATAAACAGCAGCCAATAAGAACTTGAATGGTAGTCTAGAACAGGAGTCGGGTGGAGAATGCTGGTCGGTAACTGTCTAATGCTTTATTAGGGGTAACAGACGTAAGTAAGTAAGTAAGCAGGCATACAATAATCCACGTATTCCTCTTTTAGAGTTTAATGTTGACTAGCGTTTAAAACTATACAATCTCTCTTTTCTTTATCCTCTGTTTATTATATACATTTATCTGACATATATGAAATCATCAATCAATCATTGTTATACCGCCATTAGAAACCTGGAAGCACTGAAAGAAGGACATTCGTCCTGGTATGGGATTAGTCATCAACAGTGAAGATCCACGACTCCTGCACGTCACAGGATTCGAACCTAGGACAAAATGGGTGTTACTTACTTACTTACGCCTGTCACCCCCCAAATAGAGCATAGGCCGCCCACCAGTTTTCTCCAACCAACTCTATCCTGGGCTTCCCTTTCCAGTTCTGTCCAATGTTTGTTCATTCCTCTCATACCTTTCTCTATTTCTCGGCGTAGTGTGTTCTTTGGCCTTCCTCTTTTCCTTTCGCCTTGAGGGTTCCATGTGAGGGCTTGTCTTGTGACGCAGTTAGGTGCTTTCCACAATGTGTGTCCTATCCACTTGCACAGCTTCTTCCTGATTTCCTCCTCAACTGGAATCTGACTGCAGCCTTTCGTAGAATTGATCTTTAACGTCGTCATTGTAGTCGTTGGTAGGTGCATATCATTGGATGACGTTCATTGTAATGTCCTCTTTCTTTGTTTTGAAGGATGCTTTAATGATCCTTGGTCCATGAGATTCCCATCCTATCAGTGCCTTTTGTGCATGTTTGGACAGCATCAGTGCAACTCCTTGTGTATGTGAAGCATTTTCCTCTTCATGACCAGAGTATAACAGCAGTTCTCCTGAAGTTAGTCTCAGTTGTCCAACCTGTGTCCAATGCTTTTCACTGATGCCGAGCACCTCGAGGTTGTATCTTTTCATTTCTGCCGCAACTTGAAATAGTCTTCCAGTCTCCCACAATGTACGAACGTTCCATGTACCTAAAAGAATGGTTGCTCTGGTTATCAGAAGAAGCATCGGCCCCGTGACTTCCGAGGGAACTCGGCTTTCATCCAGAGACATCATAATTCTTGTTCCAACTCCCAGGGCAGAGTTAAAATGGTTTGGATTATTTTTTCTGGTTAGCGTTTTTTTGGCAAGTTAGTTTTTGACGGAATGGGGTCGCCAACCCCATGTTTAACCCTCCTACTTTACCCGGGCTTGGGACCGGCAGTAGACCCGAAGGTTCTACTGGCGGAGTTACCAAATGGGTGTGGTCACGCAAAATCCCTTGATCAATCAGATTTAGACGTGAACACCGTTGGATGTCGGCCCATTGGTCCAGAGGTCGGGTGTTCGCGCGCATATGACCGAAGGTCCCGCGTTTGAATCCTGCAAGGTGAAGAAGTCGTGGATGGGCACGGCCATTGATGTGTAGTCCCTTACCGGGACCAAACGGACGTCTTTCAGTGCCTCCAGGTTTCTAATGTTGATGGTCTAACAATGATTAATTGATGATTTCAAATGTGTAGAAACAATAATAATAATAATAATATTCATAATTAATTCTAATTGCAAAATAATACATTTATCTATCAATAAAGACAAATCACCAATGTTGAACAAGATCAAATCGATTGGGATCAAGAATTGGATGATATAGTCAATGAAGAAAAACATGAATATGATAAAAAAATTTTGAAAGAACAAAAACTTTACGAAGAAGAATTAGTAAAATATAAAAAAGAGAAAAAACAACTGGTTAGTTTGATTTGAAGGCTTTTTAATAATTGTTTATAGAAATTTATTAAACTATTGAATATTGAATGAATATGTGTTATGTCTGCACGTTAACACGTCATTTTGATGTTGTTTGAACTATATTACGAGTTTACCACTTAGTCGGAAACGCGTGAGCGAGGATCGAGGATCCGGCGACACCACATGCTACTCAAATCCGATTATTCCCAACACCCACATTTAGTAAAAATAAGAAGACTTGAATGTGAAGTAGAATGTGTATTCTACAATCATCCAGAAGAGAATCAGGATCCCGGACTAGGGATCCGCGACCGTCTCCTAGTCCCGGTCCTAGTCATAAAACGTTACAGATAATGCGTATTTATACATTTAGGTCGAATAGGAAACAGCATCGAATTCTGTGACGTTGACAGTTGGGACGACCAATAGGAAGCAACATTTGAAGTGACACTGATAGTCAGGACAACCAATAAGAAACAACATTGGAGTGTGTGACCTTGATATCTAGGACGACCATAAAATTGACCAGTAGGAATGAACCAATAGGAATCAACCAATAATTCTCTTAAGATATTGGATGAATATCCTAACAGAATGAAAGCGAGGAATTGTCATATATCAAATGTTCACTGATCAAAATTTGAATTATACTAATTGTTTCACAGTGAAATGCTTACTTCGAATAGAATTTATGTAAATGCTAAACACAATTGAAACTGACAAATGATGGTTTCATGACTATCTTTAATTTAATGTCAACCATTCACTGTTGGATCGTACAATAGTCAGTGGTTGACAATCCTGAAGACACATACCAGACATTGAAATCAGTGAGCCGATAAGCCTTTTATCGATGCGCTTGCTATTTATATCTAAATCTATGCAGTGTACTTTAACATTATTTCTGTCATACATAAGAACTACTTTAGACAGATTTGTGACTGAATGCTTACAACTTGCACATGCCCTCTACTATAATAAAGCCATATTTGTCAGCCATGTTTGCCACCTGCTTGGTGATATCAAGTTTACGGCTTTACAATGAAATTACCTCATAGTAAGAAAGATAAAATTCAGTATAGAACTCAGCTGAAGAAAGATAGAAATGGCGGAATAAATTTCACGTATATGAGACCAGATTTTATCAACCGTTATGCAATGTCGATCGATAAAGATTGCGTGAAAAGTGAAGAATACTCATCACACTGGAATAGTGTAATTCAACAGATTGTTTGAAACGATAGTATTGTTATGTAACCTGTTTAAGTTTGATTGCATCTTCTTCTGAAGACAAAACTGTTACAGTCATCTCTAGGTATACTTAAACTAATAAGAATTCACCTTAGTCGAATAACGGGAACAATGAACCAGCGTCCAGATAGGCGACTGTTATCCCTTGACCAAAATGTATCAGCAAGAAGTCTTGATATAGTGTAGAAATTGTATTCTAAAAACACCCAGCCAGCACACACAATCAATCCAAGCACTCCATACTCTATAGAGACGTCGTTGGGACAGTCACAAAATAGCACACTAAAAGGACATAGTAATCAATTACAGCAAAGGATTTTCCTGGTGGGAAATGTAACCTCAAGGTCAACTGATCGGTTCGTGAAATAAATCCAAACTAAAGATATTTATAAAGCGAGTTCTGGGGATCTAACAATAGATTGTTTGAAACGATAGTATTGTTATGTAACCTGTTTAAGTTTCATCTCATCTTCTTCTGAAAATTAAACTTAAATTGAGTGGTTAAGCAAACCTTCATAATACTTCTTTAAAAAAAACCTGCTTTTTTATTGTACTACTTAAATAGATATAAGTAGACAATTGGAAGCTATGAGTGAGTTTTACAAGATCACGTTGTTATATTAGTTGATATTTTGTAGTTTATTACTTCAGTTCAATCATTTTTAGTGTGGTTTAGGCAAATTACTAAGCAATTCTGTACTAAAACGAAACAGTAATAAGTTATTCGGTGACGCATACTACTTATTTACTTACTTACTTACTAACGCCTGTTAACCCCCCAATGGATCATAGACCACCGACCAGTTAAAAAAATGCTTCAGCAATAATATTCATCTTATTTAGTCAGTATTTTTCAGCTAATAAGACAGATAACCTGTTAAAAATATTTCCCATTATAGGATGCTGCCCTCAGGAGACAACGTTTACGTGAATCAGGTCAGATGGGCGGTGAGTTAGAGGTAAATTATATATATATATATATATATATATATATATATATATATATATATATATATATATATATATATATATATATATATATATATATATATATATATATATATTTAAAATCTTTATCGAGAGGTTACTATATCGTTCCCAGTGTGTATTTGTTCAGATGAATCTAATCGCTTTCTGTCGTGTCATGTTAAACGCTTATTGGTAAAAATAATCGAGAATGCTTATTTACGATCCATTTTCTTGCATGACTTGAGCTCTTTTTTGATTGACTTGCACAAATTTAGGGTGCTTACGGTCTGAGTACTTCAAGGTCATTGTTTTACTATTATGTTTATGCATGCTATTTCAAATTTTTCCGTTTGATATATACGTTTTTCCGATACTTAGTGTTCTTTCGATGTTATTGGATAATTTTTAAAGTGTTATATGCCATTTGTTGGAATCTAGTGCTAAACAGAACCATTGGTATCAGAATAAATCAATCAGTCCTTGGTTTGCGATTACCACAGGTCAACAGGAAATACCAGTGCGTCTTTAATCCTTAGATTCAGACCATCAGTAAGCCGTGAGCGTAATCTTGTCATATACAAGTAAATATTAACAAGAATAGCTAACGTTTCTGTTTAGTCTCAATAAAATGTGTGAGCCCAGAAGGTTGGTTACACAAAAAACAATGAGAAACATTCAAGTCTAGATGACTTGTTCATAATTGTTACCACAAATAACAAAAATATTTCCGATGGAGTAAAAACTTGGAAATCCTATTTAGAAAAGAGTCAAGTTGAATTGGCTCCTGTCATAAGTATCAAAGTTACTCCGAGTCATTCATCATCATGATGCGTATTACGTGGTACCCAACTAAGATGAATACGTTTACTAATGTAGGCCTGTTCAACAGATAGCATTCGTATATACAGATATCAAGTTGTTATTTAGCTAAATGTGATCCTCTTCTAGCTCCATCGGATCCCGTACAGTATAACATGCAAGACTGAGCAACGGTGAAACATTTTTTCTAGAAATTATTAGTGATTACATATCAATCTTTAGTATCCAATATCCTGTATCTTTTTCACGAGCTAATATAAAACGACTGACTTCTTTGTGCAAGTGGACGGAAGTCTAATCAATGGAGAAGAAACACAGATAATAGAGTTGGTGATCTGAGGAGATGGCCATTATAGTGACTAGCAAGTCTCAAGACATGCATCAGGCACAGCTTGTCCACGAGAGAGATAATAATCCGTATGTGAGCACGTGTTTATCAAGTCTCTTCTTAAAACTAGGCACTGAGAGGGCTGTGGCCACCCCGGCTGGAAGAGCATTTCAAGTCGTAGCGACTCTTAATGACAGAAAGTGTGCACGAACCTGTGTATTGGCTCTTTGATGCACAATTTTTTGATGATTACCTGGGAAAGCGTATTAGTGATGTTTCAATAAGATGCTCATGTTGCGATGGTCTGACATACTTGATATGTTGTACGCCATAATCAGCTCATCTCTGATTCTACTGTAACTCAGAGTGAATAATCCCAACCGCTTGAATCTGTCTTCGTGAGTTTTATTCTTCAACCCTATAAGCCATTTCGTCGCTCATATCGGCACACGATCCAACAGATATATGTCTCTTTTAAGGTGAGGGGTTGTGACGATGTTTTGAAACTCAAGGAGTAGACTGCATGTGGAGGCTTTCAGTGGTTATCAGAACGAGATCGCTCTTTGAGGAGACATTGAGAAGCCGATTTTTATTGACGATGTTAATCATGTGTCAAGTGGGGTAGAATATATATAAAGTGGCATTTTGACTGGTTAAGCTTCTTACCATTCATCAATGCTGATTCCTCGATAGATATAAGATCTCTTTGAAGCTCAGTTGAATCCTCGTCATTTCTAATGGACCTCCATATCTTTGCATCGTCCATTTAGATCAATGCCATCGAGTTAACTTTGTCTAACAGATCGTTAATAATTCTGAGACTAGCCAACTTGCATGCACAGTTATACCTTGGTACGGAACTTTCTATTCTCAAGGTAGTTTCAGAGCCAAGATAATAGTGGGTCAGTGAACCTCATTTCTGCAACCTTTGCAATTAGCAGAGAGTGAAGTACTGTGTCGAATACTTATTCAAAGTTCAGAAATATTTTGTGCATCGGTATTCTTCAGTTCCAGAAGGATTTCTAACTGTTTTATGCTATGAGAAGATTAGATGAGCTCGAGCTGCCTTTCCCAAACCCGTGTTGAGCTTCATGATGAATAGTGTTCGTATCCATGTACTCCATCATCTTTTCATTCACTGACCCTTACCTTATCTTCTATAATATTAGTAGTAATGCGACTGGTCTATAACAGTCAAGGTCCTTCCTATCTCCTTCTTTGAAGACTGATAATCGTCTTCCAAATTTTGAGTCTTCTAAGAAGCATCTGGTTAACATCCTGGTTCAGTTCCTAAGAATCACAATTTCAACTCATCATCGTTATGATAGAAAGCCAATCATAAATACCCAAACGAGGTCACTTGATGATAATTAGAAATGTCCTAAAGGATGAATGTACATCATTGGTTGAGATTCAGATCCACTTTCTTAGGGGAAGAAATGGACATACATAAATAAATGAGTGTTAACGCATTCAACTCCATCAAGTAGTATACTTCTTCAACCACTTCTAACTTCTCATTCAAACAATCAGTTTCATGCTCATGGCAAACGTGTATCACGTTCAGATTTTGAGCATCATAAATGGTCACATTTCTATTTTCTTCATAAATAATACAGGATAATGCTGAATTGGAACGTAACGATGCACAAATTTTAGCACAGAAAAAGCTAAGAAATCCACCAATCAGTCCAAAACCATTTAATGCTCAAGCAATACGTGATGAAACAGAAATGAATCTACGAAAATTTAGACGATTACCAAATGAACCAAAAATCAGTGTTAGTTTATTGGAGGATGTGATTCTATCGTCAAATAATGAATGTTCAAGGTAATAAATGTGACATTAGTTTTCTTTAATTGACATTTGAACGTTTAATGGCGATTGAGTCGCGATTGACTATGATCAGCACTAAATACTTATTACGGTCCTATCATTAAGAAGAAGAGTTACTCCATAGTAAAGAACGGTATCGAAATAATACCGAAATCTTGTCAGAAAAAAGGGGCGAAATTACAGAGACGATGGAGCCAAAAATTGGCAGCCACACAAAAACGGAAGTTTGCGCGTACAGAGTGTAATAGAAGACAAAAAGTACAGTTAAACAATCACTGGTACGACCATGCAGTACTTTCAGGTTTTTAATAATGATCTAAAAATGATCGATTTATAACTTAAAGGGAACCTAACAATCTTCACACTTGCAGAAATCTAACATAGAAACTTATGAATATGATGAAACTATGATTCAGACAATCAAACCGACTGAATTATTACAGAATATCGATTTAACTGACAACAAGGTTGTTAAGCATGCACGTAAACACGTCAGTTGGATATACATGAACTATTACGAGTTTAGCTTAGTCAGTAAACGAGATCGAGGATCGAGGATCCGGTGAAACGACAGGCTACTCTAATCCGATTGTTTCAACCCCCATATGAAGTAGAACATGTATTCTACAAACATTCAGAAAGTACGAGGTTCGAGTCTAGAAGAGAATCAGGACCCCAGACTAGAGATCCGTGTCCGGGTCCTGGTCATAAACTGTTACAGATAATGCGTATTTATACAGTTCAGTTGAATAAGAAACAACATTGAAGTCTTTGACATTGACAGTTAGGCCAACCAATAGGAAACGACATTTAAAGTACGTGACATTGTTAGCTAGAACTGTAGTTAACGAGAACACAAGAACATACAGAGTTACTCAGTAAAATAGGAACACCATATCGTAAATCGTTCATTTGCAAAATATCAACTCATCATATCGAACTGAACTGTTACTGTTGCAAAACATCAATCCATTGTCACTATTCATGCGTTTCATACAAATTCTATTGTGTTCTAGCTCTTCCTTTCTTGATCTTCCCACATCTTCTGCTGCCAGACATTACGTTGACACTCACGTCATATACTACTTATAAGTAGCTCACACCACAGAACAACCATAATATTGACCAATAGGAAATTGACCAATAGAATTAGACTTTCTCTCAGGTTATTCGATGAATATCCTGACAAAAGTACTACATGACGTATGAGTGAAACTGTTTATTTATAAATTGTTACCTCTATTTCATTTTATTTTTTGTTTTTTCTCGGTATTCTTTTTTGTTTTTTACGTAGAACTGAATTGAATCGTCGTTTAAAATTACTTGAATATTCATATTTTATTAAATTGTATTATAATAATAAATTAGTTGAAACTAGTCAACTTCAGTAAGTTGTTGCTTATTATTTATTTATAAATGATAAACCGAAAAAAAGGAGACATTTTTTTACTTTTTTTGATGTATATGTATGGTATTGATCCATTCTGTATGTGATATACGCTAACCCCGCCAAACTGACTTTGTGAGCATGAAGAAAAAGCTAGAAACCACAGTTTTATTGGTTATATATATATATATATATATTCCATCTCCTTAGAAAAAGAAGCCATTTGTTGACCAATGAAATATATCCATCTTTAAGGACATTTCCGACGGCCATCAAATGACCTTCTCATTTGACCGCTATTGATTGGCTCACTAAAAGATGCCTTTTATTGAAATCAAGATTATTTTATTCCAGACGTATATCAGGAAATCTCATGTTTTAAGTTTCTCTGGATGAAAAGAGGAATACAACCAAGTGTTGTGTTTTTTTCTGAATGATTAGCTTAAGACTAATATGTTGAACCAGCACTAATTATTCCCTCAGGATACATGGAATAAATGTGCACCATTCATTTGAAAGCAAAGTTTTCTAACTCCGCTAGATAAATCCTTTGTACTCAACAAACTTTTTCATGTCCTGGCTGAAACTTCACTTTTCGTTACCTCAATCTCGTGAACAGCATCCCGGTTGTAAGAAGTCAGTGAGTAGTCGACCCATGTCATTCACGTGTGTTCATATGACAGCATTTCGAATGAGAGTGATCTCTCTACACTCTCGGATGTAATAGAGCATTTCGGGGGCCTGATAATTACTGGCTCTTGTAAAAAAAGTCTCCATACAGAATATCATATCGTAATGTTACATACACAAACAAATTTTTATCGATTACCATTGGTAATTTGATTCATATCGTTTGATAAGTTGACAAAAGGATGTTTTTGAATTATATGAATGAAAGTTCTACTACTTCTAACTAATTTCACTGACCAAAAAAATGTTCATTATTCTATACGTCAAACATAATATGATTCCCGACCGTAGCTGCTACCTTGACGTGGTGGTCGGGCTTGCCTATCGTCATGACCCAACCGAGCTATACTGGCTGGAACATATGTTCCTGCAGGTCCTACCATGCCAGGCAGGTCGATTGGAGAACGATGAGACTAAAAGCAGCTACCCAAGGTCTGAGGGCGAAGTCGTACTGCTGACTGCAGAGGGGTGTGACAGCAGTAAGGTGTTTTCCTCGGACAACCAGCATCTGCAGCGATGCTGCGTTCTCACAAGGAAGGAAGGGTTAGAAAAGGTCGGCCCTAAAAATGTCACACCTCCCCTAACTCACGGATTTCCGTCTCCTTGGGTAAGGGTGCCCACTAAGGGCCTTTAAGAACGGAGCTAATCCTCAAAAAACATTTCATAAAAAGGCCATGCGTGACTGGCCTCAAGCAGTTGTCCCTTGGGCTCTGCGGTCACGCACCAACACTAATCTATCTTCCTTTTCAGGTTCGTCAAGAAACAACCTTCCACGGTGTGGGCAGCCGGGAAGTGACAACCGCCCTCATACACATAACAGCACGCGAGACCGAATTGGTCAAAATCAAATCCTTCCTACACCCCCTAGTACGTCTCTTATCTCCACGACTAACTCTTCTCACATTCATTCATCACAGTGCACAGCTAATGCAGACGATACGAGTTCGCGAAACGTCGTTCCTGGTCTCCTTAAACCTCGCTCTAGACTACATGTTGGAGCATTTAATGTACGGACATTGTGTCAAATAGGGCAACAGGCTTCCTTAGCTAAGACTTTAGAATCTCGTGCCATCGATGTATGCTGCGTCTCGGAAACGCGCATACAGGATCCGAGTCACGTCATACACTTGACCACACCATGTCAAAATAAAGAAGCAGCTCGATTTACTCTTCGTGTATCCGGTAGCCCTGATGCTGCTTCCCGCGGTCTTGCTGGCGTAGGCATAGCATTAAGTCCTAGGGCAGAACAATCTCTCCTTGACTGGATTCCAATAGATAGTCGATTGTGCGCTGTCCGACTAAACGGGACAGTAAGGACTCGGAAAGATAGGGACACTCGCCGTTGCCTCTTCATCGTATCTGCCTATGCCCCCACTGAATGCAGTTCAGACGAGGTTAAAGATGAGTTTTACAGAAAGCTTTCGGACCTCCTCCAAAAAGCTAGGCGCTCTGATATAGTAATAATGGCTGGTGACTTTAATGCTCAAGTAGGTAGACTAAGTGAGCAGGAGAGACACCTAGGTGGATGTTATGGTGTCCCGGCTCAGAGAACAGACAATGGTGACCGTCTGTTGCAAGCATGCTCAGACAACCGCCTATTCTTAGCAAACACTAACTTTAGGCATAAGGAAAAGCATCTGTTGACCTGGCGACCTCCAAAGTCGTCTCAACGTTGGACTCAACTAGACCACATTGCCATCAGCCACCGATGGAGGGGTTCGATAGAGGACTGTCGCTCGTTCTGGAGCACATGTCTAGATTCAGATCATGCCCTAGTGCGAGCGCGTATTTGTTTGAAGCTTACTGGGCGTAGGAAAGACACCGTAAGAAAGCCTCTTAGGGTTTTACTTAATGATAATAAGGCGAAAAATATATTTCAGGAACAACTAGAAAGACAGTTAGGCGACCATTTAAGCGATTCCCATCCGGAAGCAGGATGGAATGATATCAAAAAGGCTGTGGAAACAGCAGTGATATCTGCTAGTAAGGTTGACCATAAGGCTAGAATGAAACCGTGGATCTCAGTAGCATCCACCGATCTGATGGATGCCCGAAAACTCATCCCACCTGGCTCTGAACATGATGAAGAACGAAGTCAACTTAGGCGCAGACTTATAAAAAGCCTACGTAACGATCGCGAACAGTGGTGGGTGGCGAAAGCAAAAGCGATGGAAAAGGCAGCGGCGATTGGCAACAGTAGACAACTTTTCCGACTTATCAAGGAAACTGGTATTAGGAATCCTAGTGTAAGTGAGACTATCTCAGAAAATGACGGGACTATTATTTATTCTCAATCCAGGAGACTGGATCGATGGGCAGAACACTTTAGGGATCAGTTCAACTGGCCTCGAGCCACTCTTCAGTTACCCACGATCTCCAGTCATCCTGAATGGCAAATCGACGTAAGTCCCCCTAGTCTTAATGAAGTTGAAAAAGCGTTAGGAAATCTGAAGCGAGGACGAGCTGCAGGTCCTGATAGACTGACCCCTGAGATATTTAAGGATGGTGGTCCAGTTTTAGCAGCTAGGTTGACTGAGATCTTAGGTAGAATCTGGGAACTGGACGTAATCCCATCCGACTGGTCTCAATCACTGATTGTCCCAATCTATAAGAAAGGACAGAAGTCTTCTTGTGACAATCACAGGGGAATAAGTCTAACTAATATAGTATCTAAAATATTGGCCTCAATAATACTTCGACGCTTAACGAAAGCTCGTGAAGAGCAGACTCGAGAAAACCAATCTGGTTTTCGACCTGGACGTGGCTGTATAGACCACATTTTCACACTACGACAGGTCCTGGAACACAGACACACATTTAGGCGTCCTACAATAGTTGTTTTCCTGGACCTTAAGGCGGCATTTGACTCTGTGGATCGTGAGGTTCTGTGGCAGTGTCTGTCATTGAAAGGTGTACCAAAGAAGTACATTAACCTCATACAAGCTCTGTACTCAAACACCACTGGTCGAGTGAGAGCTTATGGCGAACTGTCACCGGAATTCTCTACTTCAAGTGGTGTCCGTCAGGGATGTCCACTTTCTCCATTCTTGTTTAATTTTGTCATAGACATGCTCCTAGATATAACCTTATCCTCGTCTGAATTTTCAGGAGTAGACCTTTTACCAGGTGGCTCGCTTATTGACTTAGAATATGCCGATGACATAGTCCTACTTGGTGAAGACGCTGACAAAATGCAGAGTCTTCTGACTACCCTAAGCAACAATGCAAGCATGTTTGGGATGCGGTTTTCCCCCTCGAAATGCAAAATGTTGCTTCAAGATTGGGTTTCATCGGCACCTGAACTAGTGATAGGGAGTGAAGTAGTCGAACGTGTAGACCGCTTCACTTATCTTGGGAGTGTCATCAGTGCCGATGGCCTGGTGACTGACGAAATCTCGGCACGGATACAGAAGGCTCGATTGGCTTTTGCCAACCTGCGTCACTTATGGCGTAGGCGAGATATCCGTTTGCTGACTAAAGGACGAGTGTACTGCGCAGTGGTTCGCTCCATCTTACTTTATGGCTGTGAAACATGGCCAATGAGAGTAGAAGATACTCGTCGGTTATTGGTTTTCGATCATAGATGTCTTCGAAGCATTGCTCGTACATCGTGGGACACCCGAGTGAGCAACGCTGTTATTAGGAAACGGGTACTAGGTAAGAATGGCAGATCAATCGATGAAGTGGTGAAACTTCATCAGTTGAGGTGGTTGGGACACGTGTTGCGTATGCCTAACCAGCGACTCCCTCGTCGAGCTTTGTTTTGTAGTGTAGGAATAGGTTGGAAGAAAGTTAGGGGCGGCCAGACCAAAACATGGCAGAAATCCATGAAGTCATTGACGAGTGGACTTAGCCATGTCGGTAATTGTCGACTACCTGGTTGGGGTCCGCGAGATGATAATAATCGATGGCTAGAGACCTTGAATGACATGGCTCAAAATCGTTCGCAATGGCGCCGGTGCATTTATTCTTTGTGTTCTCTCAAATCCTAATCTTCTGGATTCTTCAACACCTCTAGTTTTGACTTTCTAAACTTTTCTCACTGAATCATACTTCGTGAATAATATCTTCTAATTCTAGCCCCTCCGATTACTTCTAATACCTTTACTACCTCTTCTACTATTGGATTTGAATTGACAATTATATCTCTGTGCTGATGTGGTATGGCGACATGAACTGATGTACTTACGTACGAAGTTCTACGTTGCAACTGACTGACTGACTGACTGACATAATATGATTCGATCTGAATCTGTCTTTCATCAAAGTAAACAGGATTAATAAAATTGCAGCTTAGTAAATTAAAATGTTTTGCTTCATCTACCTCTGTTTAGGTAGTCTAGTAGTATTGTAGTGAACGAGAACACAGGTGAAGGCAACCGAATTGTATTGAACGAAAATTACACAGTTACTCAGTAAAATCGGAAAACCATATCGTAAATCGTTCATTTGCAAAATATCAATTCATCATATCAAACTGGACTGTTCCTGTTGCAAAACATCAATCCATTGTCACTATTCATGCGTTTCATACAAATTCCATTGTGTTATAACTCTTCCTTTCTTGATCTTCCCCCATCTTCTGCTGCCAGATATTAGGTTGACACTCACGTCATATACTACTTATAAGTAGCTCACATCACAGTATGATCATCTTTAAAATATAAAATCGCTCAAAACACAATACACCAATCCATATTTGTCAAATCAGTTATTAAGCAATCATTGAAATGAAATCTGTACGACAAGTAATCAGTCACATTTCGTTTTTCACTGAAAAATAAACTCATTGAAACACCGCAAACCCTAAATAATTCATATCATTTTTGAAACGTTTGATAAAGTCCATGAAAAATGACATTAGGTTTTTTCTAATTTCATGTAAAACTTATAACAGAGTTTGTGATTCTTAAGTACCTTACCTTACATTCGAACGAATTATTTTACAGTAGTTGAAAGTTGAGGTAATGGAAGACATGAAGAAAAACATGAAGAAAATTCTATTTCCACTATAAGGTTTTGGAGTCGTTGAGTTTCATAAAACTTATAAATTGATCAATGTTTGACCACCATTAGTAACCTGACAGCATTGGACTGTCGTTTCATCCCTTCGTGGGATTCATCAGTCGTGAATGTCTACGACCCAAACCGTAGCAGTCGAGCTTGCTTAACGTGGTGACCCAGTCAAGCTATGTATTCCTGTAGGTCCTACAATGCCCGGCAGATCGATAAGAGGAAGATTTGACTAAAAGCAGCTGCTCAAGGTCTGAGGGCGATGTCGTACTGATGACTATAGAGGAATGTGACAACAGTAAAGTGTTTCCTTCGGACAACCAGCATCTACAGCGATGCTGCCTTCTCATTTGAATCCATATCATAAGAATTCCGTATGATGTTAACTATCTTCTCAGGCACCGTAGTGTCGAAGAAGCCTCCACAGTGTTTTCCTATCCACGCTATCGAATGCTTTCTCGTAGTCGATGAAGTTGATGTAGAGTGGTGAGTTCCATTCAATTGATTGTTCCACAATGATCCGTAATGTAGCAATTTGGTCAGTACACGATCTATCCTTACGAAATCCAGCCTGTTGATCTCGAAGTTGGGTGTCTACGAAGTCCCTCATTCTGTCCAACAATACCCTGTTGAGAACGTTGCCTGGTATTGAAAGAAGAGTGATTCCTCTGTAGTTCTCACACTTGCTGAGATCGCCTTTCTTTGGTATTTTGATCAGGTATACTTCTTTCCAGTCTGATGGTACTTGTTCTGTAGTGAAGGAGAACACAGGTGAAGACAACCGAATTGTATTTAACGAAAATTACACAGTTACTCAGTAAAATTGGAAAACCATATCGTAAACGGTTAATTTGCAAATCTTCAATCAATCATCAATCCATTGTCTGACATTTCACTATTCATGTGTTTCATACGAATTCCATTGTGTTCCCACTCTTCCTTTCTTGATCTTCCCTCATGTTCTGCTGCCAGACATAACGTTTACACTCGCGTCATATACTACTTATAAGTTGCGCACACCACAGAGTAGCTTTTATATGTACCTAAACTCATCATTTTAAATAAAACTGTAAAAATCTACTTTTATACTTAACTATAATAAAGCTGATTACTTTTACTTAAAATGTTTTAGATTATTAAATCATAATTTCACACTTGATTTTCATTGGATTCTTCCTATACAAATTCGTCATAAACCAGAATCGATTGTAGCTAAAGTTAGTGAAATAATTTTTAATTTTGATGAACATTTTTTCGTTGTTTGACCGAGTTAACATTTCTGTTTACAGTGATTTTAGATAAATTTATATTTACTACTGTCATGTTACAGTTACAAACATCACTGGTGTTAGGAAATGAGTACCAGGTAAATATGACAGATCAGTAGATGAAGTGTTAAAACTTCATTGGTTAAGATGGTTGTGACATGTGTTACGTATATCCCAACCACCGACTGCCTGGATGAGCGATAATATCTGATGTAGGAGTAGGTTGGAAGAAAGATAGGAGCGGCCAAACCAAAACATAGCAAAAATCCATGAAGTCACTGACAACTGGACTGAGATATGTTAGTAAGTGTAGACAATCTGATCAGGATCCTTGAGACGAATTTTATTTATCTCAATTTACAGAGTTACTAAGTAAAATAGGAAAACCATATTGTAAATCGTTCATTTGCAAAATATCAACTCATCATATCGAACTGGACTATTCCTGTTGCAAACATCAATCCATTGTCTGACATTTCACTGTTCATGTGTTTCATACAAATTCCATTGTGTTCCCGCTCTTCCTTTCTTGATCTTCCCCCATCTTCTCCTGCCAGAAATTACGTTTTCACTCGCGTCATATACTACTTATAAGTAGCTCGCACCACACTACTACTTCTGCTACTATTGTATTTGAATCCACAACTGCACCTCTTTGCTAATGTAGTATGCCAACTTGAACTGATGTATGTACCTATCAATTTCTATCTTGTATTTGACAAACAGACTGACTAGAGTTACAGTAAACTGATGATATTTATCAAGAATTTATTTTCAATTCAAACTGATCTTTAATACGACCGTTAGGAATCAATGAATATTTAAAACTGACGGATTTTTTTTACACTGATTTAAACTACTTATGAATGCTTTCCTGATCATAGGTGCCTTTGGGACTTGAGAATAAGCAATAGAGTATACGGTAAGGATGATAAATCGATTTTTGAAGATGTGAATCTTCATCAGCTAGGATGGTTAGAATACCTAACCAAACCGCCTACGTCGATGAACAATGATGTCTGGTGTAGAGGAGCTGATTGTGTTATCCGACTGAAAATAGAAATCATAATAATTTAGGGGAAATAAATTGTTAGAGAATCTTTAAAACTAGTGATCATTGGTCTTGTGTTCTTTTTCTGCGTTCAAGACAAGTTAATCACGGATCGAAACCGTCAAACATAGAGAAAGAAACAGTTATTGTGTTCTTGTAGTATGTATTAGTGACTCGAAAGTTCTGCCAGCATACTAGTCAGTGTAAGGATTAATGATTCGCCAGAACTAACGCAGAAAAACTGGAAACTCAAGTATTTCGAAAGCCATCCCACACAGACGTAATTCTCAACTACGATAGCAACAACCCTAGAACTCACTAAATCAACTGCATACAAACTTTGTTCAAGAGAGCGAAGACACAGTGCAGCACATACGAAGCTCCAAAAAACGAGAAAAAACACCCTGTGACTATCTTCCAAAAGAACGGCTATCCACGCAACTTCATCAAAAAAAGCATCAACCGAAATCATCAACAAAAGCGAAATCAAGCACAGGAAACAATAAACGGATCATCTTACCATACATAAAAGGCATATCGGAGCATACAGCACGACTACTGAAACCATTTGGAATAGGTGTGGCACACAAACCAACAGAAGCACTTCAATCAATCCTGTATTGTAGACCAAAGGACGAATTGACAAATGAAGAAAAACCACATGTCATCTCCAAAATAAATGACTGCTGAGATTGTGAAAAACACTACATAGGACAAACTGGACGGCCTCTTCAGCTTCGTTTATGTGAACATCAATTAGCAGTCAAACGTCACGACAACGCTTCACTTATATCAATACACACCGACAATTATGAACACACATTCGATTGGAACAATGTGGAAATACTGGGTAGGGGGAGGACAAAGAACACTAGGGAATTTTTAGAAGCTCAGCTGGCGCTCAGGTCAATCAGCAATCAACAAACACATCGACATTGACTCAATTTATCAATCAATCAGGAAAATCATAGGTGACATAGGATCAAGAAACAGATCAAAAGGAAGAATGCAATCAAAACAAAGGTGTAAACAACGACAGGTTTAAGGTCAACAGCAACCAATCAAGATCGAGGTTAACAGAACAAGCTACAGGTCAAACATGGAGAAATTCGAATACTTCACTTCGTCTATCTGAAGTTTTTGCTGATGATGTTGTTGTTCAGTAGAAGAACAATGAAAGCTCCACAGCCAAAACATCGAGCTCAGAGAACCAAACACCACCACCACAATGATTCGCGTTCGCACTCCAATTTGGATGAATATTTGTTTGTGCTATGAAGGAAGTTCTTTCCCTTTGAATATCATCTACAGATGTACACATGATTATCTGTCAAATAAGTAGTCCTAGTTTTTATGTATAATCTTGTACCGAAGTATTTTGTTTCTTGATTCAATCAACGTTCAGTCACATCACAAGATGGTGATGAGTTCTTAGTCGTCAATGTTTTTTCCTATAAACATTGAACTAAACAATAACCTTATTCTCTAGACTATGAATAGAAATTCTTCTTGTTCAAGAAGAAACTTAGCGTTTATAGAATTAACCAAAGCTGATGATACTATAAAAAGACCGCAGTTTATCATACACACTGATTTAGTAATTTTTTCTAGTGAGCGTATCTTTAGCGAGTTAGATTTCTACCGGATGGTGTAACTAACCCCATGCCCAATATCTCCCCTTTACCCAGGCTTGGGACTGGCAGTAGCCCCATACCACGAATGTAGATCCAGTGATTTAAGATAACTCATTAAATATGATGTTCAAAGATTTAAGGTTTAGTTGCGTGTAATGTAGTGTAGTGTGCATTTATTACTGAGTACTTTCAGATACAGACGATAGAAGGGTTCAATACTGACTGGATTTCACTGATTCTTTTGGTAACTCATTTGCCGTCGTGGTTCAGGGGGATCAACTACAGAACTAGTCCACGTCAAAGCGGGTTGATAGGTTACTTGATCCTAGTCTGAGCAGCTTCAACAAGGTGCAAGTAGTTGACACATTGTTGTATTTAATGTTATTTATCATAAATAGTCTTATTTGTAACCATGAATCGATCAATGTTAGACCACCATTAGAAACCTGGAAGCACTGGACGGCCGTTTCGTCCTGGTATGGGACTCGTCAGCAGTGCGTATCCCCGACTCCTGCTCCCCACAGGATTCGAAGCCAGGACCTTCGGTATTGTGCGCGAACGCCTAACTATCGGACCACTGAGCAGGTATCTAACGGTGTTAATGTCAAACTTGATCAAATTCATGGAGTTGCGCAACCTCATACCCTGAATACATTCGAACAGGTTTGAACTTCACTGGTCACGACTTCCTACTAGAACTCGGAGAAGATTCCTCACCAAACTAGTCACTAGTGAACACATGTAATTGCATTGCGGGGGTTGTTGTGAAGATTGTTAAGTTTTGTATTTGTAACCATGAATCGATCAATCGATCAATGATGAGTCCCATACCAGGACGAATCGACCGTCTTTCAGTGCTTGTTCCAGGTTTCTAATGGTGGTCTAACATTGATCGATTCATGGTTACAAATACAAAACTTAACAATCTTCACAACAACCCACCGCAATGCAATAAATAATCTCAGTCAGTGTTGTTTAGTTTCAGTAAAATTATATATATATTTCTTTTAAAATGTAACAAGATTTCACATCATATATATATATTTATTAACTGTTATATTTTTTACAAGTTATTTGAAAAACATGGTTGGACTTCACATCAAATAGCTGAATTTCATATTGCCTTGCCAAAATATACAGATATTGAAAGTCGTTCTGAAGCAGATCAACTCAATATGACATCACCATCATCTGAGCTAGATTTACAGCATATACGATTCACTGTAACAACTGGTTCATCGCTGAAACTTATTCATCCCAGTAAATCATCTAGCCAAAAACCCTCCAATGTATCATCATTGACAACATTTCCATCATCAGCTACGCTATCGTTTGTCGGTGCACAACCAAAAATCCTGTTAGAAGATTTAGATGGTTCAGGTGAGAAAATTATTTGTTTGTCAACAACTGGTACATTGTATGCAACTGCCAAATGGATATCATCGAATCCTTCGTTGATGAATACATTGGATATTGAAGCATGTAATAGATATTCAACTAGGTAAATTGATTTCACATATTTCGTTGATATGAAAAAAAACGCTTATTATCTTAAATGAAACTCTTCTGGTACAGAGAGAGAGGGACGGAGAACATGAAAGTTAAATAAATGCTTATGAGTTTACTTTAGTCAGAAGACGAGACCCAGGATCGAGGATCCAGCGACACTACTAGCTACTCTGATTCGAGTGACCTAACCCCACAAATTGAGTAAAAGAAGAAGACTTGATAGGAAGTAGAACATGTATTCTGCAAGCATTCAGAAAGTTCGAGGTCCGAGTGCAGAATAGAATCATGATCCTATACTAGGGTCAGGGTCCGGCTTTTAAAACGTTACAAATAATGCGTATTTATACAATTAGGTCGAGTAGGAAACAACTTTGAAGTCTGTGACATTGACAGTTAGGGCGATTAATAAGGAACAGTATTTGAAGTGACATTGAAAGTCAGGACGACCAATCGGGAATTAGTCAATAGGAATTGACCAATAGAATTAGACTTAGAAAAAAAATAATTCTCATTGGTTATTGGATGAACATCGTAACAGATACTGAGTAGTGTAGTGAACAAAATTTACGCTGTCCAGTATTCAACATACTTCACAGGATCAAGTAATTTGGTTTGTACATATTAGGCTGGTTCAAAGTAGGGATTAATATTGACATATTCTTAGGTTAGGGATCTGATGAAAATTTGTGAGAATGTCTATCACAACGATTTCGATGACCATTGTTTGTATCTGAGATCTTTTGCATGTATAATCTCTTTGAACTCAACATTTATTCAATAGCGTCATTCTAAGTGTTGTTGAAGCTCTCTCTCTCAATCAGTTACTTTTATTTTGAATGCTGACAGTGAATCTGAGAATCAGCTTTATGTAATAAGTACTTGTCTGATAACATCCAATTTTCTGTCCATTATATCCTTTGTGGAAATTCTTTTCATTCTCACGGATAAAAAAGCATGTATAAGGTTCCGCTTCCTGTTCAACAAAAGACACCACTTCATTAGTCTGCTTAACGGCTGTTCTAGGTGGTTGGTTTTTCTTTAGACGTGTTGATCTTTTTGGTAAATTATCTGGTTGATTTTTTGCAAACTACATCAAGACAATCAATTTCTGAACTTATTTATTGTGAATTTAGACTTCTGGGAGCGTATGTGTTGAACTTATTAATTGAGGTGGCTATTCGCATCACACTATAATGAAAATATCAGCTTAATATACCTTTTGAAAACTCTTTAACTTACGAAATATAAACTGAAACTGAATGTTCCGATTCCTATGGCTTCTGTTATATATGTGAGAAACAAAGTTGAACTCCATTTGGAAATCATGTAGGTATATGAAAGATCAGTAGAAATGACTTACTTTTTATGAACCTCATGACTGCTATTCATCAAGTGTGCTAAAATACAGCCGTGTATTGTTTTTATCTGGCCATTTAATTAGTTGACTATGTCATACCGTTCATCTGATAGAAATCAGTGCTACAATATTCAGATACCTTATGCCGTCAATTTAAAAAATAAACAAACTAGATGGAATATGGGTAGTAGTAGTAGTGTGGTGCGCGCTACTTATAAGTAGTATATGACGTGAGTGTCAACGTAATGTCTGGCAGCAGAAGATGGGGGAAGATCAAGAAAGGAAGAGTTAGAAGAACACAATGGAATTTGTATGAAACGCATGAATAGCGACAATGGATTGATGTTTTGCAACAGGAACAGTCCAGTTCCATAGGATGATGGACTGATATTTGCAAATGAACGATTTACGATATGGTTTTCCGATTTTACTGAGTAACTCTGTAATTTCCGTTAAATACAATTCGGTTGCCCCACCTGTGTTCTCGTTCACTACAGTAGTAGTAGTGTGAGTAGTAGTAGTAGTAGTAGTAGTAGTAGTAGTAGTAGTAGTAGTAGTAGTAGTAGTAGTAGTAGTAGTAGTATAATTTCAGCTGAGTGTTTCATCTTATTTCACACCTATTACGTGGATGTATCTGCCACATAGCAGAGTTTGTCTAATCTCCTGGACTGAAAAACACGCATCCTCAGCTTACCTGTTAATCATATTCTTTTGATTCTATGTAAACTTGTATCATCATGGCTATATTAAGAGACAATGCTTAGTATCAACAACGGAAGATAAACCAAACTATTTCGAATCGAATTAAAATTATTAAATGTTTTGAATGTGGTCTGCAGAAGACGACAAACCTTGATGACATTGATACGAATGCATGTCACCACGTCAGTTGATACGCTTGAAACTATTATGAGCTCACCTTAGTTTGTAAACGAGAGCGAGGATCGATGATCCAGTGACACGATAGGCTACTGTAATCTGAGCGTCCTAAACCCCTATCGAAGAAGAAGACTTAATATTGAAGTAGAACGTGTATTCTACAAACATCCAGCAAGTACGAGGTCTGAGTCCAGAAGAGGATAAAGAGCCAGGTCATAAAACATTACAGATAATGCCTATTTATACAGTTAGGTTGAATAGGAAACAACATTTGAAGTCTGTGACATTGACAGTTAAGACGTCTAATAGGAATTAACCAACATTATTAGGATATTTGATAAATATCCTAACAGACGTACCACCTAATAATCTTGGACAAGGTATGAATATAATGGTGTGGGCAACGGACATATTCTAGCCCTAGTCAAATGCATGTCAATCACACTCTACAGCAGTCCAACACATGAATACTTATTTATCGAAAAGTCTGTGTGATCTTCTTTCTTTTTAAAAAAACAACAATAGGTCTTTGTATTCACGACATTCAATGAAAAAACATGCGACCGACTGGCAATCATTGATTTATCCAACCACGTTGTATTTACAATCGAATCCTTTATTTCTCAATGATCCAATGAAAACTGACAATCGACAAGATGACTACTACAATACATCAATCCTTGATCCGAATAATACAATGGATGCGAAATTGTTAAATTTAATACAGGTAAGTGTGATATTGTGTGGTTTTAGTTAGGTTACAAAGGATAGACATGATTAATGTTGTAAGTGGAACTAGTTCTTACACAAGACATTTCAAAAACTTAAAAGCAAGCATGGTTAATAAGATTTTTTTGAGTGATTGGTTGTTTCTAACCATCAGTAACGACTGTAGGATCCAAAATGATGTTTGGAATTGGGAATAACTGTCCAGGTAGTTTAGATAACCAAAACCAAAATCAGGATTTTCAATAAAAATGTCAAGACAGTTCTAGTGCATGGAGCGGAAACTGTGAGAACTACCAAAGCCATCATTCAGAAGATACAAGCGTTTATTAACAGCTGTCTATGCAAAATACTTCGTATTCGTTGGCCAGACACCATCAGCAACAACGAACTGTTGGAGAGAATAAGTCAGATTCCAGTGGAGGATGAAATCAGGAAGAAGCGGTGGAAGTGGATAGGACACACACTACGAAAAGCACCCAACTGCGTCACGAGACAAGCTCTCACATGGAACCCTCAAGTCAAAAGGGGAAAGAGGAAGGCAAAGGAACACATTACGCCGAGAAATAGAGAAAGATATGAGAGGAATGAACAAACATTGTACAGAACTAAGAGAGAGAAGCCCAGGACAGAGTTGGTTGAAGAAAACTGGTGGGCGGCCTATGCTCGATTGGGGGTAACAGGCGTAAGTAAGTAAGTAGTTTAGATACGCGTCTTACCAAGTTTACATCCAAAACAAGTGATTTGGGTAAATGAGAGTGGTTCTAACATTCATTATAAATATAAATATATACATCATTACCTAAACAAATATTACCACTTAGTTATTCCACCAACAATTGTTCAATTAATCAAATCAACAGCAACAGATAACTGATATTCTATCCCTCCTGGATAGATCAGATTCGTTCAAAAGATAATATCTGGTTGCTTTATAACACAGAGTGCTTCTTATTCTGGAAGAGTGCTTCAATTCACAATCAAAATGCACAAAGCCAGTCCATACAAGCAATCCAATCAAAAGAGGAACAAATCAATATGGCTGTCGCCATGACTAAGTATCAGCTCAGTTTAGAAGGAAACACGGAAACTCAGTGAAGGCAAAAGTAATAAAAACTATGGTAATAAAATGCAAATATTATCATCTCAAAAATGGAATCGAACAGATTAACAAAATATACAACTGAAGGAATCAATAAGGACATATTACAAATGTTTACATGGAGGGATTTTCACAAACAAAACCTTTAAAAATGAATCTGACGTTCAACCTTGGTTCTGTAATACACATTGTAAACTGTCTCGTGGACACTATCAGTTTGCTTGTGTTTAAGAGATGTGTAGTTGCATAGAAGGAGTTTGGTTCATTGTTATGCACTTTTCACGAGTTTAGTATTTTCTTATGAATCAGTCAAATACTATATTGTTTTACAATCAATATTGAAATGAATCGTTTGTTGGGTGACAAATGGAATTTCGATGAATACCGATCTATTTGGATGTTTGATCTATGGGTTACATTTTTCCTCGAATACCCTGATCACTTGAGAGAGAGTGGGAAGGACACATTTTTTCCTCTTATTTAGCCGTTATCACGGAAGTCCTACTCACTGACTTCTCATACCACTGATTTTGTTTAACAAGAGGATTTAAGCGAATATTCTTTTGGAGTCTAAACAAGGATGGTGGGTACTGAGAATCCATGTAGTAGGGGAGATGGAAAACCTTCACTGTTAACCAGTTGTTCACATCAGCTCAGAGGTCTTGATGGAACGAATCGCGTATGAAGCCAATATTGGTGACTGGAGTTGTTCCACTACCTAGTAGATTGGTTCAAATGCTCATGAAATGGCGCCTTAAGTGAAGTACTAACTTTGGTTTAGCACTTAAACATCATCACAGCCTATTCATAAATTCAAAATAAATTGTGTAGCGTAAACATCTAGATGCCGCCATCAACGTAACTTCAGCTGAATGATGTACACACCACCGTACATCAGTAAGTCAAGATACGATTTAATCTTTGATTCTACAAGAGGAATTTATAAAAATAATGTTTATAAACCTAACCTGAATAAAGTATTTATTTGAGACACTGGAAGTCTCTCAGAAAAATCGATAATTTAGTCATGAATAATCTCCTGTGTATCACAAAGGATTACAAGACAAGGCTGATACAAAGCTTTTCTTATGTTTTATTCACATCGATCATGGTTGAAAAGTAACGTAATACTTACCAAGGATACAATAATAAAGTTGTATATGACGAATATGTAAAGGGTGGCCATAAAGACGTATTTAGCTAATCATCAAGGAACTTAGGTGAGCCAGTTGAAGGGTACAGGGGGACACAATGTGGCATGTTTCACTAACGGTGTACATTTAGCTATGTTTATTGCTACTTGGCACCTGTCATCCAGGTGAACCTGTAATTTTGAGGGAACTAATGTCCCCTAACATGTTCAGTTCGTGTCATCCAGCTTCACTCACAAAGACGTAACTACTGAGAAATTTGTGCCGTCGTTAACCTGCAACTTCATCCTCATCGATTCACTCAAGAATATAGGTGCACTGATTGGCATGAAACCTAGGCCTAATGTTTCCTGTCGACAATTTCCAGACAGTACACTCAGTGATAAGTTAGTTACCTGGACTAATGACTACACTGCATCTAGACAGATAGATTTCGATCAACGTTAGGAAGGAGCTGACACACATGATATCAGTCACTACCCAGTGATCAATCATTTGTTAGTTCAGCTGGACTAATCGATTTAAATTGATAGAGTTAATCTGAAATATTGATTATCGACTGAAATCTTTATATTGTGGCATTATTTCCCTACTAGTTACCGATTTTCACTTATATTCTAATTCCTTTTTCTCACAGACTGCAACCGGTACTCATCTCTTACCGAATACATTTCAAACAACGACATCGAATCCTAAAGTGTTATGTCATACCAGAGCAAGTGGTGTGAATTATTTTCATTTGAATTTCCTCACGGAATGTTTTGATTTTTGTACCGATGAAGATTTGGATAAATCTAAACGAATACGTTTAATACGTCTGAGACAAAATCGTGTACCAGGATTTGAAAATATTATTATACCAACATTTGTAAAATATATTCCTGATGAAATATTTGATGTAAGCTGATGGTTCAATAAATTTAAAGTGTTTTTATTTACTTATCTGCTTACTTACTTACTTACTTACTTACTTACTTACTTACTTACTTACTTACTTACTTACTTACTTACTTACTTACTTACTTACTTACTTACTTACTTACTTACTTACTTACTTACTTACTTACTTACTTACTTACTTACTTACTTACTTACTTACTTACTTACTTACTTACTTACTTACTTACTTACTTACTTACTTACTTACTTACTTACTTACTTACTTACTTACTTACTTACTTACTTACTTACTTACTTACTTACTTACTTACTTACTTACTTACTTACTTACTTACTTACTTACTTACTTACTTACTTACTTACTTACTTACTTACTTACTTACTTACTTACTTACTTACTTACTTACTTACTTACTTACTTACTTACTTACTTACTTACTTACTTACTTACTTACTTACTTACTTACTTACTTACTTACTTACTTACTTACTTACTTACTTACTTACTTACTTACTTACTTACTTACTTACTTACTTACTTACTTACTTACTTACTTACTTACTTACTTACTTACTTACTTACTTACTTACTTACTTACTTACTTACTTACTTACTTACTTACTTACTTACTTACTTACTTACTTACTTACTTACTTACTTACTTACTTACTTACTTACTTACTTACTTACTTACTTACTTACTTACTTACTTACTTACTTACTTACTTACTTACTTACTTACTTACTTACTTACTTACTTACTTACTTACTTACTTACTTACTTACTTACTTACTTACTTACTTACTTACTTACTTACTTACTTACTTACTTACTTACTTACTTACTTACTTACTTACTTACTTACTTACTTACTTACTTACTTACTTACTTACTTACTTACTTACTTACTTACTTACTTACTTACTTACTTACTTACTTACTTACTTACTTACTTACTTACTTACTTACTTACTTACTTACTTACTTACTTACTTACTTACTTACTTACTTACTTACTTACTTACTTACTTACTTACTTACTTACTTACTTACTTACTTACTTACTTACTTACTTACTTACTTACTTACTTACTTACTTACTTACTTACTTACTTACTTACTTACTTACTTACTTACTTACTTACTTACTTACTTACTTACTTACTTACTTACTTACTTACTTACTTACTTACTTACTTACTTACTTACTTACTTACTTACTTACTTACTTACTTACTTACTTACTTACTTACTTACTTACTTACTTACTTACTTACTTACTTACTTACTTACTTACTTACTTACTTACTTACTTACTTACTTACTTACTTACTTACTTACTTACTTACTTACTTACTTACTTACTTACTTACTTACTTACTTACTTACTTACTTACTTACTTACTTACTTACTTACTTACTTACTTACTTACTTACTTACTTACTTACTTACTTACTTACTTACTTACTTACTTACTTACTTACTTACTTACTTACTTACTTACTTACTTACTTACTTACTTACTTACTTACTTACTTACTTACTTACTTACTTACTTACTTACTTACTTACTTACTTACTTACTTACTTACTTACTTACTTACTTACTTACTTACTTACTTACTTACTTACTTACTTACTTACTTACTTACTTACTTACTTACTTACTTACTTACTTACTTACTTACTTACTTACTTACTTACTTACTTACTTACTTACTTACTTACTTACTTACTTACTTACTTACTTACTTACTTACTTACTTACTTACTTACTTATTTACTTACTTGCTTAAGCCTGTTTCACCTAATGGAGTACAGGTTGCCAACTAGAATGTAAGATTCATTTTGTGAAGGCTTTTCGTGTGAAAATCCCTCCAGGTATACTACATTTGTATTGTGTCCTTATAGATTCTTTCAGTTGTACATTTCGTTAGTCTGTTCAAATTCCATTTCGGAGATGATAATATTTGTATTTTATTATAGTTTCTATTTTTTGTGCGTTTACTGAGTTTCTGTGTTTCTTTCTGAACTGTATTTATGTTGTTTGAGCTGACGCTTAGTTATGGCGACCGCCATATTGATTTTGTTCCGCTGGCGGTTGATGCGCTTACACTGACTAAAAGTGTGCAATTTGGATTGGAAATTGGAGCACTCTCATAGAATCGGAAACACTCTGTGTTTTGTAAGAGGGATAGAATATCATTTATTTGAATAATTGGAGAAATACCGCTGTAGTATTGTTTAGAACTGTTACTTACCCAGATCACTTGTTTTGAATTTCAACTGGGCAAGACGTGTATCTAAACTACCTGGACAGTTATTCCTAAATCCAAATCTCAGTTTTGGATCTTACACAGAATTCTTCAACTTACTCTGCCTTACCCGACTGATATTTAGTCTTTTCATATCTACTCTTTGTGTTCTTTGGTGTTCCTCTTTTCTTTTGGTTTTGAGGATTGCAAATTAGGGTTTGTCTTGTGAAGCAATTTGGTGTTTTCTTCAATGTGTCCTAACCATCCTCATTAGTTTGTTCCTGATTTCTGTGTTTGTTGGAATCCTGTCAGCTGGATTCCTCAGTAAATTGTTTCTGATGGTATTTGGTCAAGAAGCTGGATGTACCAATCACCAGAAATGACACAGGGAGACTGGAGACACATCTAATTCTCAGCTACAGCGACGAAAACCGCAGAACTCACAAAATCAGCTCTTCACAAGAGCAAAGACACACTAAAACACGCTTGAAGCACAAAAACCGAATGAAAATATCGAATAACTAACTATCTTTCAAAAGAACTTCTGTCCACATAACTTCAGTAAAACCATGAACGGAGGCTAAATCAAGTACAGGAACCAATGAGCAGATCATCCTACCATACATAAAAATCATACCGGAAATTACGGCACGATTACTGAAACCGTTTGTAATAAGTTTAGCACACAAACCACCAGAATCACTTCAATCAATCCTATGTTGTAGACCAAAGGACAAAATGACAAAGGAAGAAAAACCAAATATCATTTACAAAATAAACAACTGTTCAGACTGTGAAAAACACTACATAGGCCAAAGTGAACATCCTCGTCAGCTATGCCTGCGTCATTATCAATTAACGATACACGTGTACAATTATGGACATATATTCCTTTGAAACTATGTTTAAATACTGGTTAGGGAGAATACAAGTCAATCACTATATAAAATATAATAGAGTTTTACTTTTAGGAAGTTTAAATACACGCTTTGCCCAGTTAAAATCGGAAAAAAGAAAGCAATTTACCTGAAAAAATAACGGTTCCATCATTAATCATAAAAACAAGTACAATTTATTGCCTAAACAATATTACAACTTATTCCTTCTGTAAAATAACACAAAGTGTTTCCCATTCTGGAAGGGGCTACAAATATTGACGCAAAACGGTACCCTTCCAGTTCAGATAAGCGTATCCAGAGCCAGAGAATTAAAATTCAATATGGCTGTCGCCATAATTCAGTATCAACTTAAACAACATACAAATATTAACATCGCAAAATGAGATTAAACGGACCACTAAATGTAGAACTGAAAGAGTCAATAAGAACATATTACAAATGAATTAATGAAGGGATTTTCCCAAAACAAAGCCTTCCAAAAAGGATTCTTCTACAAACCAGTCAACAAACATATCGACATTGATCAAATTTATCAACTGGTCCCGAACATGACAGACAAACATGGAGTCAAGAAGGAGATAAAAGTGGGATACAATCAAAATGAAGGTGTAGACAGCGATACGTTTAATTTTCGTAACAACCATTCGAGATAAGGGATCAACCGATCAAGCTACAAGTTATACGTGGAGAAATTCGAAAACTTCACTTCTATTCAGAGTTTGTGTTGATGATACTGTTCAGAAGAACAATTAAAAAGCTCCCCAGTCAAAACATTCTCATTTCAGATAATAAAAGGCCATCAGTTATATTGTCAAGATGATTTTGTGAGAAAACCCATGACCTGTTATCTTCAATTTGATTGGTTCATTCAAAAATTATTGTTGTTCCCTTTGTACCCGTCTGTTAATTCAAGGCATTTTGTTTCATTGTCTTTTCTAATAGTCATTAAATGAGAAGAAAGACTTCGATGATGAACAGAGTATTCTATTTAAAGGCATGAAAGCTTTCAAAGAAAAGCGTAAAATCTATATTGAGAAGGTGAGTTACTAATATTATTGCAATTACTATTACTACTACTACTACTACTACTCACACTACTACTACTGTAGTAAACGAGAACACAGGTGGGGCAACCGGATTGCAGTTATCGACAATTACACAGTTACTCAGTAAAATTGGAAAACCATATCGTAAATCAGTAATTTGCAAAATATCAGTTCATCATCATATCGAACTGGACTGTTCCTGTTGCAAAACATCAATCCATTGTTATTATTCATGCGTTTCATACAAATTCCATTGTGTTATAACTCTTCCTTTCTTGATCTTCCCGCATCTTCTGCTGCCAGACATTACGTTGACACTCACGTCATATACTACTTATAAGTAGCTCATACCACACTACTACTACTACCACTAAGGTCAATAATAATATTCACCAAGTATAAATATATGCAAACTTCGTGACTGCATTTTTATTTGAATAAAGAAATAAGGATTATGGTTATCAGTGATGTTAGTTGCGGCTTCATTTGAGAATAATTTCATAAATAGACTAATCATGCATATTCATAGTAGTTTACAAATGATTATTTGTTTTACGTAAATATCGTCCATCATAGTTTCGATACTACTGTGCAAAGCTATTTCGTCATTATAAGAGATTCCTCAGTGGTTAACAAATATAATGCCTAATTGAATAAAAACACGAAATATTCGGGTCTTATGACCAAGATATAACCACTGGACTAATGTCGATGTAGTGTAATTCTAGCTCCATGTATTTTCACATTATGTAGTCGCACACACATGATAAACAGCTTCTCAGTGTTTCTTGCTTTTCAACAATGTCACCAGCTGAGATCGTTGAAATTCGCTAAAAACGATGGTTTGATAGATAAATGAGAGAAAATTTGTGTACCATATATAAATACTTTTGTTATGTCAGCAATCAGTGAATACTACCACTAGTATGACTGGTTGTTATAGCTGTAACGTAATCGCTTTCGCGTACTTATTCAATAGCGATCGAAGATTGCTCGATTACTCGATTTCAAAATGTAATACTTGTGTTGTCATAGAACATGATTGAATATTGAGAAAATTGAACACTTGAAGAATTATTTTTTGAATTATTTATATTGTCTAATTATTGGATGACTGGATTGTTTGTTACATTTCTATTATAGTTCTTAAGGTTACACTTTTAATGGACACTTATTCATTGGCACTATACATTAATTAGCCTGCATTATTGTTTTAATCAGTTTTTGGAATGTTCGTTTCGTTCGCTACCTCTATTTGATACGACTATTACTGAAAGCATGATTTCTTATTTGATATTTTGTGTGGTTTACGCATTTCAAGTATATTAGGCTACGTGTGTCTTAAGTCCTTCTTCCCTCACTCGTCTTCTAATCGGCCAGCAGATAATAAAGAGATCAAGGACGAATAAAGGTTAAGGCCTCGATTGTTGCTCGTTGACTAGTGTACATAACTGAAAATCACTGTTTCTACCAGCTATATAACTGACTGGATTAATAATTGGAATCGTGAGTGAGCCCAGAAGCACATGATATTGATTTGTGATCTCAAGCGAAATAAATCAAAGCGTCTCAAGGCTCATTAAACTAATAGTAACCACTGGAGTTTAACTCCATTGGGTTACGTTGCGTAGAAACCTAAGAGTGATCAAAAGTATGACATTAACACCGTCAGTTATCGACTCCGTTATCTAGATTTTAGGCGACTGCATGGTGGACGGAAGGTCCGCGGCTGGATTCTCGCGAGCAGAGGTTGTGGATGCGCATATTAATCCAAGGTCAGCTGGACGAATCAGAATGTCTCATAAAACTTAAGTGAAGACGAAGCGTTATACGTAGAGTAAAACATACTATAGTCAGAATTTCGGTAAAGATCATCATCTCAACAAATAACACCGACAATCGTCATGTTTTAGAATGGACACCATATATACTATTCGGTCAAATCGACGACCTTGTTTTAGTTCACTGGTAATTGTAACGCTACATTTAAACTTACGTTTAATTCATGTTTGTATTTAAACAACTTCTCAATTGACATCATTTTGCTTTATCAATCACAGATTAAATCAGAAGTGAATCAACATTTTCAAGATGCATTAAATAAAAAATCCCTACGTGAAATTGTAATTGAAGAAGAAATACCGAATATTTTGTAAGTTTTTTTTCTTTTTGTTTTAATGAATTTCAACATTCAATAATGATAAGGTGATTAAAAAAACAAATATGTTCTTTCTATACAAATTGAAATCATGAATGAATTAGTGTATGACCATTATTAGAAACAACGAAGCTATGGACAGCCATTTCGTCTTGGTATAGGACTCATCCATAGAGCGCATCCACGACTCCTGGACTTTGTGTTCCCTTTAAGCAGAAACCAGTCAATCTACACTATTGTTGAATCATATACCTTGATATATCCTATAGTCTGCAGTCAGTAGTAATAATGAGCTAGCTGACCGTCATTTGAAAATTTTATACCTTCTGCTGATGACTCGCATGTCAGTACGAAACGGCCGTACATTGCTCCCAGGTTTCTAATGGTGGTCGAATATTGATCGATTCGTGACTTCAAATGTTGTAACTTAACAATCTTCACAAACCCTAACGGCAGTGATAATTCCCCAAATATTTGGTTGCTACTAACTATTTAATAGTAGTATAATGCTAATCCGTAAAATCTTTCTCTGATTTTTTCAATGTAGATTCCTATTGCCATTTTTCAAACGATTATTCCAACCGAAACGTCCGCTAAGACCTAGATATGAAGAACGTCGACGTATTGGTCCACAATATGTTCAAGATTCTGGTCTTGAATTAATTGTTACTATACAAGGTGCTTATAATTTACCAAATCGATCTGCAAGACGATTGGATCAGTCAAATTATCATAATAAAACTGAGAATATTAATGAAGTAAGAAACAACTAGTTGAGTGCTTCTATTAACTTTATAAGCATCCACTCATTATGGAAATTGATAATGATATGATTAGATTGTTTTTCCAACAGTATCGTTGCTCCAAAATGTTCACGTACGATCTGATATATCTAAAGCTTATCAAAGAATCATTCTCGGCTCTTAGGTGCGGACATATTTTTCTGTAATAGTTACTACATCTCCCAGTAATATATGATACAGTCTACATATTCTGTTATCTCTCTTTTATTTAGTAGTGACGCCGGGGATCTCGTTCTCTTAGGGGCGCCGAGGAACTCCTCAATAAATTTTACATAATCTAGAAGAACAACTGAAATCACTTCACTAGATCCCGATGAAATAGATACGTCTAGATAGAGAAAAGACTACATGTCATATTTTATTAAATATTTATTCATGTTATCACCATATCGAATGTGCTTCCAGAAGCTTCTAGGAGACTATAGCCTCGCCTTTAAACACATAAGTAACCTTGTTGTCAAGACCAAACTTAACCTTCAAGTAAATCTATTGTTGTTCAAATCTTTTCCCTAGTGTTCTGCACACGATTGTAGGAAAATACTGAGGGATTTAGATATTGACTAGGAGGGTGATTTAGTGTACACTTTTATGTCGATCCTGCACGGTTTGTTCCAGCTTTTGGTCAAAGTAATGCTTCTGGAATCAATATTGATGCGTACTTTGAACTTTGTAAATGTTTACTTACAAACTTGGTAGTTTTATCCGACTGTATGTGTGTCTGTGTGTCACATGCTTCATTCATTTTTGTCCGACTTTAAACAGGTAAACATACCTAATCGAAGAGAGTTCACTCATTCGATTTCTCCGCTTCGCTTAGCTTCAGTTTTCCACTTCGTATCTTCATATCTGTTCATAATATTACGACGATAGTACGGTAACCAAAAAAAATGAGACTAGTTCAAGTGATTGAGTTTATGTATACTACCACAGGATTCGATTCTCGAACGGTAGATCACGTGTAAAGCACTTCATCCGTGCACGAGTTTGTTTACTTTTGATTTGGTAAAACTCTTCGACTAATTTATTCAACAGAAAATATCAACTGAAATCATTGATCAATCACTGTTAGACCAGAATTAGAAACCTGGAAGCACTGAAAGATGGCCGTTTCGTCCTGGTATGGGACTTATCAGTGGCAGTGCGCATCCACGACTCCTGCACCTCACAGGATTCGAAACCGGGACCTTCGGTATTGTGCGTGAACGCCTAACCATCGGAACACTTGGCCGGCATCCAACGATGTTAATGTCTAACTCTGATTGATCTAGGGATTTTGCGCGACCTCACCCGTTTGTCTTTGGTAGTTACTGCCTACACCCAACAGGGTTAGACTCCATGAACTCAAAGTCATCTCAACTGGAACTCCGAGAATTTCTTCACGAAGCTAGTCACTAGTGAGCATTGTTACGATATTTTGGGGCGGAGTTTTGGTTGAGTGATGATTTCATAAGTGTAAAAACACAAACCCCCAAAACTCTGCACCAAAATATCAGCTGAACAGTATCTGTATACTATTACTATTATCATGTTATATGTGAGCATAAATGCTTTCGTCATTTGTTACAGCCAACGTACAAATTTCTCCGAGCAAGTAAAATGTTAGTCGCTAAAATATCTCGATGACATATCTGAGACCGTAATCGTTCGCTCGAGAACATTCGAACCATTCAACGTTATTTAATAACGATTATCAGACTGAGTAATATACGACGTTTACGAATTGTGATAAATATGAGCTGTTACACATTATTTCAGAGAACCAGAACAAAGAACGCTAGACAATACTTTTATCTTCAAAATTTGGGTTATAGCTTCAAATCCTTATAGTTTCTGCTATTTGTAAGAGACGGGGTACAAAGCCGTTCTCAAATGACAACAGTATAGGATAGATTATTCGAAATGATTCTGTTCTATATACACTATGACCTTCAGATATCAGATATGCCAATATAGTACTATGTGTTGTTGTTGTCAAGTTGTTTCCATCCGATCCTGTGAGATTTTCATTAGTTACCTTGTCTGGTAGTGTACACACAATGAAGCTGTGTAATTTAATAAGCAATTTTTCTCTGATGCATATCAATATTGTTTTGGCATCTTTTATTTACTCGTCATCTTCCTGCCTACTTCCGTTTGCATGTTTCACTGTTTACTTATTTACACATACCTCTTATTACGTAATTTCAGCAACATTTTGTGATCATCATTCTAACATATAACTATTAAGAGGAACATTTTGTTCGTTCAATGCTATTTCATGTATATTACAGAGTATAAAGCCTGATGACGACCTAATTGATCGGTTGTTATATCTGGTTTGCTTTGATAATGTTTTGGTGTTTCGTTCTCTAAGGTGAGGATGTTTCGGTTGTGAAGCTTTCATTGTTCTTCTGCTGAACAACAACATCATCAGCACAAACTTCAGAGACAAGAAGTTGAAGCATTCGACTTTCTGCACGTTTGACCTGTAGCTTGTTCTGCTAACCTCGATATTGATTGGTTACTGTTGACCTCAAACCTATCGTTGTTTGCACCTTTGTTTTGATTATATCCCACTTTTTGATCTGTTTTTTGATCCTATGTCACCTATGATTTTTCTGATTGGTTGATAAATTAGGTCAATGTCGATGTGCTTGTTGATTAGTGATTGACCCGAGTGCCAGCCGAGCTTCTAAAAATTCTCTAGTTTTATTTGTGCTCACCCTATCCAGTATTTCCACATTGTTCCAATCGAATGTGTGTCCATAATTGTCGGTGTGTATTATTGATTTAAACGACTAACTGTCGTGGCATTTGACTGCTGACTGGTGTTCACGTAAACTAAACTGAAGAGACCGTCCACTTTGCTCCGAACTTAGCGTGCAACGGAGGGTGATCGATCGCTGTTTTTTCTAATATAATCGCATAGTGAGTTATTGTATAAAATCAAGTGAACAGACAATTTTATTTTAGAGTTTTTGAAACTAATTTCAAGTATAACAAATGAAAGAAACTCTATTTGTTTTCTCTATTTATATTAATTAATTAGCCTTTAAAACCATTCGCTGTGATACGATTTCAACAGAATGAACGATCAACTATTCCATCAGAAGGTAGAAATCCTTGCTGGAATACAGAATTTCGATTTCCATTTTTGTAAGTTTCAACCTGTTAGTGTTATTTGTATTATGAGAGTTAGTGGTCAACAAAAAAACGATGCTTCATGTTGGATTCCAGCTGAAGTCACTTATTTTCTTAGCCTGATGGCGTTGACAATGATGTGCTTTTGAGGTATTATTAGGAAGTGTGAAGTCGTAAGTAGTGAAATCCAAGAGAGATACAATCGAAATAAAGAGGTAGACAATAATAAGTTAAACGTCAATAACAACTAATCAAGATCGAGCTCATCAGGACAAGCTAAAAGTCATTCATAGCTACGTGCTTACGATGCTCTTCAGAAGAACAATGAAAGCTCCACAACCAAAACATTCACCTCAGAGAACGAAATTCCACCACAATCATCCACATGTACTGCGAATTTTTTCCACCATCTTAAAAGCCTTCATTTTTATGCATTTAGAGTCACATTCCTCGATTAATTAATCACTCATCTTACTTACATGTTATAAACTGAATTAAATTAGTGAGTTAGAGTTACAATTCTCATAGGATGATTATTCAATTACTAGTGGCGTCCAACACTATCGACTGTAGGTAGTTGCCGACCGAAGGTTATGGATAATGGTTGCGCAATATTGTGGATTGAATACGGTAAGACATTACACCGTTACACGGCGGCTCAGTGGTCTAAAAGTTGAGCTTTTGTATGTGAGATTGTAGGTCCCTATATTCGGTTCCTACACCCACCAACTGACATTAAGTATTACATTACGGGGTTGTGCAGATTGTTAAGTTACATATTTCAAATCATAAATCGATCAATGTTAGACCACTATTAGAAACCTGGAAGCACTGGATGGTCGTTTCGTCCTGATATGGGACTCGTAAGCAGTACGCATCCATGACTCCTAAACTTCAGTGGTCTAGAGGTTAGGCGTTTGGCGTCAAGGCCGAAGGTCCTGGGTTCGAATCCTGAGGGGTACGAGGTCGTGGGTGCGCACTGGTGGCAAGTCTCATACAAGGACGAAACAGCTGTCCAGTACTGCCGTGTTCCTAATGGTGGTCTAACATTGGTTGAGTATTATGTATAAAGCTTTAAGTTAGATAAGTGACTTAACAAATTAGTGTTATGTCTTTCATTACAAACTGATGGTGTTTGCGAATTATTTATGACTTGCATTTATTTTCGTTTACTTATGATAGTGAGATAAGGAAATAAAGTGTGAACATTGACAATGCACTGAATTGAACTCTCAAATTCTAACCTTCTGAATTCCTCATCACCTCTATCTTTCTCTTCCTAAAGTTATCTCACTGAATTATACTTCTGGAATCATATCTGAGATCCCTAATATTCTCCATTACCGCTAATACTTCTTCTACTAGCTCTACCATTGTGGGATTTGAACTGACACTTGCGTCTCTGAACTAATGTGGTATGGCAACCTGAACTAATGTACGTACGTACAAAGTTCTACGTTGTAACTAACTGACTGACTAACTGAGATCTGGTACTTTGACACAATTTGCTTCAAATCATAATGATTGTGTAGTTTTTTCTCAATTTAAGCATTCTAGAGATTAAATACTGTCAATTTCCACTATCTCGTGGTGTTTTTTGAGTTTTGCGCAAAACTTCATAAGGCGCTACCATGATTGGTCAACTCAAGGTCATTTTACTCTCACTTATAACTCAGTCAGTATACTTCAATTTAAAACTTAGTAATTGATAGAATTATCAAATCGTTCTCTCATTTTTACACATACACATATCACCCTAAACAGTTTATCATCGGAACATTCAAAGTTGGAAACGATGAATGATCCAATTATTATCAATGTCTATGATCAAGTGACTTTCAGTCAAACTGATTCAACTCAAAATGAACCTGCTTCACATATTATACAACGTATAGAACATCGTTTGATTGGTTCAATTGAAATACCTTTGTCAACGGTTTATTTAAATACTAAGGTAAATTTCATGCTGATTTATTTATATACGATTTCATATTTGTTTACATAAATTTCTTTTGTTAATTGGTGTGCCTTGGTCGACTATATCAAGTTGTAGTGAAAGTGACCTTTGAAATGCGCGGTCTTGACCTTCTGATTACTTTGCATTTTGATCATAAGTGTAAATATAAAAGTTTTCATGTACTGAACATCTTTATCAAAAAATAATACCATAATACCATCAAAATTATGATAGATAATATCCACAGAACTTTGAGTAAGAATTGAATTCGTTTCACAAATCAATGGTTTCAATGAAAAGTAAATCTGATCCTAACTGCCTGCGAGATATAAGCACAAAGGCTAAAAGGTGTACGTTTAATACAAATTAACCCTCATTTGACAATGGTCATCTTACATTGGTTTTCAGTAGAACCAAGGAGAACGCCCACTACAACGCGAACAGTTCGGCTTGATCCCGTGGCGCGTAACCACCACACAGATACCTAACACCCTGGTGGACCATTCACACCATTTACATACACTAGTACATATATATAGTGATTATTTCCGGTCTATGATCACGTCAGTCAACATACACAGCATGAACACAGGTCAATTCGACGCATCCCGCTTACATGACTGTCAAACTCATTATTATTAGCAATGGTGATATGCAGCACTACAGCACCCCAGTGACAATGGCCCTCGGGAATGTTGCAAAACAACCACCAGTAATCAATGAAATCGGTCTCCCTGCTAGTCATATTTGTAAATGGATTGTTAGCAATGCCAAGCCATTCACATTGTTCACAGCGAACCTCTAGTCTCATAGGAAACCTTCAGGTCTATATGTCAAAACTGTTCAGCCTTTATTCCATTCGTATGGTCTCACCCTTTGTATACATTTACGTATATAAAATACTTAAGCTTTGAGCTTTGTGATTGACGGTAATCAGTTTCGGTGTTTGAGAATGAGTGGGTGATCAGTCTCGTCTCCACTGACCACTTAAATTCTCCAACAGGTTTTACTCGGCTGCGCCTTAAGTTCAGTTGCATATCATATTTACAAATCATCAATAAGTCATCGTCATCACGTTAATAATAACTGCTTTACGTTTCTTTTAAATGAAAAAATCTATTTATAGATTAGCGGTAAAATCAATTTATCAATTCCGATAATATTACAAGGCTATGAGACTATCAATCCTGTCAAATCATCCATTCGACCAATGATTGATGTTTTAATGACATTGGAACCATTGATTTTCCCGCCATCTGCATTAATTGATACAGTAAGTGCTTAATTAAAACATACGGATTGAACATTGATCAGTGTAGTTAAAATAGTATTCAATACTCAATGTTTTAATCGATTGTGTTCGAATAGTTTAGTGATAACCTCTTTGAGTGTGTAAGTCCAAGTGATTTGGGTTTGAATCCCGTAAGAATTATTAGTTCTTGCAAGATATCTGTCGGACAAACGGAAATTAGCGTGAAATCTAAACAAGACAAATATTTCATTCAGTTCACATTTAATTCCAGAATATGATTTAAACCATGAATCAATCAGTGTTTGCTTATCACACGAAACCTGAAAGCAGTCGCACATGAGACCGAAGGTGTTGGGTTTGTTTTCTGCTTGCTAAAATTGTGAGTGCGCGCTGCTATTGAGTGGCATACTAAGAGGAGATGGCTATCCACGGCTGCCAAGTTTCTAATGGTGGTTTCTTATATTAATCTATCCATGATTTCAGTGAAACTCAACAATTTCTATAATCTTACAATCACAACTCTAAGATTATTTGTTAGCTAGCTGATTCGTTCATAATAAACTTTTATATTGTGGTAGTGGTGCTTGGTTCTTTGAGCTGGATGTTTTGGTTGTGGAGCTTTCATTGTTCTACTTCTGAACAACAACATCATCAGCACAAACGTCAGATAGAAGTGGACGGCCTCTTCAGCTTCGTTTACGTAAACACCAATTAGCAGTCAAACGCCACGACAACGCTTCGCTTATATCAATACACACCGACAATTATGGACATACAGTCGATTGGAACAATTTGGAAATACTGGATAGGGTGAGCACAAATAAAACCTAGATAATTTTCAGAAGCGTGGCACTCAGGTCAATCAGCAATCAACAAACATATTGACATTAACCCAATTTATCAATCAATCAGAAAAATGATAGGCAAACATAGGGTCAAGAAACAGATCAAAAAGTGGGATACAATCAAAACAAAGGTGCAAACAACGACAGGTTTAAGGTCAACAGCAACCAATCATTATCGAGGTTAGCAGAACACAAGCTACAGGTCGAGCGTGGAGAAATTCGAACACTTCACTTCTTCTATCTGAAGTTTGCGCTGATAATGTTGTTGTTCAGCAGAAGAACAATTAAAGCGCCACAACCGAAACATCCTCACCTCAGCGAACCAGACACCACCACCACAATCATCCACCTGAGCTACAAATCTTCTCCATCATCCCAAAACTTTTATATTATCTATGATTCATTATAAAAACCCTGGTTGACAAAAATGATTTTTAGGCAATTTAAGAAATTATTCAATGTTTAACAGTTGTTTTGTCTTGCTTTAGAACGACGTCATAAAATGTATTCATGGTCCTTTAAGTTCTTAAGACTAGTATCGTATTTCACAGTGTTGGATTTCGATAACGATATGCAGTCATTATATACGGAGAAGAACTTTTATGCGCTAACTAAAACGATAAACATTTATACCCTGTCCATTAGAAACGCAAGCTGTAAATAGTTCATTGTCTCATTCCTCAGAAGTGAGAACCCTCGCTGACAATTATCATTTGACCGATTTTTGTATGAAGCAACAAAGATCACGTGATATCTCAATGTCACAATTGTCACGTCTGCACGTCGTTAGCTATTGATTGTAGTGACGGCAAACACTTCTATTCATCAGAAATTCTTAGAGAGCTAGCTTTTTGAGTAAGTGTTAGAAGTATGTAGTATAATCAATGAATCAAATCTCAGATTACTGAAGTACATTGCCACACAGTCTCTTATAAAGTATGCTATCCAGTGATTCTTCAAGAGACTTCATTAGAACAGTTGGATTAGAAGTTGAACAAGTTGTAGAATAGGATTTCCATCTAAGCTTAAATCCTTAAGCTTTTAATCTTAAAGTATACAATTTCAACAATGATGTTGGTTAAAGATGGTCAGCACCAGTGGTGCTATTTAGCATTTAATAGTGAGGAGTACTTATTATATCGAAGAAACCGAAGCTTTCTAAAGCATTCGGCTTATGTCACGCAGTTTCACAGTTGACAACGTTACCACTAATCTATCTAGGCTGCAAATGACCTCCTGTAAGACCGAGATGCACTTGAAAATGATTGATTAATGATTAGTTTATGTGAACACTCTCTTAGTGCTCGCCGAATCAAAACAAGCACGACTCTAAGATGGTGGTCGTATGACAATGCTCAATATAACAGGTACATTTTCTGATCGATGACGTAACAGCATGAAACCTGAACTGTACAGAATTTCATGTCAACTATTTATAGGCATCACTCTCCACCCCAATATTGTATACACAGTTTTCGACCATTCCGACTAGTGACCACATGACAAGTTGGCTGATAAACTTCGTTTAGTCCTAAGAATTACTTAACATTCTTGACATTGGTCATTACCTAGCGATAATGTTTTTCATGTATGTACACGATCAAAAGTAATTATGCATTTTTACTCTGTGCACTACCATTTAGTTTATCTCAATTGAATCCACTGAAATACAAACAATTCTATCGAAATGGTATCACAAATTATCCAAGCATAAATTTATGCATGAAAGACAATTTAAACCGTTAGTTATGAATTCTGATTGTCAAGAATTATTGATGAATCGTTTTTTAACAGCACTTAATCCTCCAGAGGAATTCTTACCAGGAATAAAGAATAATTTGAGTATATCCGAATCGATGGTAAGTAAGCTGTAAGTGATTGTAATGATTTTCTGTTGTAATGTATTAGGATATTCATGCGATATCCTTAGCGAATTATTTCTATTGGTCTATTCCTATTCGTTAACTCTTAATGATCAATATTATGGTCGTCCTAATTGTCAATGTCACAGACTTCAATGTTGTTACCTATTCGACTTATAACCTGTATAAATACGCATTATCTGTAACGTTTTATGACCCGGACATGGACCCCCAGTCTGGGATCCTGATTCTCTTCTGGACTCGGACCTCGTACTTTCTGGATGCTTGTGGAATAAAGGTTCTACTTCATATCAAGTCTTCGTCTTTTATTCAATGGGGGTTGGGACACTCGGATTAGAGTAGCCTGGCATGTCGTCGGACCCTCGATCCTCTCTCTCGTTTTTCGACTAAGGTGAACTCATCAGCAGTGCGCATCCACGACTCCTGCGCCTCGCAGGATTCGAACCCGGGACCTTCGGTATTGTGCGCGAACGCCTAACCATTGGACCACTGGGCCAACATCCGACGGTGTTAATGTCTAACTCTGATTGATCTAGGGATTTGTCTTTGGTAGTTACTGTTTACACCTGATAGGGTTGAACGCAATCGGTCACGTCTTCTCAACTGGAACTCCGAGAATTTCCTTACGAAGCTAGTCACTAGTGAGCACTGTTATTTTATTGATAACTTTTGAAGAAATAAATGATATTTAAAGCAATTATTTCCTTTTTAACAATGTGAAAAGGCGTAATTGATCTGAAAATAGGTGTTGTATTTGCGCGTGATCCATGCTTCGAACAACCTGCTCACACACATATGTACACTTGTCAAGGCAGTTAATATAAAATTACTACTAAGGTCAATGAAATAAAAAGTGAGATAAACACGGTGAAAAGAGAACACACAGAATGGATGCATCTGTGCCACTGCAAAACGGTTTTGAACCGTAACATTCAAAGTCTCTAATCAATAGTTACTACTGTCTCAAGCCACCATAACCAGCTAGTCTACATCTACTAACATAACTCAGTATAGTTGTCAGTGACATCATAGTTTTCTGCCATGTTTTGGATCGATGTTGTAGGTTTTGTTGATAATAATTGATTGGCATTGAACTCTGAATTATGTTGATCCACATTGTTCAATGGTTTAGATTGAAATTCTAACAAAAAATATAAAATATACATACTTTGAAAATGAATTTAGGTAGAACAATGGTGAGAAGATGTAACTGATCTGATAAGAAATGTTTTGATGTATTTGCGCGCTATATACATGTTTTTGGAATAATCTGATCATGCACACACATATGTGTACACTTGTCAAGGCATTTTAATATGAAAATTAATAATAAAGGTGATAATTGTAAATGAAGGAGAGAGAGAGAGAGACCATTAACGTAACATTAGAAAATATAAGAAAGGGTAGGAAAATTGTCACATGACCCTTTTGGCTTAAAGATTACGAGAGTATAAAATTCAAGGTTTATGACAAATTGTTTCTGTACATATAAGAGGGGAGGGTTTAAGTTACGAATAGCCGACAAGGCTTCTATTAACCTCAAAATGCATCCTTCAACCTATATATACAATGTTTTGCAGGCTGTCTTTGATTTAACCTTGAATTTATACTCTGGTAATCGTTAAGCCTAGGGTAATGTGACAATTTTCCTACCCTTTCTAATGTTTTCTAATATTACGTTAATTTTCTATCTTTCCTTTATTTACAATTATCACCTTATGTCTATTTGAACCTTTTATTTAATTGACCTTTTATTAATCTTAAGTGTGCATGTGTGACCAGATTGTTCGAAATGTTTGAGGCGCAAATTCAACACATTTCTCATCAGCTCAATTACGTCTCCTCAAATCAAATGTTATACAGTGATATTTTAAAAATATACCCATGCCACTGTAAATAAAGAATGACAAAACAGTATTACTTTTAAAAGACGACGCAGATTTCACAAATAACTGGGCTATTATACTCCTACACGTAACAACAAATCCAGGTGAAGACAATCAGTATAGCAACGGCCTTCTCATAACTTGTTCTCAATATTCACAAGGCATAAAGTAACATTCTTCGAAACAACACACCGAGCACCACACAAATCACAATAGATGAAGTAAAAAGTAGTACTCTACAGTGATGCATATTTATGAGACTCAGACTCAAAGTTGAATATCAATTACTCAAATTTCAGATCAATGAATCTGCATCCAGTGGCGTACACTACACCACATCAAAGTACAAAGATGAAAGTCTCAAGACTAATTGTCAGAAAAATGGGAGCATTAACAGTATCATTGGTTGAAAAAAAATGTTAGACATAAACGATTTCAGGAAAAAAGTGTATAAGATATTTTGAAATCGCAACAGTAACGGGAAGATATTGAGATGGTGGAGAAAACTTGTAGCTCAGGTGGATGATTGTGGTGGTGGTGTTTGGTTCTCTGAGCTGGATGTTTTGGTTGTGAAGCTTTCATTGTTCCCCTGCTGAACAACAACATCATCAGCACAAACTTCAGATAGAAGAAGTGAAGTGTTCGAATTTCTCCACGTTTGACCTGTAGCTTGTGTTCTGTTAACCTCGATAATGACTGGTTGCTGTTGACTTTAAACCTGTCGTTGTTTGCACCTTTGTTTTGATTGTATCCCACTTTTCGATCTGTTTCTTGATCCCATCTCACCTATGATTTTCCTGTTTGGTTGATAAATTGGGTCAATGTCGATGTGTTTGTTGATTGCTGATTGACCTGAGTGCCAGCAGAGCTTCTAAAAATTCTCTAGTGTTCTTTGTCCTCCCCCTACCCAATATTTCCACATTGTTCCAATCGACTGTGTGTTCATAATTGTCGTATGTATTGATATAAACGAAGAGTTGTTGCGTCGTTTGACTGCTAATTGATGTTCAGGTAAACGAAGCTGAAGAGGTCGTCCACTTTGTCCTATGTAGTGCTTTTCACTATCTGTGCAGTTGTTTATTTTGTAGATGATATTTGGTTTTTCTTCCTTTGTCATTTTGTCCTTTTGTCTACAATACAGGATTGACTGAAGTGATTCTGTTGGTTTGTGTGCCAAATCTATTCCGATAGCTCAAACGTGGAGAAATTCGAATGCTTCACTTCTTCTATCTGAAGTTTGTGCTGATGATGTTGTTCAGCAGAAAGACGATGGGTGATTACAGTTACACATTTCTGAAACCATGAATCGATCAATGTCAGACCACCATTAGAAACATGGAAGCACTGGACGGCCGTTTCGTCCTGGCATCGGAATCATCAGCAGTGCACATCCACGACTCCGGCGCCTCGCAGGATTCGAACCCAGGACCTACGGTATTGTGCACGAACGCCTAACCATCGGACCACTGAACCGGTATCCAAAGGTGTTACTGTTTAACTTCGACCAATTTATGGATTTGCGCAACCTCATACACAATCTTCGGTAGTTGCTGTCTACACCCGAACAGGTTGAACTTCACTAGTCACTTCTTCCCACTAGGACTCGTAGAAGATTCCTCACGAAGCTAGTCACTAGTTAGCATAGGTAATTTGCGTTACGGGGTTGGTCTAACATTGATCGATTCATGGTTTCAAAAATGTTCAACTTAACAATCTTCAAAACCCCGTGATTACATAGACTTAGTCAATAACACTGTCGTATACTGACTCAATGATTTAGGGTTCAAGTGTTCGCGTGTGAGATCGAAGGTCTTGGGTTCGATCCGTGCGATGGAAGAGATCGTGATTGTGCACTGCTGATGAGTTACATACTAGGACAAAACGGTCATCCAATGCTTTCAAGTTTCTTATTAATGGTAGTCTAACAATGACTAAATCATTATTTCAACGGTACTTCACTCATACCAGTGATGGCTAGTAGATAGAAGCATTTTAGTAAATTTATCTTCTATTCTGTTATGCCTGCACGTGAACACGTCAACTTGATAAACTTGAAGTATTACGAGTTTATCTAGTCGGAAAATGAGAGCGAGGATTGAGGATCCAGCCCGCGACACGACATACTACTCAAAACCGATTATCCCAACCCCCATATTTAGTAAAAATATGAAGACTTGATATGAAGTAGAACTTGTATTCTACAAGCATCCAGATTGTACGAGGTTCGAATCCAGAAAAGAATCAAGATCCCGAACTAGGGGCCCGGGATCGAGCCCTGTTCCTGGTCGTGGTCATAAAACGTTTCAGATAATGCGTATTTATACATTTTGGTCGAATAGGAAACAGCATCGAAGTCTGTGACATTGAGACTTAAGATGAGAATAGGAAGCAACATATGAAGTGACATTGCTATTCAGGACAACCAATAAGGAACAACATTGGGGTACGTGACATTGATATCTAGGACGATCATAAAATTGACCAGTTAGAATTAACCAATAGGAATTGACCAATAATTCTTTTAGGATATTGGATGAATATCCTAACATTTACTAATCATTATTGCTTAATTAAAACAAACTAATTTGAAAAAATAATCCAATTCCATTTGTTCATTGAATGATTTTTTTCAGCTACGTTTAGCTCGTTACGTGTCTCTAATTCCATATGAATCAGATGTGGCATCATTTCCTGGATTGACACAAGTTTGGTGTACATGTGATGTAAGCTGCAATGAATTTTTTGTAAAATTATTTAATCGATTAATGAGAGATGATACCTAGCGATAGAATGTCTCTTTTTCTGCTTGAATCTTTTGAATACGCACTGCTAATGAGTCCCATATCAGGATGAAACGACAATCCAGTGTTTCCAGGTTTCTAATGGTGATTGGTCAGTATTCGTGCATGATTTCAAGTTAAGACTGCTATCTACAGAGTACTTTAATGCAAAATCTTCTGTATAAGTCGAATTAATTAACTTAACAATTCGCTAATCGGATGATTTTTAAGAAGCGACATAAAAGTATTTTCTAGTCATCATCATATAAAACTGTGTAGAGGTCATGAAGAATTCTGAAGATTAGAATTTCAAAGTACACAAATAATGGACGGATCTGCGTTGAAAACGATTTTGAGACATGTCATTCAAGGTCTCTAACCATTGGTGACTTTCGTCTTGCAGACCCCAACCAGGTAGTCGACACCTGTCGACATGACTCAGTCCACTTGTCAGTGATTTCATAGATTTCTGCCCCTAGCGTTCGTCCATCCTATTCCTACACCACAAAACATAGCTCGGCGGGGCAGTCAGTGGTTAGACATACGCAGCACATGTCCGCACCACCTCAACTGATGAAGGTTCTTTACGTCATCGATTGATCTGTCATCCTTACTTAGCACTCATTTCCTAACAACAGCATTGCTTACTCGGTCGTCCCATGATACACGAGCAATGCTTTGCAGACACCTATGATCGATTGTGGGGTCGTCATATTGTGCCAGATTCTCAATTCATGACTAAAAATTAAGAAGCAAAGTATACGGAGAATAATGATAAGCAATTTTATTCGACATTTCTCTCTTCTTCTGTTCTTCTCATATCAACATCTAAGTAACGCTCAGCTGCACACACTACTTACACATTCCCTTATCAGTAGCATCCACCGCATCATTCCTAGTTTCGTTTTTGTAGAAAGATGTTCAACTTTTATTTCAATGATAAAGCAACATATTTCTAAGTTCATCTCTTGTTTAAACATTTGAAATCATGAACTGATCTGTGATAAGCCACTAGTGAAAACATGAAACCAATGGACAGTCGTTTGGTCCAAATATATAGGGGATTCATGAATATTTCGAATTCACTACCTTCAATCTAACACACGCAATTATTAGTGTTAATGCATAGCTTACGCGACCGTTATCCATTATTTCCGATGGGTTTCTGCCTGACATCCGACACGGTTGTACTTCAGTTGGTCATTTCTTCTCGCTTGAACTCTGAGATTTTACGTAAGAAACCAATCACTAATGAGTATATATATATATATTCATTGTCAGTATAGAACATCAGTGATAAGTTCCATGCTAGGAGCAAATGGCCCTCCCCAGTACCGACGTCTTCAACCCTAATTTAACACTGATCTGTTTATAACTTCGATTATCAATCGTCTATTTTTTCGATCATAATTTGTTTCAAAATCTTTATTTCTTTTTTAGCAATTTTTAAGTATGTTATGTGGTGATGAAGAAGAACATGCAGTATTATTAGCTTGTTATTTTATGTACATCATGAAATATGCTAGTAGTAGTGGTACAGTGGAGAATCATAATGAAGAGACTACAACAACAATGAATGATGCTAATAATAAGCAGACATACGATCAGTCATCAATCAATTCAATCTATTTATGTATTGGTGAAGCGATTCCTGAAGGTAGGTAGAATTTATCATTCTGTTTTATAAGTATGGATTATATATATATATATTATGGGGTTGTGAAGATTGCTGACTTACTATTACGCCTGCATGTAAACACGTCAACTTGATATACTTGAACTATTATGAGTTTACCTAGTCGGAAAACGAGAGCGAGGATCGAGGATTCGGCAACACGACATACTACTCAAGTCTGATTATCCCAGCCCTCATTTTGGGTAAAAATAAGAAGATATGATATGAAGTAGAACTTGTATTTTACAAGCATCCAGATTGTACGAGGTCCGAATCCAGAAGAGAATCAGGATACCGGACTAAGGATCCGAGACCCGGTCCTGATCCTGGTCGTGGTCATAAAACGTTACAGATAATGCATATTTATACATTTTGGTCGAATAGGAAACAGCATCGAAGTCTATGACATTGACAGTTAAGATGACCAATAGGAAGTAACATTTGAAATGACATTGACAGTCCGAATGACCAGTAAGAAACAACATTGAAGTATTTGACTTTGACATTTAAAACGACCATAATTATGACCAATAGAAATCGAACAATAGGAATTGATTAATAATTCTCTTAGGATATTGAATGAATTACACATTTGAAATCATGAATCGATCAATCATAGATTATTATTAGAAACTTGGAAGCACCGAAAGACGTCCGTTTCAACTAGCACCGTGTGGAACCTTCTTCGAGTTCTAGTGAGAAGTCTTGACCATTGGAGTTCAACTTGTTCGGATGTAGACAGTAACTACTGAAGACAGTGTATGAGGTTGCTCATCTCCTTGGAGTGATCGAAGTTAAGCAGTAACAGCGTTAGATACCGGCTCAGTAGTCTAGAGGTTAGGCTTTCACGTGCAAAACTGAAGTTCCTGGGCTCGAATCCCGCGGGATACAGCAGTCATGGTTGCGCACTGCTGATGAGTACCATACCAGGATGAAACGGTCCTTCATTGCTTCCAGGTATCTAATTCTGGTCTAACATTGAATGGTGACATTTAATCCCGTCGAGTGTTGGCACTGTTTACCGAAGACACGGTTGGACAGGGCAGAGACGATATTCCGACTAGCAAGGTTAACGGGAAGTAAGAAGTCGAAGTGAAGGCCAAATAGGGAACAACGTTAGTAGCTTTATAGTTTTCTCACATGAGGAGCTTGTAGAATCTACTCCAAGTATCGACTGGCGCTGATTGGATAGGAATTAGCTAATCAGCATGCAGCTAACGTAATCCTGCTTGAATGTGTACACGCATAGATAGACTTGTAAGGTAACATAAGGCGAAACTTTATACAAAAACGACTAGCCTTATGAGTTATGATAAATATTCGTATAAACTTGCAAAAATCACGTCTCTGAAATGTGAAATAATTTTATAAAAGTGCTTACCTGGAGTGATCTGTGTTCTTTCTCAATCTGAAATTGTTGATAATTTTTATCTGATCTCGATTTCAATCATCTTACTTGATCTTTACAGACAAGAAAGAATAAGTACACTAGCCAGTTTGGTTTATTCACGCTTTGAAGGCAACCTAAATCTTAATTTTGACTACGAAATATCAGAGAAGATCAGCTGACCAGTGGCTGTTTTATGGCCTACATAGACCATAGACAATCAATAAGTTTATGTGCGTCATTCTAGGTTCATATCAATTTAGATAGACAACCTGAAAGTAATATACGACGATTCTTTACAGTGGTAAACATTGGTTGGCCAGGGACTTCAGGTTGAATATCATGCATTGAACTTTCAGATCACTGAATCAACAACCAACGGTGTGTTGAATTAACACTTGACTCTACCGAATTTCATTGGTCATGATGCCTCAATAAAACTTAAAGAATCATCACTTGTATGAATAGGATACCTGTTAATTATGGGTTCATGAGTAAACAATTTATTTTACCGCTCAAATTTTTTAAATGTAATCTAAATTTGTACATTGTACTCGTGTTTTTTTCCGAATATTCCTAGGTCGTACTGTTTATGTATTGACTGAAGATTATATATCAACTAAACAGACTAACAATCTTGTTGGTTGGCGTGTATGGAATCCTGTCACTGGTCAACATTATTCAGTTCATGATGTAAATAGTCCATTACGTTCTGTTTGGGGATTGGTTAATTTAGAGAATGTGAGTTTGGGTTCTTACTTACTTATTTACTTACTTTCCTACTTACACATGTTACTTCTTGTGAAGCTGTTGGGGATGTTAGATCCCCAGAAGTCATTTGATAAATGCCTTCACGTTTGCGAGCATGGGCTGATCAGTTGACCTTCAGATTTCAATTCCCACCAGGAAAATCCATGTCTGTGATTGGCTGCTGTGTATTTTACTGTGCTATTTTCTTAACTGTCCCAAGGACGTTTCTATGATGTATAAGTAAACGAGAGTTGTGCGCTTGATTGTATTGTGCTTGTTGGGTCTTGTAGAATATACTTTCTACTGTCTACTTACAAAGACTTCCGTTTTGCAGTTTTGGGATTGAAGGTAGCCTACCTGCATACTGGTAATTGTCTCGTTCGCATTTATCGACTAAGGTGAACTCGTAATAGATTCAAGCGTACCTACTGACGAACCTAACAGAAGCATAGATCGCTGACCATCATAATTCTTCATCCCACTCTGTGCTCTTTTCTCTTTTACATTTGTCCCATAAGTCTTATTGATTCTTTTAGTGTCTGCATTTAGTCCTGAGTTTAAAGGTTTACGTCGGAGTAGTTACTTTCTTTTCGCTCTGAGGATTTCAGATCAGTGTTTACTCTATGTTGCAGAATGAAGATTTCTGCGAAGTGTATGGCATCCACCTCCAAAGTCTTTTCACAATTTCATTCTCATTTAAAATCTGGTTTGTTGTGTACAACAGTATAGCAGTACAACAGTTACTGATGATATCTAAAGTATGTTGTGCAGAAAGCTGTTTATAAATACAAGTATCTCTCGGATTATTGGTGTTCTAAATTTTGCAAGTTTCAGCTCCATACAGTAGCACAGTCTTGATGTTTTCGTTTGAATATTAGTTTAGAGAATGTGAATTTGGTTTCATAGTTACTTACTTACGTACTTACACACATTACTACTTGTGAAGCATAGGTCGCTGACCATGATTCTTCATTCAGTGCTTCATTCTCCTTTCCACTTGTCCCCAAGTCTTATTCATTCTTTAGATACCTGCATTCATTTCGGAGTAAAAATTTTTGATCAGACTGGTTGCTTTCTTTTTACCTTGAGGATATCAGACTGGAGCTTGCCTTTTGATGCAAAGTGAGGATTTTAAACACCTGTGTCATACAACTCCAACGTTTCCTCACAATTTATCCCTGAGTTAGAATTTAGTTTGTTTTATGAAACAGTAGGTTGTTACTGATAGTATCTGGCGAACGGATCTAAAGTATATGGCGTAGAAAACTGTTTTCAAATAACTATATCTCTTGGATGATGGTTTTCTCAGTTGTACAAGTTTCAACTTCATATAGCAGCACAGTCTTGAGTACTGGCTGACAGTGGTTTAAAGTTCTACATGTTCTTTGGTTGTCAGAACACAATTATAGATATGCTCATTCATGCCTTGGTTTCTCTACCAGAAATCCCTTGTTTACTGGTGATACTGTCCAGGTGTGCAAAAGTACGCAACATTTGCCAGAGATACTCCGTCAAATTTTGATTTGGTTATTGTTCGTTGTGCTTGTATGCAAGGAGGCTGTTTTTGTCCTTGTGTATGTTAGGATTGAATTCTGAAAAGTCTGCTGCGAAATTCAAATCGTCTAACATCATCAGGACTGTCAATTGTCTTCCATGCTTCAATGAGATACTTACACACTGGATGAATGACAGAATGTATCTCATATTTAGTAAAGTGGATTCGATCTCTGTTTCAAACATCACACACTTCGCTAGACCGGAAAATGATACGTTCGACTAAGTGACCGCTTTTTATGAAATTAAATTTCTACGTTTAAATTATAAAGATTAGATATAATTTTGAAATTATGAAAAACATTTTTACATGCGCATAAACGCATAGTCTAATTACATTAATGATGTGTCAGTCATTGTTAGAACACCATTAGAAACTTGGAAGCACTGGATGGTTTTGTGGTTCTGGTATGGGACTCATCAGCAGTGCGCATCCACGACTCCTTAACCTAACAGAATTTGAAACCAGGACCTTCGGTATTGTGAGCGAACGCCCTAACCATTGGAAATTCTCGGAGTTCTAGTGAGAAGACGTGACCAGTGGAGTTCAACCCTGTCGGGTGTAGGCAGTAACTACCGAAGACAATGGGTGGGCGCAAAATCACTAGATCAGTCAGAGTTAGACATGAACACCGTTGGATGCCGGCCCAGTGGTCCAATGGTTGGGTCTCCATGGGTTCGAATCCTGTGAGGTTCAGAAGTCGTGGATGCGCACTGCCAATGATTAGTCCCATACCAGGACGAAGCGGCCGTCCAGTGCTTCCAGGTTTCTAATGGTGGTCTAACAATGATTCATTGATCATTTCAAATGTGTAAAAACACCAATCTCCATAACTGTAATCGAGAATAATAATGGTTTATATATTATAGATGTCTGGTAAGTTAATTTCTATCTGAACTCGATATCCACGCTTGCATCTGAAGATATTGGATTCCAGAGCTGACATGCATGTCAACATTAGAATACAAGTGTTTTTAGCCGATGAGTTCAAAACAGGATAGAAAGCGCTTTCTGGCCATGATCCATATATATTCTATGAAAAATTTTTTGAAACCGGATTACTTCAAACGACAATTTGACATTTACTCTCATTGTGAAAATTAGAACAACACAGATATAAGCGAACAATAGTGTTGTTGTTTTCGATTAGATCGTCATCAGGCTTTACTCTCTAATATACATGAATATTTATCATGAAAATGTTAAACCAAATCAAGGCGAATTGTGAATCAATAATCACAATGAAATGAAATAGATTACGTCACTACACATAATAGGCAAAAGTACAAGATGATAGTAGGAAGACAGAGATGTACTGATAGTGTGGTGTGAGCTACTTATAAGTAGTAAATGACATGAGTGTCAACGTAATGTCTGGCAGCCGAAGATGTGAGAAGATCAAGAAAGAAAGAATTAGAAAACAATGGAATTTGTATGAAACGCATGAACAGTGACAATGGATTGATGTTTTGCAACAGGAACACTCCAGTTTGATAATGATGAACTGATATTTTGCAAATGAACGATTTACGATATGGTTTTCCGATTTTACTGAGTAACTCTATAATTTTCGTTAAATACAATTCGGTTGCCCCACCAGTGTTCTAGTTCACTACAGTAGTAGTAAGAAAAATAAGATACAGTTACAAACGTTTTATCAATAGTAGGTCAAACCTCATGGATAAATAGACTTAAAACAATAATCATTACAAAACATTAAAACCATTACGTAATAAGCAAATGTGTAACAATAATTAGTGAAGTATATAAACGGAAAGAGGCAGAGAATTGCCAACTAATACAGGACGTGAAAATAATGCTTATAATAACCAAAATAAAATTCAAAACGTTGGTTAAGTCATATCCGGCCATGGAAGAGATAGGGCTGTTACAGATTTCATCTGAACACATAAATTGAGGTTGAATTTACGAATTCCTATGGCTTCTTCCATGTGTAGGAAACAGGATCGAACTACGTTGAGAAATGATTGAGGTATACAAGATAGATCACCGGAAAAGATCTAGGACTTATCTACAATCTGACCACTATCAACAAGATGTGCTCAGATAGAATTGCGTATTGTTTTTAACTGACTCTTCATGTATACTAAAGAGTAAAGCATGATGATGACGATCTAATCGAAAACAACATCATTGTTCGCTTATATCTGAGTTGTTCTAATTTACTCTCAATCGTTATTTTCCCTCAAAGATTTTAGCTAATGTTCAATCCAAACATGAACCATGGGAATTAGTTTGGGATTTAAAATCAAAAAAACATTGGTTACCGGTTTTTGAAGAGAAAACCCTATTGAATCGTGATAGCACAACGAGTAGTTATGGATCTACTAGTTTACCACAAACTATACAACCAGAAAAATTAATTTATGTTAATTTAGAACAACATGAAGTGGATTATATTAAATTTGAATTAGAAACTGTATTAAGAGATGCTTTGATGGATTGGCGTAAGACAAAAGTAAGTTAATACATATGTATACATGTACATATTACTTATTTACTTACTTACTTACTTACCTAGTTACCTACTTACTTACTTACTTACTTTTTTACTTACCTAGTTACCTACTTAGTTACTTACTTACTTACTTACTTACTTACTTACTTACTTACTCACTTACTTATGCACTTACTTACCTACTTACTTACTTACTCACTCACTTACTTACTTACTTACTCACTTACTTACGCCCTTTGCTCATAATGGAGCATACACCTCCAGCATGCACTTAGTGAAAATTGGATACCATGAAAAGTTTTTAAACAGATAGATGATTGAGAAATTTGGAAGAGGCCGAATTCAAATGGTGACCAATTAGTACTTGTTCAGGTGCCTAGTATATACGGGTGTTGCAGGTAGTGAGATATTAATCCAGAGACTAAGTCGAGCAATCGAATATACATTTTAACGAGCCTAATATTTCAGTTACATACAAAACCACGTCATTTCGCATTTATTAACTCACCTATTCTTATAGGACAATTTATATTGATTGAAGTTCTAGAAATCTACACTTTCATGCAGTGAACAGCTGATTATTAGGATAGTTAAAGGAAACTGATCATAGTGTCAACCAACCATCGATTTTATAGACAAGTAATGCTGTCTGACATAAAACCACGCTGGTAGAAAGTTTGAGGTGATCAAACAAAGACTTCATATCACTCAATGAAACAGTCGACAATTGTACTGAGCCATAATTAATCGATACAAAGTAGCTGATTCAAATCTGTGTGATAATTGTTACCAGTGGTTAAAGATTTGAAATGACATGTCTCAAAACTGTTTGGCATGTGGTAAGTAGACACATTCATTGTTTGTCCTCCTCCAAAAATTCCAAAGTTTCGGAACTCAATTTGCGTGATTTTCCTCTTTGTTCACTGATTGATATTTTCTAGGAATCGTGTATCTGCAAACTATTCTATTCTTACTCATACTGTAGTGAACGAGAACACAGGTGGGGCAACCAAAGTGTATTTGACGAAAATTACAGAGTTACTCAGTAAAATTGGAAAACCATATCGTAAATCGTTCATTTGCAAAATATCAGTTCATCATATCGAACTGGACTGTTCCTGTTGCCAAACATCAATCCATTGTCAATATTCATGCGTTTCATATTAAAATTCCATTGTGTTTTTCTAACTCTTCCTTTCTTGATCTTCCCCCATCTTCTGCTGCCAGACATTACGTTGACACTCAGGTCATATACTACTTATAAGTAGCTCACACCACAATACTGTTACTACCTTTAATGCTTTAGGATTTATTGTGACAATTTTAACTCTGTTTGTTAATCTAATGTACGCATGTACATACAGAGTTCCATGTTGCAACCAACTGACTGATTAATTGTTATTCTGTCACAAAGAAATGTAATACAATTTTCAAAATATTCATCTTCATTGATAAAAATTTGAATAACTAACTCATTCATACTGATCATTATTTTGCTTGATATTTTTTAGATAACAAAACTTAATTATGAATATATGAAAGATTTTAATAAAATGCTTGAAAAGTAAGTTTATTTTCCGAAAGAAATAATTAATTTCAATCTTTTGTTTCACTGATAATTTAAACAAAACTTGAGGCACAATTTTAAAATGGAATTTACTGAATTCCTCATAATTTTCATTATGATTTAAACGACACATATCATGACCAATGTATGAGGATTGTACAATATGATGCAATGTTATTTCGGTGATATGAAGTCTAGGGCGTATGTTGGGTGACTTAAGGATCCAGGATTCATCAAATCTCCTTCGGTATTGTGCGCAAACGACTAACCATCGGGCCAATGAGCCGGTATCTAACGGTGAATTGATCAAGTTAGACATTAATGGGTTTGAATCCTGCGAGCTGCAGGAGTCGTGGATGCTCACTGCTGAGGAGTCCCATACCAGGACGAAGCGGCCGTCATCCAGAGCTTCCAGGTTTCTAATGGTGGTCTAACATTGATCGATTCATAGTTTCAAAAAATGTGTAACTTAACAACCTTCACAACCCCGTATTTATAAGTCCAATTCTACTGGTCAATTCCTATTGGTTAATTCCGATTGGTCGTCCTAACTATCAATGTCACAAACTTCAAATGCTGTTTACTATTCGACCTAAATGTATAAATAGGCATTATCTGTAACGTTTTACGACCCGGATCCTTAGTCCGGGATCCTTGCCTTCTTCTGGACTCGCAACTGGTACTTGCTGGATGTTTGTAGAATACACGTTCTACTTCAATATTAAGTCTTTCTCTTCTATTTAGTGGGGTTTTGGGACGCTCGGATTAGAGTAGCCTATCGTGTCACTGGATCATCGATCCTCGCTTTCGTTTACCGACTAAGGTGAACTCGTAATCCATTCAAGCATATCAAATTGACGTGGTCACGTGCATGCCATTACAGTACCATCGTTCGTTGGGTCACTTCCGCACACATTTAAGCTGTCTGATTCTAAAGTCAGTCAGCTGAACAATGCTTTCCGGTTTTCATTAGTTGGTCACCTTAAGTGTCTTACTTGATATAAAACTCTAAATCCCTATCGAGTAATAATGAGTAGCAATTTTTTGCATTTTTATACTACTTATATTTACTACTGTTATCACACATTGATCACTTGAACATACTACTCGATTTAAACAATTTAATTGTATTATGTGTTTTATTGTTTTAGTTTAGAAAAAAATAATGGCGCCTACTATGATGGTTTGAATCAATTACTTGATCGAATTTCCAGTAAATATTACGTAAGTCACATCTACACAGCAATCTCATGTTTGTTTGTTTGTGTGTGTATGTGTGTGTGTTAGTCTGGGGAAAAAAGAGAACACACAACATTTCCTTAGGGTTGTATGCAATAGGGGAACAGTTGTGTTATCTGAGAAAAAAAAACGGAATCGCAATTGAATAGGATCAGAAAGGAGGCCGTCAGAAAAAGAGTTGACTGGAAAATGCTGATCGGCCACTTATACTTCATTGAGGGTGTTAGGCATCCGCGTGTCAGCAAGTTGTACTATCTAGTTCAAGTATTGATTATTTAGCCAATACGTTTGTGTCGACGGTGAAGTAACAATCCAAGAACTAGAAATTTAGAAATCAGTTCTTCGATGCGAATGTTCGGTCATTTTGGCAAATTTTTCGTCGTGTGTGGATTACGTTGACGCTGTGATTAAGTCATAAGCAACATTAGCTTAAATAGATGATTCCGAATGCCAGTTAAGTCCTATTTTGGAAGAGTGAGTTGGATGTTCCTTCACCGAGCGCAGAGTTGATATTCATTTCAGAACTTCTGTAACAGTACAGTTTACTTCAATTTAATGAGTGTCGTCTGGACTCAGTAGTCAAGTGCATAACACCATGACATTTTAACCAAACAATATTGGGTTAGGGTGTATGCATGAACATCAACTCTGGAATGCAAGTATACCCAGATAATGAGCTGCACATAAGACCAAACATTGGTTCAATCCTAGAAAATATCCCTCGCGTTATAACAACCAGAAACAGATGTAGTGAGTGACAAGGTTTATGTACTGATCCGCTATCATTCACTTTAGCTGAAACAGAGAGTGTCGATGTCATTCGAACTACGCTTAACCGAATCGTACCACTATCCTTCACACTTTAATTTTCACTCATAATACAGTACATGAAGCTGTGGAGAGAAGAGAGGTATGTGTGGGTGTAGCAAGCATTTGATTTCGACCTATTTGGTCTCTCGTGCTGTTACGGGTATGAGTGCGGTTGTCATTTTCCTGGCTGCCTACACCGTGGAAGGTTGTTTCTAGAGGAACCTGAAAAGGAAGATAAATTAGTGTTGGTCTTGGAGACTTGGGAGAGTGACCGCAGAGCCCAGGGGACAACTGCATGAGGCCGATCACGCACGGCCTTTTTATGAAAGGATTTTTGAGTATTAGCTCCGCTCTTAAAGGCCCTTGTTGGGCACCCTTACCCAAGGAGACGGAAATCCGTGAGATAGGGTGAGGTGTGAAACTTTTAGGGTCGACCTTTTCTAACCCTTCCTTCCGTGTGAGAAGGCAGCATCTCTGCAGATGCTGGTTGTCCGACGGAAACACCTTACTGCTGTCACACCCCTCTGCAGTCAGGAGTACGACTTCGCCCACAGACCTTGAGTAGCTGCTTTTATTCTCATCGTTCTCCAATCGACCTGCCTGACATAGTAGAACCTTCAGGAACACATGTTCCATCCAATATAGCTCGGCTGGGTCATCACGAAAGGCAAGCCCGACCACCACGTCAAGGTAGCAGCTACGGTCGGTCAGTGAGAGTAGAAGATATTAGTAGGTTACTGGTTTTCGATCATCGGTGTATCCGAAGCACCTGAGTGAGCAAAGCTGTTATTAGGAAACAGGTGCTAGGTGAGAATTGCAGATCAATAGATGAAGTAATGAAACTTCATTAGTTGAGGTGGTTGGCACATGCGCTGTATATGCCTAACCACCGACTGCCTCGACGAGTTTTGTTTTGTAGTGTAGGAATAGGTTGGAAGAAAGCTAGGGGCGCCCAAACCGAAACATGGCAGAAATCCATGAAGTCATTGACGAGTGGACTGAGCCATGTCGGTAATTGTCGACTACCTGGTTGGGGTCCGCGAGATGATAATAATCGATGGCTAGAGACCTTGAATTACATGGCTCACAATCGTTTGCAATGGTGCAGCTGCAATCATTTTTGTGTTCTCTCAAATCCTAATAAAATCTTCTTCTTCAAACCCTCTAGTTTTGTCTTTCTAAACTTTTCTCACTGAATCGTACTTCTTGAATAATATCTTCTAATCCTAACCTCTCCGATTACTTCTAATACCTTTACTACCTCTTCTACTATTGGATTTGAATTGACAATTATATCTCTGTGTGCTAATGTGGTATGGTAACATGAACTGATGTACCTACATACGTACGAAGTTCTACGTTGCATTTGACTGACTGACATGAGGCTGTACGTAATAAACTAAATGTATTCATATCTTTAATATCATTTAATCAAACATAACCCAGTTAGTTACTTAAGGGAATAGAATTCAAATAAAAAAAAAACTATCACTTTCAGATTTATGGATTCCCAATGAATTTCTCATATATGGAACCAGATGAAATTATTGCACGTGTTAAATCGAAAGGTATTCATGAATTAATCGGTAATCAACAATTTACACCGACTGATTTACTAGAACAACAAAGAAGCCAATTCATACAACAGCGTAGTTCAATAATGAGTTTTTCAAAACCTACACTAAATAATGGCTCTGATTCAATGTTCCATTCTAGTAGACCATCATCAGCCTCGTTGAGAATGTTACAATCGGATTCAATGTTCAATGTTCAATTTGCATTGAATGTTTATGTGAAAGCTTATCCAGGACCAGTTCTATCTATATGGATATATATGGCAGCATTATGGCGACGTAATTTGACAGAATTATTGTAAAATATTCACAATTCAATGTTTTTCATAGTACTTTGCTTTTTTTCTATGACACCTATTTTGTGGGTATTTGAATGAATAAATTTGTTTTAAAAACAATTATTGATTTTCGTCAAATCGATTCAATATTGAATAGAATGTGGAATTCTTGATATTGTGAGTCACTGAGATATCTCAGACTGTACCTCTCCATTGTACATTGTAAAGTAATAGATCATAAGCGTTTTTCAACACAATTTTCAAGTAAATTTGTTGAAATATTACGATGTTGCAAAGTAGGTAGGTAACTGAAATATTCAAACACATTGCCTAAAGATGACAGGATTGTGATTAATGAAGAACAAATTAGGAATTTTCAGTTATACAGAAAGACTGTTTATCAGTTCATTATTATATTTTGTAAATATAAGTACGTAATATAAAAACAATACTTCAGGTTGGAAATCATTTTCAATCATTTAGTGTTAACATACACATACAATGAAGGACAGACAAGTTTCCCTAGAGTGATGTCAGAGGATGGTATTTTATTCTTCGGAATGATTAGTTATCTGTTTACAATTGTGGAGATTGCTGAGTTTCATTTAGATCATGCGCCAGTCAGTCCTAGATTACGTTTGACAATGCTAAAGCATTGAAAGGTCGTTTTGTCTTTCTATGTGGTTCCATAGTAGTGTTGTTCTATGACCTTGGGGGTAAGAATTGAAACAATGATCTTGAAATTCAACTGTTTCAAGCATGAGACAGTTACTGTATGGTTTGTCATTAGGTACGCTTGAAGCTAGTACGAGTTCACATTAGTCGATAAACGCGAACGAGACAATTACCAGCGTCCAGGTAGGCTATCTTGAATTCCAGGTTGAAGATAAAAAGCTTTGTAAGCGTAGAAAGCATATTCTACAAACACCCAGCAATCACAGTACAATCAAGCATACAACTCTCGTTTATTTATACATCATAGAAACGTCACTGGGACAGTCACGAAAATAGCACACTAAAATACACAGCGGCCAATCACAGCCATGGAGTTTCCTGGTGGGAAATGAAATCTCAAGGTCAGCTGATCAGCCCATGCTGGCAAACGTGAAATCCAAAATAAGCGAGTTTTGGGGATCTAACATCCCCAGTAGTTACCCACCGAAAACAATATATAATGGTCATACATTATCATAGACTGTTAGAAATTAGATATTAGTACTGTTGTATTCCAACTCAGTAGTCATGAACTAGATCGAATGTCTTCGAGTTCATGAGACGATTGTGCAAATAATTGAAATGAGCGAGTACGGCAATTATAAACCAACATGTTGCCTACTGGAGTCTTTAGTGATGTATAAGTAACAATATGTTGAAATCTGTTAGCTGAATCATTCAGTCAGTCAGTTTAAATATCATTCGTACGTACATTAGTTCAAATTGTTATATCACAACAACAAACAGTGATGACATTGAGTGTGTGATAAATGAGGGAGATCAGCAGCAGTGAAGTCCATATTGTGCAACTACATCGGAGCTATCTACTGTATTCCGCTCATCTGCCCAGAAGTGTGTTGATACCCTGCTTGACTAATGTTACCTTACATTAAAACACTGTATAGAATTTACTTCCAACTGATAAAAAATATCATTATCCAATTTTTACGCATGATTACAACACCACCCAATCGATAGAAGTTCCAATATTCGATTTCCAAGTATGGTATCGTCCGATGGATGAGGATCTAGCCACTAGACTGCACTGATTCTAGTCAGTTGTTTGTGAGTTTGCATGTTCCGTGATATGAGTGATTACGTTTGTTTCATTGCAGTACAGTTTCTGGATACAAAGCAATAAATCACAATGAAACAATATTTAGGTTATTGTTCAGTATTCACTGCGTGTACGAATTATTTCTGTGTTCATGATGTATGGTAAATATGACTAAATTGTGGTGAATAGTTTATTCATCAAACTGATGATGAAACTCACACATAATAGGTTGTTTTGGTGATATCATTACCGGAAGGTCTTACCCTTCTATCAAAATCAAACTTGAATTTAACATTAACATCGATGAAAATGATATGAATTTGAAATGGTGACAGTATGACATTGAAAACACTGGTTCTAGTTCGATCACGGTAGTTAGACAACGATGGGCCTGGTTAGTGTTTCTATGGGTGGCCGGATGGGAAGACTAGGTGAAGCCAAGCTTCTTTTAACTGATATTCCTGGTTAAGTCGAGAATAGGTAGGGCGCACTTTCCTTGTTCAAATGCTCTGATATGACCATGTGTGTTTAGCCACTGTCAGAGAAGTCCTACTCACTGACGTCTGAAAACAGGGGTGTCGTTTAGGAAATTTCGAAGAATAAAGGAGAATGTCCATTCAAGGCAACAAGTGGAACACTTAGAATGGAGAATTCACCTCAAAGGGTAGTTGGAAAACCCTCATTTCACACTAATGATTTGCATGAGCTCCATGATCTTGACAGATCGAATGGCGTATGAATGGATGGCTGAATATCGACTATCATGGAAGTGCATCATCTCCTTACTATGAAAATAAATGAGACCGATTTATAGCATCGTAGAAGAAAGGCTTTCGTGGTGAGCGAATGATCTGATTTATTGATTGGTTGGATCGATATTTTTATTAATTAGTATGTGACGTAGTGACTTTCAGTGTAAAACATTCAATTATTTGACCACTTTGTGGATGCCAAATACTGTAGCTATTGATTTGAAAAAGTGAAAAATAATGAAACTTCTGTCGTTGACATTATCTCAAGCGTAATTTTTACGTATGAACAATTTTTTGTATGACATATTAAAATTGTTGATGAAAAAATAAGCAGTGAATTTTAAGTTTAAAACACTTTTTTTAAATCAAGGTTATCGATAGAGATATTTACAGTGAAATATCTCTGCTAACGTTCTTAGATAGAATTAGATTGTGATTAGTGATAGGTATCATAGAGTTGATCTGTTGCCGTTCGGCAATTTTCAACCATAATATATACCTCACAGTGCTGTTCATTCAAAGAGTGTTTAAATGTACTCTAGTGCTGGGTGTTTGTAGAATATACTTTCTGCGCTATATCAAGAACTTTTGGTTAGTTATCGGATCAGGTTAGCCTACATGGACACTGATTCATTTTTCTCGTTCGCGTTTATCGACTAAGGTGAACCCGTAATAGTTTCAAGCATACTTGAAGACGAACATAAAAACTGGCTACGGGGATGTGATCATATTGCTTCTTCGGGACTTGAATTCTTACACGAGTAGCAGCTGAACTTATGAAGATGTCGACACATACGAAGATGCATCATGACAAGACTGTAGTGGATCAAGTTAATTTGCCCCTTGCTACACTCAGTCTCACCTCACTTCAGCTCAGTCCGACAGCCCATCTAAAATTACTCGGTTCGATTGATTCAAACAGTTAAAATTAGCAGATTTCCAATCAAGCATATAAGATCAAGCCAACCCGCTCAGAAGTACCCAAGACTGGTCCTCATGTTCGTCCCAGAAATATCCTCTCCGACAGTAGCAAACAACAGTCCAGATCCAAATAAACCGTCGTGTGTCATTTCAGTTTCTTCAGAGGGAGGTGTTAGGATATTCATCCAATATCCTGACAAAATTATTGGTCAATCCCTACTGGTTAATTTCTATTGGTCAGTTTTACGATCGTCCTAGATATTAATGTCACGTACTTCATTGTTGTTTCCGATTGGTCTTTTCAACTGTCAGTGTCACAGACTTCAATGCTGTTTCCTGTTCCACCTAAATGTATGAATACGCATTATCTGTAGCGTTTTATAACCCGGACACAGATCTCTAGTACGAAATCCTGGTTTTCTTCTGGACTCGGACCTCGTACGTTGTGGATGTGAACTGAATTATGCAGTGCAAGCACATCTTTATGTCCGAATATGTTTGTCGACAAACGGTATTAATTTAGAAATTATGATATATGTGTAGAGTGATATTAACAGTCTTGATAGAACAGTGAGAAGACGTAATTGATCTGAAAAATGTTATGGTGTATTTGCGCCTCATACATTTCGAACAATCTGGTCACACATACACATGTCAAAGCATTTTATCTGAAGATTAATGAAAGGTCAATTAAATGAAAGTTCAAATATACATAAGGTGATAATTGTAAATAAAGGATAGAGAAAATTAACGTAATATTCAGAAGAATAATAAAGGGTAGGAAAATTGTCACATTACCCTAGGCTTAAAGATTACCAAGGTAAATTCAAGGTTATGACAAATTGTTTCTGCACACATAAGGGGACTTTTAATTTTCGAGCAGCCAAGGCCTACATAAACCTCAATATTCGTCCTTCAACATTTCTATACAATGTTTTGAAGGCTGTCTTGATGTCAATCTTAAGCGCCCTGTCTCAATTATGTGTTTTGCGATCGATGAACATGGTTTTCTATTTCCAACGCTAATCGGCTCATCTGAGGTTAAATGATTTTAAAGCCACTTAGGTACATGTTTCCCATAACCCTTGATTACAAAGTCCGATTACTCGCCGCTATGTATGTGTGTCCACACGGACATGTAAATTGATAAATACAATGGGATGCGATGTCATCATTCGATGACGGATTTTTCAATGATAATCAGTTTAGCAGCGTTGTATGTTAACTCTGTGGCTGCTTTTAGTCTCTGTCTTAATATTAGACCATCAGCTTCACCTCTAAATGATAAAGTGATATAAACCTTTTTCTTCTCAACAGAATGAAAACTTGCTTTCGTCTTAACTGATCTCTACACCGATTGATAAACTTTAGCGGATAGCCGTTTGAAATCAATGCTTCAGTTAAGAATATTTTGCATTGTCGTCAAATGTATCCGTTGATGCAAATCCTTTGAACCCTATTGAAGAGGCATTTTACCAACTTACTTACTTACTTACGCCTGTTACCCCCAATGGAGCATAGGCCGCCCACCAGTTTTCTCCAACCAACTCTGTCCTGGGCTTCCCTCTCCAGTTCTGTCCAATGTTTATTCATTCCTCCCGTATCTTTCTCTATTTCTCGGCGTAATTATTGCCTTGGCCTTCCTCATTTCCTTTGAACT